CCCTCCCCTCCAACCATCCACCCGTCTCCTCCCCTCCACTTTTTCCCCGGCACATCCCCCGTGTCGTCGGATTGATTTTCGTTGGGGTCGCGATTACCTAACTCGAACGCAGCACGCGCTGCCCAGTGGCTGACCTACACCCACCCGCACGCTGAACCTATGCTCCGCCATCGGCAGCACGCCTGTCGTCAACGTTCTTATTACTCATTCCCTCTATAAACCCACCGGTCCCTCGATTCTCCCCCGCTTCGTATTTTTTTCGTGCGACTCATCACATCGCGCGATCCTTAGATTTTCCACACCCTTGTCGCCTCTCGCGCTGGACATCGCCATGGAGTCCCGAACCGCGACGGCTGAGCCGTCCAGTAAACGGCCGCGCTCCCCCTCGGGTGACTTCCCCCCTATCGCTTCCAAAGTGCCCAAGACACATTCGAATCACCTGCAGATCAACTATCTCGCCCGGCAATACCCAGACAACCTCCCTCTGGTGTCCGTCGACGATACTATGCCCGCCATCATCCACCTCATCGGCGAGTACGACGGTGTCCTACATCGTCACGAGAGCATTGCGGGCAACCTGGGCGCGTGCCCCCTCGGGCCCATCCTGATCAAGCGCTTCGAGAGGCTGTTTGACGGGCCGCCCCGGGTGCTCAAATCGCATGGCAAGGATTCTCCGAACGTGACCTGGCTGGATGTGGTTGAGTTTGCCAAGAACAAACCCGAGCAGTTCAACCTGGAGAAGTCTCGCAATGGGGTGCGCGTGTGTCAGTTCTACACCAAGCAATGTCGGGTCGAAATCAGTGAGGAGGACTTTGTCCTGATCGCATCGGGAATGCCTCAGAAGATGATTCCGCCGCAACCGATTATCGAGGATGAGGAAAAGGAATTGGGCGCATTGGAAATTTTGGAAAAGAACCTGCAGCAGATCATCCAGGTGGCCGACCAAGGTAAGCCCCCTGCCCGGGGCTGTTGCGCAAAGCCTAACCCATGACCAGTGTCCGCACGAGCCCGACAACTCAACCATCGCTTGAAGAACCGCCGGACTGCGATTGTCACGCGCCGGGAGAACGACACCACCCTTCATTCCCAGCGCCAGCAGCAACATCGATCCATCAGCCCTGCATGGCGCGAGGCCAACGGCCACAGTACAAACCCGCTGAACGGCAACGCCCCGGCCAGCATCCACTCTCCTCCCACCGGCTTTGTAGCCGTGAATGCCGGCCGGTCCGGTGCCGCGGAAGCCGCCGTGGAGGAAAGTGGGCTGTCGTCACAGTTCATGTTCTCACACCCCAACACGGACAATGTCACCATAATCAACGGGACCTCCATTAAAGGCGCCTCTCCAACGACACGTGCGGAGCTGATGAAGAAATTCTTCACGACGCAAGACCGACAGGCGCGCAGCCAGGAAGAGGCGCCGGATCCCACCAGCCGACCGTCGTCTCGGCCGCGGCCCCGCGCATCGGATGCCGCGGACTACAACATGTATACGCCGGCTCCTACGACGGTTGCCATTCCCAACACGCCGTCGTCCCTCCTGCCTCCGCCCAAATCCCACCACCACGAGAAGGATGACGGCGGCCCGCATAAGATGGAAATGGTTGCGCGCATGGAGGAGCTGCAGCGCGGCGAGCGCATCATCCCCCCCTGCGATCGGTGTCGGCGGCTGCACATGGACTGCCTGAAAAACCTGACGGCGTGCATGGGCTGCACCAAGAAGCATGCCAAGTGCTCGTGGAAGGATGTGAAGGAGGATGAGCTGCGCGAGAGTCGTCTCGACCGCAGTCCTCGAGAGCGGGTGGAGGAGCCGGCGTCGCAAGAGGTTTCATCGACCCACGCATTGGCTACGCCCGTGCAGGCGTCTACCTCGGCCGCACCGACCCCCGCTTCGGGTCCGCTGTCTGAGCCGGAGCGACACTTTGAGCGCGAGCACGAGTACGAGGGGCCTACCGAATTCAGTGTGCGACGCGAGTCCGCCCCGACGACGGGGCCGGCTTCGGGGACGCCGCTGAAGAAGGACGTGTCGCCGCGTCGCGCGATGAGCGAAATCCACGGGAGCAGCATGATGGGGCATGACCGCCGGGTCAGCATGCACCGGCACGCGGACCCGGATGACGATGACCCTGATGCGAATCAGCGGCTGATGCAGGCGATATTGGATACAGTGGACCACCACACGCGGGTGGCGGCAGCAGTGAAGGAGGGCGGGCACGAGGTCAGCCATGAGCGCGAGCGCGAGCGCGAGAGAGAAAGAGAAAGAGAGCGGGAACGGGAGCGGGAGCAGGAGCGCGAACGCGAACGCGAACGCGAGCGGAAGATGGTGCGGGCGTAGTGTATATCATCATGGGTGGCCTGTATCTAGGCAGTCTTTGTTTGAGCGAGTTAGCGGATATCCCGGAGTACTGATAGCATTACTATGCACTGATCTGAGTCTTGGAATACCGCTACTAGTCCTCCGTAACACCCGTAACATCCGCAGTACTAATAGTCGAATCCAGTGTAGTCGGAGTTAGTCATTCCCGGAGTGAACTGCCGAAGGGCGATCCGGAGCCCCACGAGCGGAACAATTCCATGCTCGTAGGCAGTGGGGAATAATGGGCATAATATCAGGTCTTACATGCGTCTCCAGCGCTGCCTAGTGTGGCCAGCTACCTTGGTAGGTACGTAAGAAGGATAGGGATAGCCCTACGGACGTCATGTCTACATACTTTGACAAGAAGCCTGCCTGTCCTGCATAGGCACCTCAGCGCAACCGGAAACGCCCGCAATATAGATAGTATGTAGGCATTGACCGCTTTCAACCCGTCACCGCAAGGAGAACTCATATACGGAGTACTATGATCGGGAATGCACATAGCCGACCCCGCCGAGTCCATGGCTTACGTAGTCCCCCCAGCCAGTCAGCGACGGCCCGTTACACCCACCCCAATGTGGGGAAGTTCGCCCACCCCGCAATGCAGCTGCGCCGTAGTGCGTAGTATGTTATTTAAGTGATATAGGGTGAGCGATATCCCCGTCCCCCAGATTTCTTTCCCCGTTATCCCACACCTCCCAGTCTCGGGCTCCCAGACATACCTTCTCTTCCCCTTGGCATTCCCGCTCCCATTCCCTTCCTACCTCCTCTCTTGATCTTCATCCTAGCCAATCCCCACCAGAAGAAAGACAGAGCAAAAGATAGAGAGTAGAAGAAAGAACAGAAATCAAAATGGACCCCTCACTCGTCAAAATCCCGCCTATGAAGAACCTCACGGTCGACAACATCACCGACAACGTCATCCAGATTAACTCGCTCTGCTCGGATCCACGCCTGAAATACATTCTCGAGAGACTGGTATCCCACCTGCATGACTTCGCGCGCGAGACGCGACTAAGCACAGACGAATGGATGACCGGGCTGCGGTTCCTGACGGAGGTCGGGAAGATTTGTACGGATGTTAGACAGGTAAGTCACGGTATATACAGTATTCCCCCACTCCCTTCTCTCCCCTCCCCTCCCCTCCCCTTCCCACTTCCCCTTCCCATCCCACAAAACACACACACACACACACACACACACATTTTAACTCCCCGTGCTTGGATGGGACGATAGGAATACATCCTCCTCTCCGACATCCTGGGCCTCTCGATCCTCGTCGACTCAATCGACCACCCCAAACCGGCAGGCAGCACCGAAGGCACCGTACTGGGCCCATTCCACACACACGAAGCCGAAGAAATGCGCGCCGGCGACTCCATGTCCCACGACCCAGCCGGCGAACCGCTCCTTGTCGTCTGCACCCTCAAAGACACCCACGGCAACCCCATCGAGAACGTGAAGATCGATATCTGGGAGACGGATTCCACGGGCCACTACGACGTGCAGTATGCGGGGCGCGACGGGCCCGATGGCCGGTGCATCATGCGCAGTGGCAAGGACGGCGTGTTTTGGTTCAGGGCTATTACCCCCGTTCCGTATCCAATTCCCCATGATGGACCCGTTGGCAAGTTGTTGAAGTTGCTGGGGAGACATCCCTATAGGCCAAGTCATATGCATTTTATGTTTGAGAAGGAAGGGTTTGATCATTTGATTACGTGAGTTTTTTTTTTTTTTTTTTTTTTCTTGCCTTTCTTATGGCGAGGGTGGAAGGGGGATGGATGCATGGATGGATGCTAATTATGGGGGAAAGTGCCCTCTACCTCCGCAACGATCCCTACGAGACCTCCGACGCCGTCTTCGGTGTCAAAGACTCCTTGGTCGTCGATATCGGCAAGGCCGGCCCCGAGTACGCCGCCAAGTACGGCGTGTCTGAGGACCACCCCCTCCTCACGTACGACTTCGTGCTCGTGTCCGACGAGGAGACTAGCGAGCTTCGCGCGCGCAACTCCAAGGAGGCGCTGGATAAGCTGGGCCGGAAGGTGAAGATCGTGAACGGGTTGCCGGTGCCGGATTTGGATTGATCTACTTATATCGGAGAGTTATTCGAGTACCTACCTAGAGAGTCATCCGGATAAGGGAGGGAATGAGTGAGTGTTTGTAATTACTACTACTATCCTTTGTGCTGTATATACATCAAGTCATGCGAGGTTGGGTTGAATTGGGTTTAGTTGCCCGTTACCATCTCCCCGAAGTCACTGCCGTCCTGTTCTCGAGGCGCGGCGGGCGGCTTGCGTTCGCCGCCGCCGCCGCCCTTCAATCGTCTCAAACCCCCCTCGTCTTCTACCCATCCGCCAACCTTCTCCACCCCATTGATATACTCCGTGCCAACCCGCAGGTTCAGCCCCGCGCTCAACGCCCGCTCGATGCGCACCTCGCGGCCCTCGGAAACCAGGACCCGGAAGACATGCGCGAAGAACCCGCTCAGGATATCCACGCTCCATTCATCCGGCACGACGCGGAGCACCTCGCCCACGTCGAACCACGACGCGAACCGGCCGAGCAGGTCGCTAGTCCTTTCAATGCGCTCCGACGGGTCCTGAATCTGCAGAAATTCGTCGAGTAGGTACCGGAAGAGTTCGGATTGGAGGGTTCGGTCGGCGAACTCGGCCAGTGCCCCTGTTGAACTGGTGCTTCGCGGGCCCCCGAAGAGACAGTATCGTACTGCGGAGTCGTAGTCGCCCAGTCCGTGGGTGAGGAGGTGGAGCGCTTGGCGATGACGGCCTTGGAGGCCGTCGAGGATGACAGATTCCGAGACGAGCTCGTTTTGGAAGGGCTCGATCCGGGCGAGGATTGCAGGGATCGAGTAGGTTAGGTTGCGGGTCGGGAGGGATGAGAAGTGGCTGCCGCTACCGCCGCTGAGCAGTTGGAGGAGGCGTAGGCGCGATTGCCACCATGGCTCTGAGGGCGTGTTCTCTGTGATGAAGTTCATGTAGGTAGGTTTGGGGGGTTGGAGCGCGCGGTATGTAGAGTAGGATTCGGCGAGTGAGGCGCGGGCGTCTGGCGAGGACTCGAGGACGGAGAGGACTGAGTCAAGGTAGTATGATAGTAGGTCGTCCGCGTATTGAGTGTACTGGGCAGAAATTAGTATGCTTCGTGCTGCTAAGCGCATTGACTTACGTTTCTGACGAAAACAAGATGTTCTAGGTACACCTGCACGGCGTTGGGTGCACGTTCTTTGAGCAACGCGACCACGGCTGCCGTCTCCAGCTTGACCCGACTCGTCCCGTCCGAGAAGACCTGGATACCAAGGTTGGGGTTGCGCTGGGCCAACCATGCTCCGTATTCCTCGACCAGCTGCGCATCCTTGATCTTGACCAAGTACCGGCGCATCTGCGCCTCCGTGCCGCCAACGGTCACCTCTCCGCCGAGGTCTTCCTCGCCTTCGATGATCCTGCGCCACGTCTTGAGGACATTCCGTGACATCTTCTGGCTCTGGTAGATTCGGCTCAGCACGAAGAGTCGTCGGTAGCTTTCCAGTAACGCCACCGCCCGGTCGAAGCTACCCTTCCAGCTGTCAACCAGTCGGTTCAGCTCCATGCGTACCTGCGAGCGTGCGCGCTGATCGGTTGTCCGTGCATCCTGCTCCAGAAGCAGGTGCAGGAGGGCCGCGTCGACGCTGTCAAATACATACGTCTCATCCGTGATACTGCCATAGCCTCTCTTTTGCTGCCATGAGAAGAGGAACCGCTTGACCATGTCCAAGACTGCGTTGTCGGAAGCGCCGGTTTCAGTCTTTTCCAGCTGCTGGGCGTACGTCCCTGCAATATCCGCTAAACCTGCATGAACCCAGATCGCCTGCGGACCTTGCAAGACCTCGCCTCGCAGGAGAGGAACAAGCAGCAGTGCGATACGAGGATCGAGGTTTCCGATGATGAGTGCTCTTTCCGTGTCATCAATTGTTGCAGTAGTCCGAGCGGCCGGATCCATTGAGAGAAGATCGGCGAAAAGAAGTAGACTCGCTTTCTGCTTCAAGTAGTTCAGTCCCAGAAACTCCGACTCGGATTTTGGCTCCGCAGCTTGAACATGATCGATGATCCCCGCGATAGCATCCCGGTCCAGGACTCTGCGGTCAGCTTCAACTTCCTGGGCTCCCTGCAGGGCATCATTGAGCTGTGTGGTCAGCGGGTTCCGCACTACCCGCCATATCTGGTTGCCATTCCACATGACCAGACTGCTCTGCGTCTTGCCCAGGTCGCGCGCAAATTTGGCTTCTTCGGCATTTCTCTCCGCTTCCCACCCATCGTCCTTCGAGCCCTCCGATTCAGTCGGCTCCTGAGCCTCGGAAGACGAAGATTCCTTCTCCTCCTGCGGCTTTTCTGCAGAGGCTTGCGTTTCATCTGCCACAGGAACATTTGGTGATGATGGTATATTCAGACGGACCATCTGCAGCAGACCTCCTAATTCGGATATCTCGAGTTTACTGGGACTAAGAGTATGACTAAGGCCAACTTGGGTAGACTGCGTGGAGGGTATTTCTACCCAGCTTTTGTGGTCCTCGGCCTCTCCCGGATCGACATCCCAGAGTTGTACCTCCAAAAACTTCCGTGTCTGACCATCCTTCTCTGACTCAATAACCGCAAGAAGAAGCTCTTCGCGAGTGTTTTCCGGCGAGGGTATCATGCTGTTTTCGTCACCCTTGTCAATGACCAGTGACTCGGGATACTTGTGGAAGGTGATCGTGCCACGAACCACGTCACCGTCAACGTTGACGAACATTCCTACGCCAGGCTCTGTCGCGTCGGTTCCCCTAACAAGCAGGAACTCAGATGGGGTAGGTGACAGTACATGGGGCTTCAACTGTCCCAATGGCTGCTTAGGTACAGGAGGGAGCGGCTTCCGATCATCTGGGCTTGGCTGCGAGTCGCGGGTCGAATGGATTGGAGATACTCTCGGAGAGGCACTTCCTGCTCGCTCCTGGGAGATCGACCTTCTCGGGGTCCCCGAAACGGGGGAGAGCTCAGGTGTGGCCGAACTTGACCTATCATGTGGGTGCGATTGAAGATTTGGCTGCAGCATTCCGCCCAGGGTGTGTCGGTCGTGCGCATGGCCCTCCGAAGGAGAGCTGGCAAAGGGCGATGAAGGGGACCTCTCTTCCGCTGGGGAGGCCTCGAAGGCCTCACTGGAAAACGAGATGGGAAACAGCTGGATCTTTTGTTGGTTCTCCACGTCTAGCAAGGAGTATGCATGCGAGTCTGCAGCACAGGCAATTGCGTCTCTCCGTGCCGCGACCAGGGAGCCCGGGAACTCGATGTTCCTGACGCGTCGAGCGTCGTCGCCTATCCTCACCAGCATCATTCTGTTCTGCGCAGAGATCATAATCACCGGGTTCTCCGGCTCGTCCGTAGATGCGTTCAAATCCAAGCCCCCGATCCAGCGACAATTGGTAACCTTGGTATTTCCAAAAGCCGGGCTGAGTTCCGGCAGCATGTAGAAGGTGGCGGTGCCATTGCACAGCACACACGCCTTGTTCACCGTCGGCATTAACACAATCTGTTGGATTCCGGGCAGCGGCGACGTGCTGTGGGAGAAAGGAATTGGGAGTCTCGAGGCGAGGATAAAGGATGGTTCGTTCGACTGGTCCGAGGGGTCCGGGGGAAGGCAGACGAAATGCAGGATTTCGGCGGCGGAGGTACCGATGTAGAGATTGTCATCTATAACACTTCATTAGCTGCATCTCCATTATCAGAGGTAATTACCCACTCCAATACTCGACCCAGGTGATGTGGGCGTCATCGTCGTCATTGTCAGCGTTCAAGGGCACCTGGTCGAAGAGTGATCGGAATACGTAGGGTGCCGCCTTGGGAGGGCTGATCTTCCGCCGTTTGCGCGGGCTGACGCCCTCCTCTTCGGACACCATGATGAGGCCAGCTCTGGTGTTGTGGGGAAACGGTTCGTGAGAGGCGTGGGCGTGAGGGGAAGACAAGGAACGCTGGGATGGCAGCTCCGGCGATGCTGGTGCCTGGTGGAGCCGGCCCGGGGTTAGCTGCTGACTCAGGTGGAGTCCTCGTTCTATGTTCTTTTTCTTCACTATCGATCTAGATAGATAGACATCGGTCTCAATGGTAATTCTGAAAAATCCCTCGATGGATTAATTCCCCTAAGGGTCTTATAAGGCATTTTTTTTTAATCAGAAGTAGATCGAACAGAGGGGGTATGTGGAATCCGTCCATCAAGCCACACTGGCGGAAATCAGTTGCCTGAACTGTTGCCAGGACACCCAGGCACCGAGGCAGCCCAGAAAAGGAGCCGATTTAGGCTGCAGAAGTCAAAGGCACATGTGATGGCTCTCCAGCCACGGCTCGGATGGGATCTTGCGGCCTATCCTTACTCCAACAAGTCCTGCCGGAGAGAACGTGGTCCGCGGGTGCTATAAATAACGGGGCTGAACCGCCACGATATGGATCTATCTGCAATCGGCATGGCGACAGGAGTGCTCCTGGTTGCTCTCGGCAGACAGAGCCCCCTTGGAGTGAATGAAACCACCCTATCTACCTGATACCTAGCTCTCTCACGGAGTAGCAGTCTTCTCTTCATCTCCCTCATTGTTGTCACCCGCTCGGATCATCGTCGGCCCGGTCAGCGTGTCGGGGCCTCCGCATTGCTACGTTAACTGGCTTCATTGACTTGTCACTCCTCGCATACGGTGCTGTCGGTTTGCTTTCGGATGGGGGTGTTGCGCTGATTCTTGATCTACTGAGGCGGTTCGACACCACAAATCCACCATGGACGCTTTTGCGATCACCGAGGGCATCATCCCTGAGAACAGCCAGGAGGGTCCCAATGCCGAAAAGGCCACCGCTGGGAAGTTGCCGGAAGGAGCCAACAAGTTCCAGCGCGCCATTGCGGCCTGGAGAGGTATGTCGCCATTATCATAACTCCAGAGACGATCGCGGGATACTAACACATGGGTCTGGATAGGGATCGATTTGGCGAGTACTGTCGCAAAGCTAGATAGTACCGCTTCGGATATAGTCGCCCAGCAGCGCGATGCACTTGTCCAGCGAAAGGACCTTGCGCAGAAGACGAAGGACTTCCGGAAGCTGGACGATGCCTCCAAACTTACGGAGTTCAAGGGCCTTCTGAAAGGTCCGTGATATGGTCTCACAATCCCACCCGTCCGAGCCTTTGCTGACGTCCCGCAGCCTACCAAGGGTTCATCGATCTCCTAACCAACCAGGGGAAAGCCTCCTCGTCCGCGTTTTTGCAACTATACTCCTCCCTGTCGGAGGCGCCCGATCCATACCCCCTCCTCGAAGCATCTGTCGATTCCCTCGTCCATTCCGAAGAAACCGTCCCCAAATTGACCTCGGAGCGCGATCGCCTGCAAGGCTCCGTCGACCGTCTCACCTCTCAGCTGGACGACACCGAAAAGCGGCTTCAAGAGGAACGGACTACAAGGAAGAAGCTGGAGGAGAACCAGGACGCTAAGATCAAGGAGGTCGAGGAGTCGTGGTCTACGGTGCTGTCGGAGAAGACGAACAACTGGACGGCCAAGGAGAAGAGCCTTGAGGAGAAGGTCGAAAACCAGGAGCGATTGGTCAAGGAGCTCAAGGCGAGCTACGAAGTGTCCCAACGCCTGGGCCAAGAGAATGAGGGCGGCGATGGCTCCCATGGGGCCAGCGCTGCGGAGCTGGAGCTGGTTTCCGCGGAGTTGGAGAAGACGGGCTTGAGGCTGGCAGAGGTCGAGGCTAGGAATGAGCAATTGACGCTTGAGCTGGCTCAATCTGTTTCCCACTCGCAAGGACATGCGGCATCTGTCGAAGACGACCCGTCTTATCTTCGTCTCCAGTCCGAGAACTCCTCACTCCTACGCAAGCTGGACGCTTCCCGGTTTGATAGAGAGTCTGAGCGGCACACGTGGGAATCTAAATACTCCCAAGCTGAGAGGCAGCTCACAAGCATTACTGCGGAGAAGGAAGAGTTGCGCTCCAAATTGGACAAGGTGGCTGACTATGAGGATATCCGTCGAGAGTTGGAGATGATCAAGGTAAGCACCAACGCTCTGTAGCCCGACGACTGTGCTGACATCTATAAGTCTATTGAATTTTCCCCTGGTGATGACGACGATGCTGGGGACCTGACAGACCCCGCAGGTTCTCCCAATGGTGCGGCCGGCAAGACCCGGAATAGCCTAGAGCAGCTCTTGTTGGCCAGAAATAAGAAGTTGACGGATGAGCTCACTATTCTACGCGTGTCTCATCGGGATTTGCAGGGCCAGCTAGAAGTCCTGCGTGATGAACTCTCGACCACCAAAGACGAGCTTGAGAAATCCCAGAAGCTTTCCACCACGCTCGAAAATGACCTTCTCCGCGTACAGGAGGAGGCTGCGAATACATTCCCGTCTTCAGCGATGTCTGTTGCGGGTACCTACACCACCAAGCACCCTCACTCCTCCCGCAGAGGAGCGGTATCACCCACCTCCTCCATCATTTCCGGCTTTGACCAGTCGGCGGCGTCTGCCAATACGATGGAATCCATTCGGGCGGGTGAGGCCGTCGGTGGTGGCTCGGGTCTTCTGCCCATGATTCAAGCCCAGCGGGACCGCTTCAAAAAGAAGAACTCCGAGCTTGAGGAAGAGCTATCGAAGATGTATAGCACGGTAAAGTCACTCCGGCAGGAAGTTGCCTCTCTCCAAAAGGACAACCTGAGCCTTTATGAGAAAACACGATACGTCTCAACGTACAATCGTGGCCCAGGCGGGTCATCATCGGCATCTGCCTATGCCAACAAGCCCAGCTCATCCACCATCCATACGTCCGCGGATACACCGTCAGGACTTTCCCTCGATCGTTATCAATCCGCGTACGAAGCACAGATCTCACCCTTTGCCGCCTTCCGTGGTCGGGAATCTACTCGTGCCTACAAGCGCATGAGCTTGCCGGAACGCATCGTATTCTCTTTAACCCGGATCATCCTCGCGAACCGGACTAGCCGGAACCTCTTCGCGGGCTATTGTTTTGCGATGCATATCCTAGTTTTCGCCATGCTGTACATGATGAGTACCATGGAGATCGAGAAGCACAGCAGTGCAAGTCTAGGCGCAGCCGCCGCGGCAGTCATGGCCGGCGGGGGGGGAGGTGGTGCTGGCAGTGGTGGTTATAGTAGCCAGCAGCTTCATGGCGATGACTGGCAGCAGGAAGGATTTAACCATGCAGGTTAATCTCATGAGTTATTGTATTCTTAGCCCGTCGGACGACGAATTATTCAAGGGCGTTTGTTGGTGGGCGGTTACGATCTGGTGCTTTTATTTTTCTATGTGAATATCCTTTGTTCAACAATGCAGATACTTATGATAATCGGCCTCGTGCACCTTGACCTACGGTTTTTGAATTTTGGCTTGGGGCCCTTAATGGGCAGTAGCAGGGGGTTCTCCTTTCTCGCGAAAACACTTGTGGTGACCTTCATATCCCTTGGGCTGCTAATGTTAATTTCTCTTGCTTCGGAACATAGCAAGCGGAGAATAAAGGCGGATTTCCTTTTCTACAAGACCCTTCGTCGAGGCAAGTATTAATCCTCGTTACAGACCTTCAGCTGCAGCTGCTGACTCCCTAATTTGGAGGTCGGTGGCATGGAAATTTTCTTTCCAATTTACTATCTTACAGTCGATTCCATTCCCCCGGCACACCTAACGCAAGACTGGGGTATAAATACCTCGACGCCCCTCGTCAGTTCCCACATACAATCCTCAGCTATCCCATGAACCCAATCCAGCTTTCTCCACTGTGAACTTTTGATCGCCCTGCATCCACCTTTAAATAATGAGCTCAACACACAACTCTCGACGCTGCGACGCTCTATCACAGAGCGGAGCAGAGTGCACCCGCCAAACACCACACCCAGACTACTCGCGTTGCCAACCCCATCACCAGCAATGTACAAGTATCTACCAAAATTACAAGCAATTCGAAAAGGAATACGAAGGCCTCATACTACCCGATGACTTCTCAATCGAAGTAGCCCTGCAGACGATCTCGCTTGGGAAGGATGTACTCGGGCTGGGAGACCAGGTCAATCGGCGGCTTTTCAGCCAGTCGCCCAACAACAAAGGGCATGTTCAGCGGATCCTGAATCTACAGTCTGGGATTCAGGGCTTGGGTGGGGGGGGGGTGAGGTTGAAGAAGGCCGAGGTGTCTTTCCCTGTCGCACCAGATGCCTTTAACATGGTGTCTCGACAGGATGTGTTCGTTTACCAGTATCTTTTTTATCTGGAGGTGCCGCTATCTCACCTGGATGATTTGCCTTCGATAGTCGAAGACCTTGAAGACACGAATCGGTCGCCTGATGAAGACAACGCGGCCATCCGCTTTTCCTTTCGGGACTTCTTATCCCGGGAAGATAGTCCGCAAATTTTTGTTTTCGACATAACTGGACTATTACTGAGCTGCTCGTATGGTTATACACTTTTAATACATTCATTACCTACTAGAGAAGCGAGTATGGCATCCCGGAAGTTGTCTCTATGGGAGCTTGATCTTCTAAATATTGTACAGCCCCCCAAAAAAATCAAATATAATATTATAAAATAAAAAAAAGCTTGTTTGTTCGTTTGATTATCATGGATTAATACAAAAACCAAAAATGAAACGGCCCGAGCCGCGGATCGAACGCGGGACCTCTCGCAGATATGCTTGGGTTGTAACCCTAAGCGAGAATCATACCACTAGACCACCCGGGCGTTGCTTGTTGAAAATCTCGTAGAAATATTGCATCATGAGTCTGTTCTGTAATACATATCTTATTTTACTCTTACTTATCGTGAACTGTGCATAAAATGAGGGCTGGTGGGTAAATAAACAGGTGGCTGTGTGTATTAGGCTTATTTCTAAGCATAGATATACCGAGTTAGCATTCGATTTCGGGGTTATTTGGGGATGAGGTAAGTGGCAGGTGATATCGGACGAAAGATATATTAGTACTTACCGACACCTTGTCCTGGAACTGTTCAGTTTTATGTCATGGGGCCTGCGCACGATATCGACGAGAATTTGTGTATAATGTCACCATAGTATACTCAACATACCACTATTAATAAACAAAAATACACAGAGTTAGTTCACCAAAGTATCTATATTAAACCCAGCATCCCCCATCCCAGCATAGGAGCAATGGCACGAGAGGAAGACCATGCTTGTCGCAGTACACCGCATCAGGGAAGGCAAGCAAGCTAGCAAAGTCGTCATAGTTTATAGATAACCTGCCGCTCCCGATACCGTCGAACCGTGTAGCAAGGGCCCGCGTGTAGCTGAGTCCAGATCATCCGTCATCTTTAGCTGCTGAAGATGTACCTAAAATGCTCGCAACATCGAGATTATCGGCAAATGAACATAGGATTATCTCAAACCCTCCGACCATGCGAATGAACCCGTCCACGCGGTTGTCCCACCTGTCCCGAGCCAAAGCGCAAAGCCCGTCGGCACGGACGTTGTCACCTTCCGCAGGGCTTCCATCGAACCAAGTTGCATTTAGAAGGACAATATCCTGCATATCGAGCGTACCTCTCAACAATTTAGCGGCCGACTGCCCGTCGAAGTAAACGAGACGCATTTCACGTTTGGTCCGGTAGGTGTGGAAATATCCAAACTTTTCATCCGCCGTAAATTGATCGAGACCGAGCGTGGACTGGTCCAGAGTCTTCCCCATGGCCGACTGGTCTGAGAGGCTGGATCCTTTGTGCTTCGCATGTTCGGGATTTTGCGACTTCAGCTCTGATCCATCCTCTCTTTATTCCCAAATGACCTTCGCTGGTGATCGTGGTGATTGTCCGGTGTGCCGTGCGTGGTTTGCCCATGCGTTTCTTCGGGAGCTTCTCTGGGTCCAGAACGACGAGGTCCACGAGGGTGCGCAAAGGCCATGCCATGCTCCGGTTCAAAAGCTAGCTATCCAGTGCCGTCCTTGCGATACGGACTTGAGGTCCCATGGTAGAATTCGGTTCCCCGAGGCACTGTGGCGATAAAGATCGACATGCCATTGTGGTGCAAAACGCTCCCAAACATCTTCATTGAATTGTGCAACGAGTTGAAGATATGATTGGCATGAATAGAGCCATCCGGTATGGCTAGTTGTTCATCAGTCTGCAGTGGGCTCGATGCCACCATCCATGGCATCAGCCAGACCAACCCCTTGACTTTGAACTTCATTGCTGCTGAAGGTTCAAAGTGGAAATTGTGTATCAAAGAAAGGATGATTCCAGCTAGCAGAGGGGCATGGCCAACTGCTCCCTCACGTAGGGCGGTGGCTCGAGCTGTCTAGGGACCGAGAGCCCGTAGTGATGCGGTTCCACCCTCTTCCAGGAACAATCCATCGCCAGAATCCCACTTACTGTGTTAGACGGATCTGCCGGATCGCTAAAGTGCAGTTCACCTATCGGCAGCGTCCATGTTTTGCGATTCCGTCATGGCAGTGTTCAAGCACAAGGGATGGCCTCTGTGATTGATCAACCGGCAGGGCTGTGGTCGCGGTCCCACCATAGATCGGGGGTCGGCGATGTGCAGGCTAGATACTCCGTAAGAGCACGAGCATGGGACTCCACAGCCATGTCACGTCAAACCAAGGGTAAAATGTTTGCATTCGAGATATATGTACTCTGTATGAGCCAAAGAATATTACCTCCGTGATGATGAACTGAAGTCAGGAAGGGAGTAAAGAAGAGGGAGTGCTGTGTAACATATAGTAAGGAGGAAAGGAGGAGGGAGGAACTCGTGCGGACCCCCGGGCAAGTTTCGGGGTCGGTCCACACCCCTTCCGGTGATCTTATCTGATCTTTCTTTTGTGCAGCCTATAATGGACTGTGAATTACTCCGTACGCCATCGAGAGAAAGCCAAACCAGTCGCTCACTACTATTCCTACTTCCTGACCATATCCAGTGGCCTTGAAAGAGGAGACTATAGAAATAATCCTCTCCGTCAAGAGTTGATCATGGGTCACATGATCTATGAATTGGTCTCGTGGCGCAATGGTAGCGCGTTAGTTTCCGGTACTAAAGGTTGTGCGTTCGAGTCGCACCGGGATCGTTTTTTGTGTTCTGATCCTTTCCAACACCCCTGTCAATCTTGGCCAGTGTCGGGAAATGAAATCCTTCTTTTTTTTTTTTTTTTTTTTGGTTTAACAATCTTACCTGACTATACTGTATAGCTATGTGGCCCAGATCCCATTAACCAAAGGGTGTTGTGATTCTGGGGTGTTCATGTAACGGCCTCGCAAAGTCCACCCAAACCGGGTAATTCTGGTCACTAGCCGGGTATGGTTTTACATAAAAGGGTGTATAGGTAAGTTGAAGGTTTCTTCTGTATGCTGCCCGTAGGGCTACAAGGCCGGGGCGACTCAGATGACGCAATGATTTATCTATATAGCGGTAACATTAGCCATACGATCCAAAAGTGTCTCCCACAGGGAAGGGATCGCTCATCAAACTGCCGAGGTTAATACTGTAGCCAATCCAGATAGACAGAACTTCCTAAAGCTGTCCGGGGAACGGAGGCGAGACAAAAGCTCACTGGGATCGAGCTGTCAAGCTGCTTGGAAGAGTCAGCAAAAACAGAAAAAAGAAAATATAATATCATTCACCTAGCTAGTAATCATTGCTGTAGTGACCTTGGGATTTCAACGCAAAAATAAGGAATGATATGAGCGAAAGTGGCAAAAAAGTGCAAGGAAGTGTACAGAAGCTAACCTGCTGCTAGCTTAGACAATACCAGAGCTCTGGTATCTCGATTAAATAATATTGGCGAATTCACTTTTGTTGTTGTTACATGTGCGATCAAATAATACCACTCGACTAAAAAGGCGTCCAGACACCAAGATAGATGTGATGTTGCATGATACTGAGTTTGACATCATATGGCCACGGAGGCATTCAGTGAAGAGAAAAAGATGAGACACGGCCTATTACCAAGGAAAGTAAAACCATAGGACTGCTTTCACCAGGGAAACCGCTAACATATAAGCGGCTAAGCCACACTGTACCAGAGGAGCTCTTACACTCCCAATTGTTGGACCATTGTTGAAGCTCAAATCAAAAGCGATAAAAATCAAAATTTAGCATCAGCTTCATTCACGTCCTTACCATAGCTATACCGCTGGTATGTCCTGGATACCTGCGGTGCTTTGAACAGTCTTTCTGATTGTATTTTCAAGAAATACAGGCCAATAAACGGTAAGTTCTGGACGGCAGTGACCGGAAATGTTCCCGGGGCAGGCACAGTGTGAGAGAGGGGGGGGGGGTCACTACTAGTAATACAGCGAGAGTGAAGACAAGCTATTCACTCGCTGCTCACTACAGGCAACAGATTCATACTTAACCTCATTATAGATAGCAGTCCATCTGTCTGTTCTTCCTCACTCTTTAAAAGGAAAAAACCCATCATCTTGATACCTCGATTTGTATACTCTTATCGTCATGGATGAATACGAAGTGAGTACGGAGCCTATGGACCTCGACCTGGACATCTGGTTCTGTGAGAGCTGTAACTGGACCATGCGAGAGAGCCAGCGCGGCGCACACATCAAGACCGAATCTCACATCCAGAGACTTCAGTGGCCACCTCACCCCCAGACGCTGCAGTTGCCGTTTCGCCCCAAGTCACCTGCACCCGGAGCACTCGCGGACACCCCGTTCGATTCCTACGAGGATAAATCGCGCGACGCTACCGGGTTCTTTGACTTGCCCCTCGTCCATTTGTCGGCAAGTAACAAGTTCACCTCGCTCAATTCGACCAAGAATAACCCGCGTGATCCTACCGACTTGCCCCTCAATGAATCATCGGCAGATAACGAGTCCAACACGCTCGGTGCGACTAAGGATAACCCGCGTGACGCTAATAATTCTCTCGACTTGATCCTCATCGACTTGTCGGATGATGACGAGCCTACTCCTCTCTCGTCCAACTACGAATACTCGTTCAAGGGACGACCCCGTGGTCAACAGCATTGGACCTGCCGAGGATGCCGCCAGGTCATGGACATAGTTCAGAAAAAATATCATCTGTGCGACACTCCCCACTCGACAACCATGCGCCAGAGAGCAGAGAAATGGACCTGTGACGAATGTGGGATCAATATGAACATGACTGACCGGGAAAGTCACCTGCGAGATCCGAGCCACGAGGAAAACGCGGCCAAACGCATCCACTATCATCCTAACGGCAAGCGTCATATCAAAATCAAGGATATCAGCCGTGTCTACAGGCAGAGTCCGATCCCTGTCCGACTGTACAAGAGAGTGGGGGCCTACAGGGGGATTTGGAAAGGAGCGGCATCTTTCGTCACCGCGGAGCAGATCGAGAAGGTATCGAGGGAGTTTGAAGGCGAGGAGAGGAGAGGGAGGGTGGATGCACGGGCACTTCGCCGCGGTGAAGCCTTCAGGAACAGGAACAGGTATTTTTAGATGGACGTTATCATGTACTGTTGCTAGTGGAATTGTCAGTCAGAGGGTTAGCTTTTAGCTTGAACTAGGTATTTGTGGACGGAATTAGCAGAAGGTTGTTCCAGGACTACTAAGTACTACCAGACAAGTTTAAAGCCGCGCGAGGAGGAGGAAGAGGAAGGAAGAGGTGGCTGCAGGCAGTCACTGGCAGGCGCTAACCTCAGGCACCTCTGCCCTTGTGATAGTAGACGGACCTGAGGGGTTGGACTAGACACTAGGAATCCACCCCCGGTCCTGCATGACGTTGAGGATTTCTTTTAATTTCAACTGCCGCTACACTGTTTGGCAGACTTGGACCGTGATCCCTGCTTGAGAGAGACATGACTTGCCCCTGCATCCTGCATCCTGTGGTGTGAGTGGTGTGTTGCTTGGCCCTTCGAACATTTGCTTCACATGAGCTCTTTTTTTTGCATGACCGGAGACACCCTCCATTTTCTCGCCTGGGTGAGACATCAACAACCATCTAGCCAGCATGTGCAGGTCTCAATTGATAATTGTGGGAACGGACTGATGGCCCTTAGCGTGGGCCCAGCCTTCTAGTATGTACTATCTAGATAGAGGAGTGAGCACGAACCCTTCCGATATTAAGACTTACTGCATAACACTTCCAAAAATAACCGGCCGAGTGGGATCGGCAGTCGCCAAATCATTCTGCATCGGTTGACAAGTTGACAGACAGCCTGCCCTGGTGGTGGTGGTGGTGGGCCGGGGAGGGGTGGCCGGGAATCTGCAGACTAACCTGCATTGGTAATCTTCTAGGCATGCTAAGCGCCGACCCCCTCACCGTGAGATATTAGAGCTGCAGCACCCATTTCCCTATTAATAGTAGACGCCTGAGGAATCGGACATTTTGGGGCATCTGGCGCCAATGACAGCCCGTCATAGAACAGGGAAACGGCATGGGGAAAGGCTTCAGTCGTGAGATGCACCAATCATGGGTCGCGATAGGCCTCGCCTCTGCAGAACAGACGCCAGGGAAAATGAGCGTGATGAGCGTGTTTCGCGTGGCTCACACCGCATAGACACACCCTCTTCATTTTGACTTTGCGGAGGCCTGAAGGATTCCTGGCCGGCGCATTTCTGCACCAATCCAGAGGCAGGATCCCTTGTCCTCCCCGCCGGCGGCTTGGGGATGCCTGTGAGTCGAGGCTGTTTATAGACACAACATTTCGGGTTTCAACTGCCGGCCCGGTACTTCGTTTAATTGCACATGTCATCCGGGTGCTATATATGCCTGCCTCGAACGTGCATGTGTGGATTTTTTTGTCTGCCAATCCTCTCGACACCTTCCTCTTAACATCGCTATCCACATTTTCAAGGAACTCATATCTTTCCTCATAGCCACCTTCACCTATCCCCTCATCACCATCAAGATACCCTTTCCAGCGGGCTGGCATTTTTTGAGATCCATTTCAAGTTTCTTCTCATACCCCACTGGTACTCGCATACGTTGTATGCCGACATCTCTCCTACACACAACATAAGTCATACCAAGCATCCGGAATGCGTGCGAGCCTTTTCCTCCTGAGCTGCTTGACAGCCAGCTCTCTTGCAGCGCCAACACTATTGGACGAGGTATACGACTACTCGACCGATCTGGCCATCTTCCTCGGAAGAGTGAGCAAGTATATTGACGAAGCCAAGGGCCTCTTCAAAAACTCGAACTCCTGTGACACGTCGAAGATCGCACTACCCTCATATGCATCTTCATTGCCCTCACCATCCGGCATGAGCGCAATTTATGTTGCGGTTGGCCGTGGAACACAAGTGAGTGAAATGACCTACCGTCACACAACCATGCAGGGGAACCCCTCGGACTGACCAGCCCCCAGAATTATACCTGTGCGACCTCCTCCTCAAACTCCACCCCGGTAGCCATCGGCGCCGTGGCACGCCTCTACGACGCGACCTGCCTGGCAGCCAACTACCCGGACCTGCTGGAAACACTTCCGGGTATCGTGTATCAGAACGCGCTGCCCAGTAGCGAGGAGACTCCTCTTCCGCCAGCGAACCTCAACCTTCTGGGCCACCATTTCTTCAGGGACACGACCACCCCGGTTTTCAACCTCGACACTACATCTTCCGAGCAGCACGGGATCGCGATCACGAAGAAGCTCGACGCCATCGATGCTCCGTCGAGTGCCATTAAAGGCCAAAACGGCGCCGTCCAATGGCTTTACCTCCATGCGATTAACGGCACCGTCGGAGAATACGAGGGCGTCTATCGGGTGTCTACCGTTGCAGGCTCCGCCCCGGACACTTGCGAGGGCATGCACTCAAATTTCACGGTCCAGTATTCCGCGCTGTACTATTTCTATGGTGCGTAATAGTGCTTGGGAAAGAAGGGTAGGGGATTGAGCGATCGCACTGTAAATAGAAGGGGTTAGAGAATTGACATGGTTAATGACATCAAGGGATGGCCGTAAACATGACATGTTGATGTTTGTCTAAGCGCCGACGAGCCGTAGCAAACAGCCACGCGGCCTCCGATTGGCAGGGCTGACAGGATCAGGTGACCTCGCTATTTAGCAGAGTCACGTGTGACAAGTGCCCACAGCAGCAGGTCCCACTAGCCTCCATGCAGACTAGCGCTTCCTGATTTTCGAAAGATTCCAAGGCTCCGTCTGAAAAATCTCGACCGCAACAACGACGAGCAGCACGGCCGCGACCGAACACTGAACGCCAGTGCGGAGACGATATTTCTGCAATAAACTGCTCTTCCACGTCCTAGAGACTTCCGATCTCCGATTTTTTCCCTCCCGAACAGACTCTCCTCCCTTTCTTCCTCTCCGGTAACCCGCAACCGAGAACGAGACTCAGCCGATAATCTTTGGCTGAACCTTGAATCTATCTCTTCGACCCTTTTCGCTATATTCACATAACACAATGGGCTTCGGTGGACCTCGTGGAGGACCTGGTGGTCGCGGTGGTGGTGGCCGTGGTGGCTTCGGCGGTGGCCGTGGTGCTCCCCGTGGTGGAAGAGGTTTGTTCACGATCGATTTCCCTAGGGACCGGGCAGGCAGATGAACCCCTTCGCATTGTCGACTCTGCTGGACATTGAGATCTGTCTCGGGAGAGATTTTCTTTTTCTAGAGTATCAGGTGTCTTTCGATATGGGCGACTTTTGCTGGACCTGCGCTTCCCCCGAGGAGACGCTGTTGCTGACTGGGTTTTTCTTCGTTCTACAGGCGGACTTGGTAGCCGTGGTGGTGGTCGTGGTGGCTTTGGCGGCGGTGACCGTGGTGGCCGTGGCCGTGGCGGCGGCCGTGGTGCCCCTCGTGGTGGCCGTGGTGGTCGCGGTGGCCGTGGTGGTGCTGCTGGTGGTGCCCGCGGTGGTGCTAAGGTCATTGTGGTAGGTGTTCCAATTTTTTTTTTCATCTCCCGAGGGAATGGCTTTGACTGATATAAACTGCTTAGGAACCCCACCGTCACGCCGGTGTCTTCGTCGCTCGTGGTGGTAAGGAGGATCTGCTCGTCACCAAGAACCTCACCCCCGGAGAGGCTGTGTACGGTGAGAAGCGCATCTCCGTCGAGTCCCCCGCTCAGGAGGATGGTGCTGTGACCAAGACCGAATACCGTGTCTGGAACCCCTTCCGTTCCAAGCTGGCTGCTGGTATCCTCGGTGGTCTCGATGACATCTACATGAAGCCTGGCTCCAAGGTCCTGTACCTCGGTTCCGCCAGCGGTACCTCCGTCAGTCACGTTGCTGATATCGTCGGACCTACCGGAAACGTCTACGCTGTTGAATTCTCCCACCGTTCCGGCCGTGACTTGATCGGCATGGCTACCCACCGCACCAACGTCATCCCCATCGTCGAGGACGCCAGACACCCTCTCCGCTACCGGATGCTCATCCCCATGGTCGATGTCATCTTCGCCGATGTTGCCCAGCCCGACCAGGCCCGTATCGTGGGTCTCAACGCCCACATGTTCCTCAAGGAGGGCGGTGGTGTCATCATCTCCGTCAAGGCCAACTGTATCGACTCTACGGCCAAGCCCGAGGTCGTGTTCGCCCGTGAAGTCCAGAAGATGAGAGAGGAGCGCATCAAGCCCCGGGAACAGCTGACCCTGGAGCCCTTCGAGCGTGACCACTGCATAGTGTCTGGTATCTACAAGCGCGCTGCATGAACTTAGGAAAAAAAGAATTGGTGGTTTTTGCTCTCTCATGTTTTAATTACTTATGCTCTTTTATGGCGTCAAGTGTTCCCGTGATGTGTTGAAATGTTTCATTATTTCCTTCGTGTCCATGTTCAGGTTTCTTAGAGTACTGTATGTCTTGGGTCAGAAAATTTCGAGGTTTACGCTTTCTGCTCGTTCAAAAGATGTACGCGCCTGATTTAGCTGCTAGTTAAGCAATTTGAACCTGATATCATGCTGATATGTATACTCCATTTTTTGAATGATACGCTGGGAAGTCACTCTCTATAAGTAGGTCGCGCAGGTAGGCAGGTGGAATTGGCCACGCGTAGGTAGGTCGAAATTACTGCGTGCAGGCAAGGTTGAATTAGGGCATTTCATCACGTACAGAGATATCAAGGGAAGCGCTGAATCATTTCTTATATAGGAATCAACGAAGCGGTAAAGGAACTTCAAAGAAACAACCGTTTTCGTCTGATGACCGCCGCGGCTTGCATCATAAACGACAGACAGTTTCCTGTTGCGCTGCCTTTACTGCTGACTTATGTTACTGGCGGTCGAGTCATCATTTGTTGAGGAAGGCTAAGTGACTGGCTACCCCGTGATCTTCAGGCGTAGGAGATTCGTATATCGGACTTTCGCCGGCATTCGATTGCTTCAAACTCGGCACTCGGACCCCTCGCCGGTTAGCCTCACATTGAGAGCTGATTTAATCGGACTTGCTGCGTGGTGTCACCCTGGTGGTGATCCAACTAGCGAAAATTGTCATAATGATTGACGGCTTGAGATGGGGCGTCAGCTCATGTGTGGTAGAGTCTCCGCTCAACCCCGCAGCTGGCTGAGCATAGTATTTAGTTAGCTCCGTCAATGTCGACTCTACAACCGCATGAGCTACGAAATACACCTAGTTATCTAGCCAACATCTACACCATTCAGTGACAACAGTCAGCCTCCTCCAGAACGAACGACCATGTCGATAATCATCACCGGAGCAAGCGGCTACGTGGGCCAGGAACTGGCAGCTGCCCTCCTGGCTAGTCTCCCAGATGCAAGAGTAACGCTCACAGACGTCGTTCGTCCCGAGGTCCCCAAATCCGCCGCCCAGCATGCATCACGGACAACCTGCATCGAAGCCGACCTCACTTCCCCCAAGGTTGTGGCAGAACTCTTCACCGATTCCCACCGTTTCGATACCGTTTACCTCCTACACGGAATCATGTCCAGCGGCTCCGAAGCCAACTTCGAGCTGGGCATGCGCGTCAACCTCGACGCAACCCGTTCCATCCTCGACCGGCTCCGCAGCGTCAATGCCGGCGTGAAAGTTGTCTTCACCTCCAGTCTAGCAGTGTACGGCGTCGCACCCCCAGGATTAGTCATCAACGAGACCAATTTCCCCGCCGTGCCATCCTCATCGTACGGATCACAGAAGCTGATCATCGAGACGTTGCTGAATGATTACTCGCGCCGGGGATTCCTGGACGGACGCGCGGTTCGTGTCCCCACGGTGACGGTTCGGGCGGGAAAGCCCACGCAGGCGGCCAGTAGCTTCGCGAGTGATATTATCCGGGAGCCGTTCTTGGGGAAGAAGGCCGTTTTGCCGATTAGTCAGGATACGGAGATGTGGATTTGCTCGCCGAGAACGGTGGTGAGGAATCTGCTGCGCGCGAGGGAGATACCGAAGGAGGCGTTTGGAGACTCGCGGGCGGTCATCTTGCCTGGGTTGAAGGTGAGTATTCGGGAGATGTTGCAGGCGTTGGAGGAGATTGGGGGGCCGGAGACACGGGCGTTGGTCGAGGAGAGGTATGATGCGGATGTGGATCGCATTGTGCAGACGTGGACGCCGGATTTCGATCCGGCGCGGGCATTGAGGCTGGGGTTTGAGGAGGATATGTCAATGCGGGAGAATATTCGGCAGTATGTGAGTGGACTTGAGTCGGTTTAGGGAGGGTGGTTCGAAAATAAAAGTAAGCTAGAGGTCAATGAAAAGTAAGATATGAATAAAAGGGAAGTAAACTAAAGACAATAGGGATGTGAGGCAGGAATGAATAAGAAATGAGTTAGGATTGAAAAGAAAGCAAGTTGTTGTAGTTAGTTGATAAAGCAGCAATGTCGGGACTTGTACGGAGTAGCCAGAGTAGTAAGCAATAGGGAACAGTCGGGATCGAATGCGGTGGTTTGGAAAAGCGGGTCATGTGATTGGCTGGCGGATGGGCGAACAATTTGACTCCCGAACTTCAACCTCGCATCTCCAGGGCTGACCGTCTTGTTGCACCCTTCCTCATTCCTCCCCCCCTTCTCCCCCCAACTCACCCCCATCTTTACACAATGGCTTCCCGGCGCCTAGCGTACAGCCTGAACAATGCTCTGCGGAGCAAGGCCGCCCTGAAGGCCATCCAGCCCGTCAAGCGTGGCTTCGCTTCCCCCGTCACCCTGCCTTCCACTACCCAGTCCACGACTCTCTCCAACGGCTTCACGGTACGCGATTCGGATACCTCAATGGCCCGAGGGGGCTTGCTAACGTGATTCAGATCGCCACTGAGCACTCCCCATGGGCTCAGACCTCGACCGTCGGCGTGTGGATCGATGCTGGTAGCCGGGCAGAGACTGACAAGACCAACGGAACCGCGCACTTCCTGGAGCACCTTGCTTTCAAGGTACGACTATACTGAACACTGGTTGATGGGATTGCGAATACTGACATCGCGTAGGGCACCAACAAGCGTTCCCAGCACCAATTGGAGCTCGAGATTGAGAACATGGGCGCTCACCTGAACGCCTACACATCGGTACGGACCGGAAACATGGAAGGGTGAATCTCGGGTCGCAACTAACTTTGCATCACAGCGCGAGAACACCGTCTACTACGCCAAGTCCTTCAACAACGACGTTCCCAAGGCCGTCGACATTCTCGCCGATATCCTTCAGAACTCCAAGCTGGAGGCCTCTGCCATCGAGCGTGAGCGCGACGTCATCCTCCGTGAGCAGGAGGAGGTCGACAAGCAGCTCGAGGAGGTTGTGTTCGATCACCTCCACGCCACTGCCTACCAGGGCCAGCCCCTCGGCCGCACCATCCTCGGTCCCAAGGAGAACATCCAGACCATCTCCCGCGACAACCTGACCGAATACATCAAGACCAACTACACCGCCGACCGCATGGTCCTTGTCGGTGCCGGTGGCATCCCCCACGAGCAGCTCGTGAGACTCGCTGAGGAGCACTTCGGTGGTCTCCCCAGCAAGCCCCCTACCTCCGCCGCCCTGGCTCTCACCGCCGAGCAGAAGCGTATCCCCGAGTTCATCGGCTCCGAGGTCCGTATCCGTGACGACACCCTGCCCACTGCCCACATTGCCCTTGCCGTCGAGGGTGTCAGCTGGAAGGATGACGACTACTTCACTGCCCTCGTCACCCAGGCCATTGTCGGCAACTGGGACCGTGCCATGGGCAACTCCTCCTACATGGGCAGCAAGCTCAGCTCCTTCGTTGAGCACCACGGCCTTGCCAACAGCTTCATGAGCTTCTCCACCAGCTACAGCGACACTGGGTGAGCATCCTTCTTTCTGTGTACCTTGGTTAACGTGATACTAACCTTTCCCAGTCTCTGGGGTATCTACCTCACCTCCGAGAACACCACTCGCCTTGATGACCTGATCCACTTCACCCTCCGTGAGTGGTCTCGTCTGTGCTTCAGCGTGACCCCCGCCGAGGTTGAGCGCGCCAAGGCCCAGCTCAAGGCCTCCATCCTCCTCTCCCTGGACGGCACCACCGCTGTTGCCGAGGACATTGGTCGCCAGATCATCACCACCGGCCGCCGCTTCAGCCCCGAAGACATCGAGCGCACGATCAGCCAGATCACCGAGAAGAACGTCATGGACTTTGCCTCCCGCAAGCTGTGGGATCAGGACATTGCCATGAGCGCTGTCGGTTCCATCGAGGGCGTCCTCGACTACAACCGTATCCGCGCTGATATGAGCCGGAACTCTCTGTAAAGGAGCGGAGAAGTGAAGAGCATCTCAGATTTATGGCCCGTGTTCTGATTGTTTTGGTGATTTAATAGATAGAAGCGGTGGTCGTGCCGAGGAGCGTGTCTTGTACAGTACACAACTGTCGCTATATCAAAATGTATTGTTCAGTTTATTCCCCGTAATCTTACACCTCATTTCCCGGCAGCCATTCGACAGAATCACAACAACACAGCCAGCTAAATCGAATCGAAAACAAAAAGAAACATAAAACAAAATTGAAGAGGAATAAGAATAAGAATAAGAATAAGAATAAAAAATGATAATAAAACACCCCCGCTACCAACCAAAAAAAAAGGCAAATAATTGCATCATCCTGAAAAGATCATATCATATCCCAAAAAGAACCCAACATCACCTCCCCTCCCCAATTACCGATTCGCCTTCCCATACTGCATCTCCCCGGGAGCCTGATACCCAGATGACTGCAACAGACCGGCATGACTCTCGACCTCCTTCTCATTCTGCATGAGTGTACAGCACGGACAGCAGCACGCCCGCATACAGTCCCCACACCCGGAGCCCTCAAGCCCGAACTTCTCGCGGATCTGTCCTCGCTTCATCATGAGGGGAATGAAGTAGAGACCACAGTAGCTGGTGAGGAAGTAGAGACAGCACTGTTCATTGCAAAGAAATGAGTTGTTAGCGAGTGGATTGGTTGGTGGGGGGTGGGGGGTGGATGCACATACACTGCCGTTCATTATACTGTCGTTCTGCAGGGAGGGGTCCTTGAGACGGGAGCTGGTGCGGCCGTGAAGACAGCAGGGGCAGCAGAAGCCGAGGCAGCCTGTTTGATAATTATAATTGGGATTGATTAGTGTTCATGTTGTTTTTTTTTTTTTTTGTTTTGTTCATGTTGGTGTTGTTGCGGAGGTATGGAGAGACGGGGAAGAGACGTACATGTGCCGCATGGGGAACAGCAGTCCCAGAATCCGGAGGACCAGTCTTGACCTTCGCCCATTTTGAGTGATTTGATTTGAGTTGATTAGGAGGGTTGAGATCGTGGAGGTAAGTCAATTGAATGAGTCAATTGAACGAAAATTGTGTAGTAGGTTTGTTTGTGGGTATCGGTGTAGTTGTATAAAGATTAGTATGAGTGAACCAGAGTAGATGATATCAGCCAGAGAGGAGAGAGAAGAAAAAAAGATCTCAGCAGGAAGGCTTGGCTTTATAAATAAAAAAACCAGATACCCACTGGGATTATTCTTACTTAGGACCTTATTACATGGGGGCGATGCGAATGACAGTTTGGACCACCCTGACACACATTAGACTACTGTCTACTAAGGAAGTATGATTAGGGAAGCCCATCGTGCGTTGCATCGAACAAAGGGAAAAAATAGCCCCGGATCCACTCCGTCCACATGGGAGGGATGGGATAAAACACAGCCTTGCGTTGGTACATGAACGTTGATCGCGCGGGTCCAGCGGCAGGCAGTAGAAGTAGTAGTAGTAGATACTAGAGGAGGCAGTGTGTTTGCTTGTCTAAAGGGGAGGGGAGGAGAGCTGGGCCCGGGTTTGTTTTGGCCCTTTGGGGGCCAACAAGCATGTAAAACCACTAGGCAATCCCCTGGGGCTGGAGTCAGCCGGACCCGTCAGACGCGAACATTTCTATTTGTCGGTGGAAGGGGCAGCTGGGGGTTAATCTGTACGACTTGGAATGCGTGTGATTGTCCTTGTGAAGATTGGCAGAGTAAGGGTTTTGGAGATTGGGGGTTGAGACTGCTGCTCGTTTCATGGCTGGGAGTGTTTGGTGTTTCGGGAGCGGAATCCGCCGATGCGGGCGGTGATCGGGGATCGGGACCCGTGGGGGTTTGCTGGATGGCGTCTTGGAGAATGGAGGTTGTTGGTTCGGTCCCCTCCCCTTGACGGGATTAGAGCGCCAACCAAGCTTTTGCTACTCCGTAACGGGGCCCATGTTCCTGGGGACTGTGGTTTCAGCCCAGCCACAGAAGTGCTGCGTAGCATTGCCCTCCGTTCCCCTCCTCGCTTGGTACTATACCGGAATATTCGGCTCCATTCGGGTGCTGGCTTCATCGGATTTGGGCGCCATTGCATGATCGATGAATGTAACCTCCACGGGGGGGTACGATAAGGGTGGAGATTGTGCGGCTGATCCTCCCGAATCGATTGGCGGGTTCGCGTATACTTACGGCGACACAGCTGAGATGGAGGCTCAGCCTTGGACAAGGAAAATGGGAAAAATCTTAACTTTGGATGCTCCCGAGACAAGGACACTAACCAGTGGAGTGGAGGAGTTGATGGGTCGCGGTCAGTATAGACATCACCCACATGGAAGATTTTACTCTGGTGTTACCCTCCACGTCAACAAAAGCAAAGAACGAAGAGCTGATGCCGCACACAGGGCTAGCCATTTTCGTTGTTGACATCTCCTTGACTGCCAGCCCTCAATACCCCCCCCGCCCATCGTCGCTGCCAGCGCCGAGCCACCACTAGGAAGATACCAGGGAGGGCTATGGCTGGCTAAGCCCTTCTCCAAGCGAACAAGCCCTGGTCAAAAGCGGGTTTTCAACGACCAACCCCTGCAAATCCCTCGAGCTACCGCAAAGGCAGCCGCAGCCGCAAGATACAGCACCCCCGCGAAGACAATAAGCCCGTCATACTCGCCATGATCGCGCTGTTGGATTGCACCCGCAATTGGAATCCCTGTGAGGATCCCAACACTGGCAACGGTGTAAGCGGTGCCTGTTCTCTTCCCATAATCTTCCGTCGCACATATCTGGGATATGCAGACCGGGGATAGACTCATGGCCGCTCCGCTCCAGAATCCAAAGAGCACGGCATAGCAGACAATCGCACCCAGGCTACTCCCTGATTTGTACCACAGCGCAAGGGTCAGGATTGAGCATACGAGAGAGGTCAGAACCATCGTGTTGAATCGGCCTAGTCGATCCGCAGCCAGGCCTGGAAGAAGACGCCCTGGGATCAGTCCGAGGTTCAGGAATACAAGCACCAGATAAGAGATTGTGTTGCTCAAACCAACGTGAACCGCATACGAGGAGAGGTAAGTGCTTGGTACGAAAACAGCGAACTCAACCAAGAAGATGGCTGCCGTGGTGGCAGCGTATTCGGCATCCCTTAACGCCTTGATATCCAGAAGTGCACTTGTCCCAGTTTCTTCGCCGAGAGGAAGTCGAGTCCTGATTAAGAAGCAGGCTGTGGCACAGAGAATGGCGCTGATGAGTGCAATTATCCGGATAGCCCATCCGAATCCGATCTTTGGTGCCGTGAAATAGATGATCGCAGGGAAAATCACACCTCCCAGCCCACCTGCCGTGCAAGCAAGGCCGGTGACAAAGGCTCGTCGAGTATTGAACCAGTGGCCAATTGCTGCGACAGCCGGCGTAAACAGAGCACTGGCTGATAATCCACCCAAGACACTAAAGGAGAGGAAGACCTGATAATACTCTAGATTTATGGCGTAGTTAGCGATGAGCTCTGCTGCTACCACCACACTTGATATACTACCCTCGCTGACGCTAAAGCAAACCAATGCTACAACCATTCCAATAGATCCTGAGATAATGATGTAAGTTGGTCCCCACGTATCCAGAATTGGCCCTGTAGATAAACCGGGGGGAGATTGTGTTAGCTGCGCCACATCGTTGCACCCGACCAATTCGGGTTGACGTGAAGCACGCACCACTCTGAGCCCCTGCAAAGTAAAGGAAAAAGCCGTAAGCCCCATATATCCAACCATAACTTGACTCCGGGTAGTCCTTGAGCTGGTGGGTACTTGTCCAGATATGGAGAGTACCCGCAGTGTTCATCAACCCCAATGCTGGGATCATGGCACACCACGCCCCGAGAACGACTAGCCATGCCCTGAGGCCTCCTTCGGGATAGACCGTTTGGTCTGAGGCATCCGAAGAAGCTGTAAATGATGTAGATATCTCAACTTCCATGTTTGTTCGAGCTGATAGTATAAGGTGTATGATCAGGTCAAGCTTCGGCTGAGCATATTCCATAGCAACTTGATAGAAGAAAGCACGCCGTGGCTGTTTAATAGACATGCGCTGTGAGGCGGTGATTGCTGCGCTGGCATCGGAAAATTGACGCCCAGCCATGCAAGGGCTACATGCATCTTTTCGCTAATTGCCAATATGTATTAGTATGTAGTATACCAAACAATGTTTAAACTTTGAAGTATAAAGCCGGCCATAGTTGTTTAATGCTGCCTTGGAGACCAGCAACATCTAAACGACTTGTATCTTTGCTGGTCCAAGAGCAAACATGCGAATGCTGTACCCATTTTTACTGCCTGTCTTTGTCAGCCAGCTTTTCCATCATATGAGGCTAAGTATGTATCTTGAAAGTGGTGGTTCAAATGATAAGTAATAATAACCAGCAAGCGTAGATGTATACCCAAGCCCATCGAAGATGGATGAATGGTCGCACTCTCGAGCAACTGGCCAACTGATGTTCCCGGCTGGGCTAACCACAAACAGCTAGCGTGGGCGTGGGCGGGTACCGTGCCATATATCGGGCCGACATGTTCCGAGGCGGGAAGGCTTAGATAATCGCCGGCGGACTGAGGGCGCGATTGGCGATCGTTTGATTTCTGCAGCGTGCAGCGGAGAAATTGCGGAAGCTTGCTTTGTCCTTCATCGCAATCATCTTTGTCACCATGGGTAAGCCACGCGGGAGAAAGGTATGTATGGCTGCTTAGGCCCTAAGTCTTTTCATTAATTGATTTTCTTCTGCTTGCTTCTATCCCCGAACTTCCACTGACCTCATGATTTAACCGCAGGGTAACAGAGGCGGCGGCGCAGGTCGCGAACGCCAAAACTGGCAGGCAGTCGCCAAAGAGAACGAGAAATTCGAGAGCTACTATAACCAGCAGGGGTTTATCCCGGAGGAGGAGAGGGAGGCTTTCTGGGAAGCCATCAGGAGAGATCTTCCCAACAGCTTCCGTTTCACTGGCTCAAGAGGGTACGCCATGGCACTTGGTTTACGCAGTCTTATTGTTCTGTGCACTAACATCCGCTTCAAGCCATGCTCTGGCCGTCCAGGAAAAGCTCAAGAACCACTATGTCCCCGAAATCACCTCCATCAAGTATGAGGGCAACTTCGTCGAGCCACCCCGTGCGATCCCCTGGTACCCCGACCAGCTCGCTTGGTCCATGACGACTCCCAAGCAAGTCATCCGGCGCTTCGCACCATTCTCCTCCTTCCAGAAGTTCCTCGTTGCCGAGACTGAAGTTGGCAACATCAGCAGACAGGAGGTTGTCAGCATGATCCCCCCTCTTCTGCTCGACGTCAAGCCCGGCATGGTCGTGCTGGACATGTGCGCTGCCCCCGGCAGCAAGTCTGCACAGCTCATGGAGATGATCCACGCCGGAGAAGAGGAGGCTATGCGACAGGTTACGGAGCAGGTGGAGAATGGTACTGCCTCCGCTGAACCTATGGGCCCCGAGGGTCTCAGTGACGATGGCAGAACTACGGGCCTGTTGATCGCCAACGATGCCGACTACAAGCGCGCGCACATGCTTATCCATCAGATGAAGCGACTTAGCTCCCCGAACCTGATTGTCACCAACCACGATGCTACCATGTTCCCCTCGATCAAGCTGCCATCGCCTCCTAGCACCGACGGAAAGCCCTCCAAGAACCGTTATCTCAAGTTTGATCGCATTCTGGCCGATGTGCCCTGCACTGGTGACGGAACTGCTAGAAAGAATTGGGGTGTCTGGAGGGATTGGAACTTCAACAACGCTCTGGGACTGTACGCTACTCAGGTCCGGATCCTTGTCCGTGCTTTGCAGATGTTGAAGGTCGGCGGTCGTGTCGTTTATTCGACCTGCAGTTTGAACCCCATCGAGAACGAGGCTGTTATTGCTAGCGCGCTGGAACGCTGCGGTGGCTCGGCCAATGTTCGCATCGTCGACTGCAGCAATGAGCTTCCTGGACTGAAGAGAGCCCCTGGCTTGCGGACGTGGAAGGTCATGGATCGTGAGGGTCGTATGTACAACAGCTGGAAGGAAGTTGAGGAGCGGAAGGAGAGTGAAGGCATCAACGGCCTTGGCCGGGTTGCCGAGGGAATGTTCCCGCCTACCGAGGACCTGCCTCTTGAAAGATGTATCCGTGTCTACCCCCACCAGCAGGACACCGGTGGTTTCTTCATCACGGTTCTTGAGAAGCTGACTGAGATCCGTGCCAAGCCGGAAGATTCCTCCAAGGTTATCCCTAAGGCTTCGATTGCCGCGCTCACTGAGGAGCTCGACTTCAAGCAGAAGAATGGAGACGCACAGCCCCTCGAGAAGCTGAATGCGTTGGACGACTTGGTCGCTCCCGACCAGGAGGCTTTGATGGAAGCGGAGAAGAACGCATCCGTTGCTCAGGCTACCCACCAACTGCCCTACTCTGCCACCAACCAAACCTCCCCTGCCAAGAGGGACGCCGAAGGCATGGAAGACGAGCTCCCGTCTAAGAGGACCAAGCTTGAGGATGGCACCGAGGTCGTTCTGGGAGACCGTCCTGTTCATGCTCCTGCACCCGAGGCCGAGTCCGAGAACGTTGAGACGTCCGATGCGACCCCGGCGCCTACTGCGACTGCGCCTGCACAGTCTCAGTCTCAGCCCCCGCAGAAGCGGAAGAATGGCCAGCCGGTTGAGGAGCCATTCAAGTACCTGGACACTAACCAGGAAGAGCTCGATCCGATCTACAAGTTTTACGAGATCTCTGAGCGGTTCCCTCGGGACCGTTTCATGGTGCGCAACGCAGAGGCGGTTCCTGCCAGGACAGTCTACTACACCAGCGCTCTGGCTCGCGACATTCTCGTCGCGAATGAGGGACAGGGCATGAAGTTCGTGCACTGCGGTGTTAAGATGTTTGTCAGACAGGATGTGCAGCATCCTGATGTGTGCCGCTGGCGTATCCAGACAGATGGGCTGAAGATCCTCGACCCGTGCCTGGGCCCTGCTAGAGCGCTCACCCTGACTAAGAAGGAGACCTTGCGGAGGCTGCTTATCGAAATGTTCCCTAGGGTCGACGGTGATGCCTGGACAGAGCTTGGAGAAATCGGAGAGCGCATTCGGGACATCCCGATGGGCTGCAGTATCCTCCACATCAGACCCGATGCTGGCGAGGAAGGCTTCCAGTAAGTGGCATAGACCTTGGCAATTATTCCTATGAAATCCTTCGGCAATGCTAACAAAATTCCAGCGAGCGAATGGTCCTTCCCCTGTGGCGGTCTTTGCACTCCGTCAACCTCATGCTTCCCAAGGAAGATCGTCGCGCCATGCTCCAGCGTCTGTTTAACGATGATACCCCTCTGGTTAACACTACGCAAAAGCGGCAGGCACAGTCATCGACACCGGTGACTGAGCCTGTCAAAGGAGAAGAGACTCCGGTTGAGGCTCCCGCGCAGACAGAGGAAGATGTGATCAAGTCTGAGAATCTCGCCCTGGGCGAAGACGAGCAGGAGCAGATGGACACGCGCGAGACCTATACGAAGGCCGATGGTGAGGAGGATCGATTCAACACAACTGTATAAATCGATAGGAGATTTCTTGAATATATACCGCCAGTTTAATTGAATTAAAAGCTTTGAATCTTTTTACCACTTTTTGTTCTACTTTTCGGAAGATGAAGCCTGGGATTGTGTGATTCTTCGAGTATGAGCTACTCTTTGCTATAGATAAAGGACACCACCTCAGGAATTGCCGGCTAAGGTGAGCACCAAGTTTTCTTCTCGTCAAATCAGGCTGTGTTCTATTAGCCAGCTTATCCTCAAAAAAATCCCAGAAAATTACTTACCTGGAACTTGAAGGACTACACGACCGGCCACCTGGCCATTGAGCATCTTATCAATCCACGAGTCCACGTCATCCAATTTCCCTTTGGTCAAAACAGGCTGCTTAAATTAGCGCCACTGTTCCCGGTTGATAGGTAATGACAGACACTCACATGTACAATGCCTCTTGCAGCGAAGTCAAGTGCCTCATCCACTTCCTTCAGACTCCCGGTGATGGATCCCACAACGTTGAGTCTCTTCAGCGCCATCAGCATCGGTGGTGCTCCAGCTATGATCGAAGCATCCTTTGGCAGCCCAATTGCCACCAATGTGCCATTTGGCCGGAGGTATGTTGGCGCTGCGGAATATACAGCCTTGGTGGCTGCCGTCACGATAATACCATGAGCACCATGCGTGGTGATCTTCATGATTTCGGCAGCCACGTCAGATGTTTCTCGAAAATCTATGAACACCTCCGCCCCAAGCTTATGGCACAGCTCCCGCTTCTCAGCTCCTCCATCGATGGCGATAACCCTCATCCCCATGGCCCGCGCGAACTGGATTGCCAGGTGGCCGAGACCACCACCAGCGCCGGGAAGGACAATCCACTGACCGGCCTTCACATTCGACCTAAGCACAATATCTTCAGCTGAGCCCTGCAGAGAGCAATGCACGAGATAGACAGGCTTCTTACCTCTTACAAGCAGCATAAACCGTCACGCCACCACACATCATCGGGCCTGCCTCTTCATCCGTAACGCCCACCGGAATCCTCGACGCATACCGTCCATCTGCAATACAGTACTCCTGAAAGGTACCAGGAACCGAGAACCCACTATTGAGCTGGCTCACGCAATGCACCTCATCCACACCAGTCAAGCAGAACTCACAATCCCCACACGTACTCGCAATCCACTTGACTCCAGCACGCTCTCCAATCTTCCAACGCTTCTCCATCCCCTCCCCGACAGCAACAACAACACCAACCCCCTCGTGCCCGGCAATTCCTTTCGCCTGAGGCGTCATCGCCAACCCAAAATCATCCCAATCATCTCGCAAGAGCGATTTATCCGACCCACAGAGCCCAGTCCATGTGATCTTGACCAGGATCTGTCCCGGCCCGGGTGTCTCAACATCGATCATCTCTATGCTTGTGGTAGCGGAGGCACCGGATCCTTTGCGGACCGCGGCACGCTGTTGCTTGGGGATGGGGTCGGCGCGGATAGTCATGCTGTCGTACAGAGGTAACACCGAAAAACGATCGGTCGCAGGAGCTGAAATATTTGAGCAAGAGGGGAAGGGTGGTGGCCTTAAGACAGTCGCTTTTCTCCGCACTTACACGTGATGGTTCAATTTCCTTGCGGGTAATGCAATAAGGATCTCACTAACGCGTGGATCGGAGCTGCGCTCCATACAGAAAGCTCCCTGCCTGTCCGGAGGCCCAGGGGTGCTGCATTTAGTGGTCTAGTATGTCTTAGTTGATCTGCTATGCCGGGATGATCGCGATAATGATCGAGATGAGGTTTGAAGGGTGTCGACTCGATGATTGTGTCGAATTCATGGCTGTCAAGATAAATGGTCAGAAAGCTATTCCGTCGTGATCTGGTCGATAGTCGATACATACCTACTACTGCCATACTGAAGAATGCTTATTCAAGTGCGTCAGAACAATGGAGTCAACCCCACCCACCCTTGGCTCCATTTACGCTCCACCCAGTGACTGGACTAGGAAGTAGAGAGGGGCGACAAGGACGAAGTATCGACACTAACACGAAATCCTTGTCTATCATCCCTTCTCTCAGACTGAAACTTGTTTTGGCAATCCAAGTCCGATCCAATGTCAGAACTAGATATAACCATTATCAGTGTCACGCTCAAATCAAGTCTCTGACTTGAACCATTTTACTTCCTCGTCCTTATCTTCCCCGCAGGTCGAAACATTGTTTTCGCCACAGCATGGGTCTTCAGGCCAATCGACCTCGACCCACATGATATCCACCTTCTTGACATCCTCAAGGTGGATGCCTACGTCAAGAGACTTTGTGCATCGTTCCTTATGAAGCTAAACGCAAGTGTTAATTTTATGTCCTCGTAGAGGAACTTCCGTGCTTGAGTTTTGAGGGGAGATGGGGACACAACAAAGAGAATTGAGGGAGCATGGAAGAGGCGATAACGGAGAATAAGAGGTCGTGTGGGAGTCACACCAGAAGCCTGCCGTGGAGAGATAGAATTAAGCTAGAAGTTATTTACTATACAGAACTCCCATCCTTTACTTACAACCATATCCCAACGATGCTATTCTTCTCGTTTGTCCACTTAACTCCGTAACTCCTCCCTCCAAAGCTCAACCGGCAAGGCCGACGACAGCTCACAGCTCACAGCTCACAGCTCACAGCTCACAGCTCACAGCTCACCCAGCCTAGCCATGCAAACCAACAAGCTCTAGCTTGCATTAGGGGGGTTCTTCCCAGCAATCACATACCTGACTTTCTCCGCTTCTCGGTGGATTGCTTGACCGGCTTATCACCCCCTCATTTAAAGTAGCACTCGCAGCCAATGATATCACGCCCTCGGGTGAGGAGATGTAGCGGGCAGCGGGGTATAGTTACATCTGAGATGCAGTTGAGAGTGATTCTGATCATACCCCGCTTTTTTTTTGGTGGTGGTTGGAATGGGTGGCTTTTTAGCACTGTGGTTGTTGCATAATTGTCATAGCTCATTTTGTGCGATGCACGGGGGCTTTGGTAAGAAATGGGCGGTATCAGTAGTAGGTTGTGATATGGCTGTGCGGAGTATAAGTTGCATAAATTCTTGCACTGGCCACGGCATATGGTGTGGGATGGCCGGAGTTTTACCGTTGCTGTGAGCTAGATACCCCGGAAATTGGTGTTATTTCTGGGGCAGCTCGGGGTGGACTTTCGCTCATTATGCTGCATGGGCTTCAGAATAATGATACTAGGAGGATCCATCTCTTTTGCACACTTGTAAGGATCTATCCTGGGGAACAGAGCATTCATTTATATTGACCTTGCGCTAAGAGCTTATTTTCAATTCGAGGTGTACAAGCGCAATTTGGAATAAGTATATGGGTCCGAGGAATTCACACTTCTCCCATTAATTAGCAGAGGGAGTTTGAGATACGAAATTCCAAAGAGTGTGATTAAGAGACTGGAAAGTGAAAATGGGCTGCTTCGAGCCCAGGGCCTTCTTTGCTCGATATAATGTGCAATAGTGAGATGAGCACAAGAATGTTGGTCTCAGAAATCGAGCCGAATTCCAGATACCTTGGATATGGTGATCAGAACCAGATTATTTATGAGGCAGTCCTAGAACAGAAGATCAGAGTGTCCATATCTTGTTTTTAGTTATCGATGCCATAGGAAGTATGGTCAAGACCTAGGCTCCCGGAAAATTTTCACCTTTTGCGAGTATCTTCTCAGTAGCTCTCAAATGAATATGACAGGTCGGACAAAACATTCCAAATGGTACAGAAAAGAACCATTGATTCATTTCATACCAATTAAGACTACCAATGAAATGAAAGTAACGACCTGATTTACCCGATAAGGGGGTTGCGGAGACACCGTTTCGATCGAACTCTATGTTTGACAGATAATAACGTCCTGGAAGCACTAGAAGTTCATCAATACCTTGACCAGAGGTTGTTGTTCAAATCAATTCGAACGTTTGGTGGTGTATACAATCCCGGAAAAATCCATTGCCGATAGATGTACTATTATGTATGCTCTCTCAGCTTTACAACTGAACAGAAGGCTCATAGACATATGATCGGTGTTTCCGCGTGTCTGGCACTTTAATCGCTGAAGTCATGTGCACGTCCTCGACCGACATCCAGACCGTCGAGAACTCGGTACACCCGGATGCACGGCATGTAGCAAACAATTTCAATGGTCCAGGAAGCCCCGGCTTTAACCCACAGACATCGGAGATGAAGACCAGCATGGCATAGTATTTTCCGGCCCGGATGTTTGTCGGAGAAATGGGAGCACACTTGCAGAAGCATGCTTTCCCAGCTTGGTCTATCGGCCAATTTATCAAAGTTTGATTTGGCTAAGGGGTACCCCGTGCGGACAGAAATTGGCACGGAGGGTCGGCACACCTTCATTTGTGTGGCATCCTTCTCCGCAGACCTGATTTTGTCCCGACTGCTTGCCTCTCCAAACAAGTATACTCAACTCGGGGGTGCTCGAAAAGTGGCTCGTCAAAAGCGGTGGCATGATTCCGGCTGGCTGATGGTAATTAATTTCGTCATCAGACCAAGCGGCTCGCAACTAAACTTCGAGGGCTTTTTAGTAGCTAACAAACCCACCGCGGCACCAAAACCAAGATTCTCCGGTGGCACCCCGCAGTAAGCCATCCGGAAGCTTAGGCTGATTGGGCTCGGGATCCAGGGTCTTCCCGTGGGGGCCAGGGCAAAAGATAACCGATATCTTGCGAAGCAAGACAGGAGCCGATCGTCAGGAGTAACCAGGCAGATTCCAGTGTTCCTGCATGGTGATAGCCAGTCACCGCAGAAAGGCAGCAGATGGGAGGAAACGGGATGGGAGATGTGCAGGAGAGATGGGCACGACGGGGAGTATTAGCCGGGGCGGATGCCTGAGGAGACTATGCGGAGAATTGGGCCCCGCTCCCGTGCCACGCTAACCCGAAGGGGAGCGGTCCCTGTGGAGGATCTTCATTCCTCTTGCCTTCTTCCCTGCGCATCGCCGGAGTAATGTCTCTCATCATGGCCCAATGCCGGCCTGGGACGCTCCAGCATGGACAGCAAACCACACGCTAGACGATTGAGTCCGTCCGTAGACTCTGCAGGTCCCACTCTCCCTCGAACGATGATGTCGATGTTGCAAGCATTCGACTCGTGGCTGGGCTAGGTAGGATGTGACCAGCATCGGAGAGAGCGTGGGGCGCGCGGAGGGTTGGAATGGAAGATAAAATGGGCCATTCCCCCGGAGCTCCCTCCCTGCAGTGGAGTTCCTTGTGAGACTTCGAAAGGACAAAGGGCTCGGTACCGCACGCTCTTTCGTGGACCTTTGCAACATGAAGCTTTCGCCTGCCTATGGTGTTGCCTTGTTGGCAGCACAGGCAGCTGGAGCAGCTATCAAACATCGGCTCAATGGCTTAACTCTAACAGAGCACTCGGATCCCGTCAAACGGGATTTGTTGCAGGAATACGTATGTGTATTCCCAAGTGAACACATCTTCGAGTATTGACTTGTGGTAGATCACCTGGGATGACAAGTCTCTTTTCATCAAAGGAGAGAGAATTATGATATTCAGCGGCGAATTCCATCCATACCGGTATGGCTGCATGTTATCTACCATCCCCTTTGTTTGAATAATGTGTCTGACTTCTATAGACTGCCGGTGAGAGAATTGCAGCTCGATATTTTCCAGAAAGTCAAAGCTCTGGGATTTAATTGCGTCTCGTTCTACGTCGACTGGGCCCTAGTCGAAGGAAAACCGGGAGAGTATAGAGCCGATGGTATCTTTGACCTGGAGCCGTTCTTTGATGCGGCTTCAGAAGCAGGCATCTACCTGCTTGCCCGTCCTGGTCCATACATCAACGCAGAGAGCTCAGGTGGTGGATTCCCAGGATGGCTACAAAGGGTGAACGGCACTCTTCGCACGAGTGCTAAGTCATACCTGGACGCTACCGATAAGTACGGACAGCTCGCATATAATCCCTGCCCTGGCTAATGCTTGACAGCTACGTTGCCAATACGGCTGCTACTATTGCCAAGTATCAGATCACCAATGGCGGGCCAATCATCCTTTATCAGCCCGAAAATGAGTACACGTCTAGCTGCTGCGGGGTCGAATTCCCTAACGCGGACTACATGCAATACGTCGAAGACCAGGCTCGCAACGCTGGTGTTGTGATCCCGCTTATTAACAACGATGCTTCTCCTGACGGAAATAATGCTCCTGGGACCGGGAAAGGCGCGGTCAATATCTACGGTCACGACAGCTACCCGTAAGTTCCATGCAACCTGACTTAACAAACATTAACTAACTGATATAGACTTGGATTCGACTGCGTATGTATTACTTCTGAAATGATATTCTTCGCAGCTAATGTAATCAGGCCAATCCAACTGTGTGGCCCTCAGGTGACCTACCTACGGATTTCCGTACGCTACATCTCGAGCAGAGCCCAACGACACCGTACTCGATAGTTGAGGTCAGTATCTAAATACTAGAGGGTATTCTATATCTAACAGTTTGCAGTTCCAAGGCGGCTCATACGACCCGTGGGGAGGCCCTGGTTTTGCTGCGTGCGCCGATCTCCTCAACGAAGAGTTTGAAAGAGTGTTTTACAAGAATGACTTCAGCTTTCAGGTTGCCATAATGAACCTGTATATGGTGGGTGCCCTAACTCTGTCTGCGGATTAACATGCTGATTGATGAAAGATCTTTGGTGGAACCAACTGGGGCAACGTTGGTTATCCCGAAGGATACACCTCCTACGATTATGGCTCAGCTATAACCGAAAGTCGCAACATCACCCGGACTAAATACAGTGAACTTAAACTTATTGGGAATTTCATGAAGGTTTCCCCATCTTATCTCACCGCTAGCCCTGGCAGCCTGACAACATCCGGATATGCTGATACTGCTGATTTAACCGTCACACCCCTTCTCGGGAATGGCACTGGGTCATATTTCGTCATCAGGCACTCAGATTACAGTAGCGAAGATTCTACCTCCTACACAATCACTCTGCCGACCAGTGCTGGTACCCTGACTATTCCTCAGCTAGGAGGTACCCTGACTTTGAACGGACGCGACTCGAAGATCCACGTGGCTGACTACAATGTCTCCGGAACAAAGATTATCTACTCCACTGCCGAAGTTTTTACCTGGAAGAAATTCACTGACAGCAAGGTCCTCGTTCTCTATGGCGGATCTGGCGAGCACCACGAGCTATCTATCGCAAGCAGGTCAAATGTAACTGTTGTCGAAGGATCCGAATCGGGAATCACCTCGAAGCAGACCGGGAGTTCGGTTGTGGTTGGCTGGGATGTATCTGCCACTCGTCGTATCATACAGGTTGGCGACCTCAAAGTGCTCCTTCTTGGTAAGCGTACCTCTCTGGACTTATTTATTCAATCTAACCGAATACAGACAGGGAATCTGCTTACAACTACTGGGTGCCCCAACTTGCTACGGATGGCACCTCACCTGGTTTCAGCTCGCAAGAAACAGTTGCTTCATCTATCATTGTCAATGCAGGCTATCTTGTCAGAACTGCCTATTTGAAGGATGATGGTCTATACCTTACCGCAGATTTCAACGCTACAACTACGGTTGAGATATTTGGCGCTCCGTCCACTGCTCAGAGTCTATACATCAACGGCGATAAGACGACATATACTATTGATAAGAACGGCATTTGGACCGCTGAGGTAAAATACAGCGCCCCTGACATCTCAATTCCCAGCCTGGAGAGCCTGGAATGGAAATACCTGGACACTCTCCCTGAGATTCAGTCCTCGTACGATGATTCTCTCTGGCCGGCTGCCGATCTCGCCCATACCTGGAATACCTTCCGGGCCCTTGACACGCCTACTTCTCTGTACTCGTCTGATTACGGATTCCACACTGGCTATCTGCTCTACCGTGGACATTTTGTCGCCACTGGCAACGAGAGCACTTTCTTTGTGGACCCGCAAGGTGGTTCAGCTTTCGGATTTTCTGCCTGGCTGAACGGAACCTATCTGGGATCTTGGACTGGCCTTGCTGAAAACTCAGATTACAATGCGACTTTCACGCTGCCTTCGATTCAGGCAGGCAAGTCATATGTGATCACGATAGTTATCGACAACTTGGGTCTCGAGGAGAACTGGACTGTTGGTGAAGAACTGATGAAGACCCCCCGCGGTATCTTGAACTACCAGCTTTCTGGCCGTTCGGATAGTGCGATCAGCTGGAAGTTGACGGGAAACCTTGGAGGTGAAGACTACGAGGATAAGGTCCGAGGTCCTCTCAACGAGGGTGGTCTCTACGCTGAACGCCAGGGCTTCCATCAACCCGAGCCTCCCAGCCAAGACTGGAAGTCTTCTAGCCCTCTTGACGGTCTCTCCGAGCCAGGAATCGGCTTCTACAGCGCCCAGCTAGACCTTGAATTACCGACCGGCTGGGATGTGCCGCTGTATTTCAACATCGGAAACAGCACCACCCCATCGCCCTATCGCGTGCAGCTGTACGTGAACGGATACCAATATGGCAAATACATCAGCAACGTCGGACCGCAGGTCAGCTTCCCTGTTCCGGAGGGCATCCTCAACTACCGTGGAACAAATTGGCTTGCTGTCAGTCTTTGGGCTCTGGACGAGGGCGGTGCCAAGTTGGAGAGCTTCGAATTGACCCACACCACGCCAGTGCTGACGGCCCTGGGAACTGTGGCATCGGTTGACCAGCCGAAATGGACGGCAAGAGAGGGCGCATACTAGTTGTATATATGTAACTAGTCAAACTTAATGGCACTGCTGTGTCAAGACTTTTATCTGCAGCTCGGACACTTCTGTAGCCTCGCACCTAAATTGGTTCATCCCTCAGAGCATTCATGGCCATAGATATTATCTCGTAATGACGGATATTTGTGGAGAGACGGACCCGTAGGCCAGCTCCGAGTCGATGGGTTTTTTTTTTTTTTTTTTTTTTTTTGCCTCAAATGATAAAAAAAGTTGAGCGAACACCTGATTTGAATACTTTGTAGTGGAAACATTGCTTCTTGAGGTTGGATAACAGTCCCGAAGCAACAAAAGGCAAAAAAGAACTTGCTGTTGTATTGCATCATCCGTGAATCGAACACGGGCCTCATCGATGGCAACGATGAATTCTACCACTAGACCAATGATGCTAGTTGATATATTTGGCATAAATAATTTGCAATATACGTCATAACTATGTAATTGTGCCTTCTCCACAGTGCAAATAAGGAGGTTTAATGATATAATACTTTAAAATCAAGTGATTAGGAAAATATATTAGATAACTTCGTAATTATAAGAGGACTTCATAGCTTTATATAAAGCTCTATAATAATAATATATTTAGCTTATTTGAAATTAAGCTCGTACTATTGAAGTAGATCAACAATTTCTACTGCCCCCTTCGATACCATTCCCTTCTTTACGGCAAAGTGTAGCTGGGAGCTGCAGAAGATAAATTTTTTTTCGGCGGCATTCACTACTATTTTAGATAGCCCGATTATCAAATCCAGTTGTTGAAATGATGATATAAATTAGAAAACGTAGACAAGCTACCAAGTAATATATACCAACGACGCCACATCATCCCGCAGCATCGAATATAAAGACGAACGAAAACCCGAAGGAGCGAGGGTTGCTTCCTAGAAACTGTACCCCCCCATCCTCATTACCGAATTTTTTTTATTAGCTTAGAGATTACCCGCACCAGCGTTCTTCATGGTCCAAGACTCGATGTTGGTGGGAGCACGAGCGCTGGCAATGTTCTTGCCGGAGAAGCGGCTGATGATGCTGGTATCAGCGCCGCTCCAGGAGCCGGAGGAGCCGAAGGCGTTGAGCTGGCAGGAGCGGCCGAAGACGCTCTTGCACTGAGCGTTGGTGGTGGCGTCGGGGGAGCTGAACAGGGAGCCGGAGATGGGGGTCTCGACGACGGTGTCGACGTTCTGGAAGACGTTGCCCTCAGCGAGGACGTAGCCGCCGGAGCCGATCTCGAAGGCGTGGCCTTCGATGTTGTGGAAGAGGTTGTTCACCTGTCGTCTATTAGGTCATGTGGGATAGAAGGGATGGGGGGACGGCGTACGGCGTGGAGGAGAGTGTTTCCCTGGACCTTGGGCATGCGGCCGCTGAGGTAGTAGAAGTAGTTGCCCATGAGGGTGACCATGTCGTTGGAGCCGTCGAGATAGATACCCCAGTAGTGATGGCCGTTGCAGGTGGCGGAGTAGTCGGAGCGACCGTCGATCAGGGAGTAGGAGATAGTGACGCGGTTGTCGGCGCTGGTGCCGAGCACGATGTGCTGACGGGCAATGCGAGCGGTCGTGACGTGATCGATCCAGACAAGGTCGGCGTCGTCCACGGTGATGGCGTCCCCTCCCCACACGTACTGGGGGTTGATGTCGGTGATGGCGATGTTCCTGGGATATGGAGTTGGCTTGGGTGATAAGATGTAATGGGGGTTTTGGGAGAAACCCACTGGATGATGATGTTTTTGGCGCCGCTGACCATGCGGATACCCTTGCCCTTGATGACGCCCGCGCTGCCCTTGCCGACCAGACTCTTGTTGGAGTTCACGATGATACCGAGAACACCGGCAGTGTCGCTGGAACCAGTCAATACGGAGACGAAAAGATGGGGGTGGATCGACGTACTAGGTGATGGAAGAGACCTTGGGGGCGTTGGGCTCGTAGTTGTCGCACCAGTTGTGCAAGTTGATGGCAGTCTGGCAGCTGGAGGCAGTTCCCCAGGGAGAACAGCCGCTGGTGGTGGTGGTGCCCTCGGTTCCGGTAAAGTCGAAGCTGTTTCGGACAGCACTTAAGTCAGCGGCTGGCCTTAGGATTCAGCAAGACAATGGCACATACGTTCTATCAAGGACAATGACGCGAGCCTCGCTATCGCCCAAGTAAGAGACCAGCTCTTCATTGGTCGTAGGGTAGACCTCGGTGGCACTGCCACCACCGGTGACGCCCTTGGCGAAGCCCTCAGCGGAGCCAGTCACACCGGCGCTGACGGTGCTCGCAAAGGTGGCCACCGCGGCCAGTATCGTGGTGTACTTCATGGTGGATGTCAAAGATGGAAGGAAAGAAAAGAATGACTGGAAGGAATGAATGAATGTGATGTGATGATCAGGCTGTCCGGAACGAAAGGTCTTTAGATATTTATATGGATACCCATGGTTCAGTTCATGGTGGAGTGGCTTGAAGACCCCTAGTTGCAAATGTGAAAGGAGCCAGGGCTAGACTACCTGTTCGATAGTTACCAAGAACCATGAAGCAAGCATCGCGCCTTGGCTCATTGCCACTTGCTGCAGAGTAGAACCGGAGCCCCGTTTTCCATTAGGGCAAACTCCACCCCGAAGCCCGATTCGGCGATCCGGGGCTCTCGGCAGTATTTCCACAGACCCATTCCCTAACAGTTTTCACGTGTGGAGCGAGGACCCTGTTTATTAACGGCCCTGAGCTGTTTCTACCTTCTAAACGTCTTCTTCTTTGCAGGCAAGACGCTACCCCGGAGATAGGAGCGATTTATTTACGGAAGCAGTGGAAGTCAACTAATGTGTAGAAGGTGGTCAGGTGGGCACAGGGGCATGTGCCATCCTCATCCGTTAGCTGGCAGCAGTTTCTTCTTCATCGTATTCTTCATATATGTCTTGAGATTTGGCGCTACAGCAATCTCAAGACATGCTAAGGACGGAGAGTTGCCATGAGTCTTCACCAGGTACCGGTAATGTTATTGTAATACCCTGACCGTATTGTTCGAATGCTTGGCATAATCTGATTTTGCACCAGTCATGGCAGCACGACGGACCCGTGTGCATGTCACGTGAGCTGTTATGCAGTAAGAAATACATGGTAGTACCGCCAAGAGAGGAATGTCTCACCCTCATATTCCTCGTAATCGCACGGTAACTACGCTAGCAGTTGAGGTGAAATGAGTCTGATTACTGTCTCGCATGATTTTTGTTATTGCAGAGTTTTGCACGACTCTGCTAAACTTGAGGGAAAAGGTAGAGACAAGTCTCTGCATGACTGGGCTGTGAAAAAAAAAAAAAAGCTGATCTCATTTAAATGCCCTGATTGGTCAATTGTATATCTAGTTGTGGTTGCTCCGATAGGCAGGATCTTCACATCGCAAACAACTTAACGCAGTGAAGATCTATATCCTCTGGGTGGGTAGAATAGAGCTTCATTCTACTAGTTCCAGATGAAGGCTACCCGCCAATCTATTAAACACCAACGCAGCTGGGTCTAGAAGGCTCCGCGACTTCTAGTATAATTTAAAGCGGAGCTCTGCTTATATGAAGCTTAGAAAGCAGATAAGACAGGCCATTCTATGGCTACTAATTGGTAGCTTCAGTTGGTTATAAATCACATTTAATTAGCTGAATCCAAGCACGTGTCTTGGATATATATATATAGTAGTCTTTGCTTTACAGAGTAAACCCCGTTTTCCGTAGGTGAGTGGATTATAGGATAAACTAGGGCTTCACTCAGCTAAACACCACGGTAGCTATGATATAGAAAGATAAAAAGCTTCAGGGGATGGCCAGCGCCCAGTATGATGTATACTAAAGATTTGGCTTCTCTTTGCCTGCCTTGACAACCCCCACCAGCCCAAACACTGAGGGGGGTAACAGACCCGTAGTATATAAAAGTCTATAGCCATAGCCGAGTAGACTATTGGTGGCCCGGAAAAAGCCCCAAATAGAGCTGTTATTTAGAACAAGGCACTACCGTGATACGGTGACTCTGTTTATTTAAACTGAAGTCCCCGAACCGAGTCATCATCATTTTTAAACTAGGTATAATGTACTATAGGCATCTTTCCCCCCCTTCACCTTTGACTCGAGAATGAAATTACAGTAGCACCGACTTGCTCTTTTGTGAAATCTTTTTTTTTTTTGATCATCTGCGATACCAGGGTTGTGGAATCCAATGTTTCTACAAAAGGCTATGAATGATACATAAACATAAATCCTCACACAAATCACCTACAAGCATTTCAATAATGTAAATCAAGAGGCGCGGGAAGCCCAATCCCGGATCAAAGCGGCCCAACCAGTTGGTGTCCCCTCAATGCCTACCAATCCAATGAGTCTACTATGCCAATATTGAACATGTCGTTAGATAAACAAACGATATCGTGTTTAAAAAGGGTTCCAAAGAACCGAATTCAGTTTCATATATAAACAGGCCACATATATCTACATTACATCTTTTCAGAGGAGCTCGATGAAGTAACAGATCAAACCCAACTACTCTCAATCCCAACAACAGGAACAGCCTCGGGGACAGTGGGGCTCGGGCCCTGGTTACTAGCCTTTCTTGCCCTGACCTTGGTCACCGAGAAGCTTCGTCCAAGGCCCGAGCCCTTCTCTTCAGTCTTCGTTCCCCTTTTTGTAGTCTCCTCCAGACGCAGTACTACCTCAACAGCCTTGTCGTCTTCGATAACCTTGGGGTGTCTGGTGGCAAAGTATCGGGCGTACTTGAAAAGTGACCAGTAGCAGCTGACGACGTTGATTATGAACAGGACGATCTTGTACGGCATGTAGTAGACCAGTAAGCATATCCAACCGACAGATTCATTCTTCCTGCGTAGGTGGACCAGGTTGAAGATGATGACGTTTAGGAAATATAAGCCGTTAGTGGCACCAAGCATGATGCCGCAGAATGAGGGCTGGACGACGAAGGAGATTGGCAGGATAAAAGGGGCGAGTAGGTAAAGTAGCGTTTCGTAAACCTGTTTGATGAGAATGAGTATTGGGTTCGCATGGACGTGAGGCTACTAAAAGACACTGTGAAGAGTAAAACTCACCTCCTGGAAAACGAAGAGCTTGGCCCCCAATTCCCACCACCCAAGACTCCAACTGCATAGAATGTATTTCATATTGAACCACATGCCGTTAACGAAGAAGAAGTTCCAGCGAGTGAATCGCTGCTTGAAGATGGTCATCTCGCCGAAGCCACCGCGAGAACCGCCCCGGCTGAAGAAAACGGCGGACGGAGTCTCTGTTTCAACAAAGACAGACGAGCACATGGTGATGCGACCACCTAGCCGACGGCAGCTGTCACCAAAAAACCAATCTTCTGACACCGAGAAACCCGGGTGATCGTGGAAGGTTTGTTTGAGAAAGTCCGTCTTCCAGATAGAGATAGCCCCGTGCGGAAAAGTCGCACTGCCCAGGTAGCCGGCGAATGCACGTTGAAGACCAGAGATCTTATATTCAAGGTCTTGGGCTTGTTGACATAGTGTCCCGCGCGAGGATTCAGGTCCGACGCTCTTGATGGTATAGCCAACACACTGAACACGGCCCTTCAACCGGTCACTCACGACGGGGAAATTGGGGGGCAATGCGCAGTCATCGTCAATTAGCAGAGCGTAAGGAAAGTCCTTGGCTGCGTAACATCCGACAAACTGTGCAATGATCTTGCTTCCAACTGGACACCAGAGGTGATTGACCCCATAAGGGCGGCAGACCTCTTCGGTGTTGTCCAGCGGCTCGGGAGAGTTTCCATTCGCAATCACAAAGATGTTTTCCGGTGGAAAGATTTTTAGGGCGGCATCAAGCGTCGGTCCGATTATGTTGGCGGATTTGTAGCATGGGATTAACAGGGCGGTGCTTTTTGCCGTGTTCCGATTCTGTTCAATGTCCTTCTCTGTTTGGTTGTCCACTGGAGGTGGGTTTTTTTCGAAGAGTACCAGTAAGGGTGCAAATGCGTAACTATTATGTTATACATCAAAGTCAGTAACTGGTTCTTTGGAAGGAAGGCCTCGGAAACAAGAGCAGAACTCCCCGTCCTGGTCTTGGTAGAAGACCTTCACTCCTCACTCAGGGCTTCCTATGATATGCTATTATCGTACAGGGGAGAAAATATCACTTACCAGACCGCAAGACCGATTGTGATACCCCATCCTCCCTGGATAACAAACTTGGTCCGGACCACATAGTAGAGCCACCAGACAGCACCACGCCAGAGGGGCATTCCAATCAAGACGAAGTAAACGAAGGCCAGGAGGACGATATACACTGTGTATTCGAAAAGTAATTGCACCCAGTACTTCCTTTGCAGGGCGATGCGCCTCTCCTTAGCTTTTTGGTACACATCGTAGATGCTATGTCGTCTCTGGTCTCTGGCCTCAGGAACCTCCTCTGCTGGCTCAAGAATACGTGAGACTCGGTAGCTTCGAGGCCGAGCGGGAAGAGGCCATGCGTCGTCTCTCGGTCTTGGAATGGGTTCATCAATAGATGATTCATCCTCACTGGAGGTGGCCGAGGAAGATTGTTCGTTTTCAGGTGTGTGGTCGATTTGGTGGGTATCTGAGCGTGAAAGAGATGATTGATGGCTTCCAGTACCGGAGATATCAATTTCGGAGGAGCTCGTAGATATATCAGACACACTCAAAGGCGCACTCTGGCGTCTGAGGTGGAGGTTCTTGGGCTTTTCCAGTGGATGACTATTGAGACTTGCTGAGCGGCGGAGACGGCCATATCGACTTTCAAAGGCCTCTGTGCGGATGGCCTGCTGAACAGGGCCACCTCCCGACAACTGATCTGCCTGGGCTACCCAAGGTTGATGCACCTGGGTAGTCGCGGCTAAAAGATGCGGAGGAATGACCACATCTCCCACCACAGATGAACGCTTACGCGACATTTTCTCCAGCCAGCGGCAGTCGAGTGATCTGCGGCGCTGCGCAATGAACACGCGGCATTGGCCTCATTATAAACAATCAACCGCCGTGGTCCTAAGAGATATACCGGTATCCACCTAGATCTAGATTGTACCTGATTTCACGAAAAACCATTGCCATCCGGCCAAAGAAACGGATCCAGTAATCATTTCCTGGACCCATGACCGTCATCTAGAACCCTTCGTCAGTTATGTTGATTAGTAGCCTAGAGCCATTAATAGACCGTGATATGATGGGACCAACACTATTTGGGCTTGGGCAGTAGACACTAGTAGGCGAACCGGGCAGGAGTCGTCAAATTCCAAGTACTAGCTCCAAAGCCATGGCATTGGCATAAAGTACTATGTCCGTAAAGCCCTAGCTCTGATCCGCAGTCCCATTTGTCTCGCTTGAACCGACATCTTTTTTATTGACAGCAAAACACTGTACCTATTAAGTTATAAACCCTTTTATTCAGGACCGGATCCGTCCACCTTGGAGCCAACTGCATCAGCGGTGGCATGCTTTAGAATGGGTCTTGTGTTCGATCGATTCGAAAATCAGGTACCCGCTGGCCCGACCACCGAGACGAGGTTGGATCTAATTGGATCTGGTTGGATCTGATAGGATCTGGTTGGAGAGAGAGGCAATAGGACCTGAGCCATGGTAGACAGAAAAGAGATTATGCAGAGCTGTACAGAACAAGGAAAAGAACAACAACCGAGGCAGCTCGAGAGTTTACGTAACAGCAGGCTTGAGGCGCTATTTCCGGAGGGTGGCGTCGTAATCCTGGGATCGTGACGACGCCGTGGCTCCAGCCCCGATGCTTAGTTTTGCACGAAGATCTAAATCCATAGAGCTGTGTGTGGCATCCGGACAAGCGGAATGCCACCCGAATGCCACCCGAATGCCACCCGAATGCCACCCGGCAGGCCCGGCCGTCTGCCATGTTCTGTCGATAGTAGGGCTGGTTTCGGATGTCGGCCACGGCTCCACTCGGTGGGGTCGAAACATTCTGCAGGACTCCAAAAGATCGGCATCGTATCCAGTCCGAAGAATTGCAATTATTAGAAGATGAACAGATTTCTCGAATAATGACTGTGCAAATGTCTCTCCATCGATTCGATCTCGACAATTGTCTTCACCGCTAGGTTGTCTCACATTTGTCAGGCGAACAGAGGGCAAATGTGATACCTATCTAGGTGCCTGGACGGGCTTGTCTCTCAGTGCGGATGAGCTTGCCGTGATCATCCATGGTTCGTCGTTGACAAATACGCTCCGGCTCTCTGTCGACCGAGAGCCATCATATCTTGTCTTCTCGAATGTCGATTAGTTTTTCGTTGCAGTCAACTCGGTCGTCCTCCGCGAAATTCTTCTTCTGACCGCCCTGGTCCCTCCCTGGAGTGGGCTTCGATGTGGCGAATGTGGCAGCAGTTGGCATTTGGCAGAATTTCGGGGGAAAGCACCCTGTGGAAAATTGAGACTTGCGATATCACAGAATGATATTATGTGATCGGTACGTAGAGGAGGAAGGAAGAAAAATCCGGAAGGAAGACGAGGGGGGTGGTGTAAGAGAGATGATGAAATGGCGGCGCCCAATTGGAACCAACGCCCGCCTCCCCATGCATGATCTTTTCATTCACTCGGCATACGTCTGTAGTACTACTGCTTTGTAGATACTGCTCCTCTTCAACGCCACTGATCCCAGACCCACCACGGCTAGCATTTCTGAATGGACCCTTACTCCATCCATGTCATCGTCTCGCTGTCCGTCTCTCACAACCGAACTTTCGAATATAAGCCTGGAAAATGATCGTAGGCGGTCTCCTAGAGGCAAGTAGCACTGGTGCCTGGAAGGAGAGGCGTACTGATGCTCCCTCTTCCCCACAGAGTCTCTTCGACTTTCAGACCTACCAATCCACAAGTCTAAAAGCGAAGCGATCACAGACATCGCGCAGATGATATCAGAGGAGAATCCTCAAATCTGCCCTTGATCTGACACAGTATTTCAGCTAGCGCTTTTACTGGATGTTTCTGTAGTTGTTACCGTACAAGGACCGCCTGCATCGGGAAAAGCCACTCTTGCACTGCTGCTCCGGGGTTTCCTTGGTGAAACTCGTAAGGTCGTTTTCATAAGCGGCTGGAGAAGATGTGCCGAAGATGGCTTGGAAGCGAAAGGGTTTCTAGCAGAAATATGCCGTGAAGGTGGATGCGGTGATATGTCAGAAGATTGTAACCTTCTAGGATCTAGGAATAGTGATCTCGTCTTCATTATTGATGATGCTCGGGAGACATACGAAGATGAAGACTTATGGTACTTAATCAAAGCTCAATCTCTTCGAGACCATGGTCCACGATTTTGCCTGTTTGATTATTCAGATTATCCAAAAATGGAATTTCCCATTGACCTTGGCTCAATCATTGACTATGGTCTGTGTCTTGCCATCAAACTTACATGCGCGGTAAGGCTTCTATGCCAGTTGACGTAGTTTTCTGACTCACTGTCTAATAATGTTGAGAAGTATAGCTTTGTGGAATGGGCATATAGCGTTGCTCCTTTCTCTAAACCTAGTCATCCTGATATTCGGACGTTTTGTTTCCAGGTTATAGAGAAAATTTCGAAAGTCAGGCTTCTAAGGCTAAGACAAGGTATTGAGCTTGGACCTGCAAGTCAATCCAGCAAAACAGAGAGCGCCATGCAGGATGAAGTATACAGGTGCTGTTTTGAGTTGGCGCATTCGTCGAGACTGGTCAAGGGCCAACCAAGCGACCGGCAGTATCGAAATTCCACACACTGGCCGGTCAATAATCTTTTTTCCGATTGATTCTCATGAAGGCAAGCGTGTCATCTCAGAATTCTGCCCCAAGAAGATTCACAGATTTCCGAGCTTTGAATGGGTTCATATGGATCCAGACCCATCCAAACGCTGCGACATATTTGACGAAGAACCTTTTTCAAACAATGGAGCCGGTAAGACCTCATTCCAGGTCCAGCATGGTGATGATATTGGGACTAACCTTGCCTTTAAGTTGCGACGATTTCAATGATGTGGGAGTATGGCATTGCTTGGTGTCTAGACCCCTCTAGACTCCCTTAGTTGAGGACTTGCTTCCAACTCTTTACTGAGAGGTACAAGACCATGGCATTTAATAGTACTGCTTTTTTGGTCAAATTCCATGTTCCTCTAGTTGCTATTGTTTCCGACTTCTTTATTGCAGCATAGCTCAGCAGCAACTTTATAATACTAAAAAAAATTGAACTTAGCTCAAACAAATTTAACAAGTTGTTATGGTATAATCGAAGAATTTTTTGTTAAAAAAAATTGGTGTCTTTTGCTTCGCCCAGAAATAGCAGAGCCAGCCTTAGGATCAGATTGAGTGGAACCAGGAAGGGTGTACACCTTGACATACAAATCAACATTATTATTGACCGCAGCAGGAGCTATACAATGGTTAATCTTTTATCCCGCTAGTAAATAGTGCGAAGGCATGGGGCAAACAAGAAGAAGGAAGGGGCCATGATATGTGGGGGGAAAAAGCTCTGCGGGACGCGAAGGAATGCAACGGAGACAGTGGAGCAACAATGCGAGATAAGCACCCAAGCATGGATGGCATGCATCTTAATCTCGATCTACTAATGATAGCTTGAAGCACTGTGGCACAATACTATTGACAAAACAATAAGGACACCTGAAGGAAACTGACAGGGGACAGACAGGCAGACTAACACTCAGGCACTCCGTAGCTTTGTTGTGTCTTACCCACCGGTCGCTGATTCGCGCATCGCGTTCAAGCCCTGTACTCCAGTCCAATCCTGTCGATCGAATCCATGCCACCCCAGCCACCGAATAAACCAACACAACAGTCCGTCCGCCTCGTCATCGTCCTGACCCTGCTCGTCTTTTCTCTCTACCTCGTCCCCCCCTCCTTCTTTTTTGCATCTATCTCTGAATAGCGGAATAAATTCATTATTATCGCGAGTATACATTCATACTCATCTACACTAATACTGGTCGATGAACCACCCGCGCAATACACTCTCCACCTCCACCTCCACCCACCAACAACAACCGCAACCGCAACCGCAACCGCAATGACTCCAATCCCGCTACCGCTACGAATACGAATACCCGATCTAAACACTCTCCTCCACCTCCCATCTCATCTTCATCAACATGAAAACCAAAATGACAGCCAGCCGCCACTCCCATCAACAACCCCCGATAACAACAACAATACCAATAATAACAACCACAACCACAATAACAACAACTACACCCCCCTCGACCTCAAACGCTCCGCCCCGGTCACCATCCCCTCAACCTACCACACACACGGCCCGTCCCCAGGCACCGTCGCCGGAATCGTCATCGGCAGCGTCCTCGGCTTCCTCCTCCTCCTCTACCTAATCTACCTGGGGCTCGGCGCGGGACGCAAATTCTCCAGCGAGGCCAGCACAGTGGAAAACATGTCGGAGGTGGTGGTGGAAGAGGAAGAGGGGAGTTTGCGGTCGCGTCGACCGCCGCGGCGGAGGCGTCGCGAGGTCGTCGAGGAGATTTTCGAGGCGCGTGGGGGAGGGAGGCGGGGGAGACGGACTAGGGGGACACGACCGGGTGGTGGGGGGTCAGGAGGAGGGGGGCGCATTGTCGTTGAGGAGTCGGTTACATCGCCCGATCGGTCGGATGTGGTGGAGGTTTTGGAGGAGCATTCCAGTGTGGAGGGGCCTGAGGCGGGGAGGAGAAGGAGTAGGGCGGGGGCTTATCGGAGGGTGGATCCGGAAGCATTTGGCGGGTTGACGGAGGATGAGAGTTTGAGGTCTTAGGTTGGTTGGTTAATTAGATGGATGGATGGATGAGAAGGGGTGTGAGGTGTGGTTGGATTGAGCTGGATTGGACTGGCTTGATTGATTGATTGATTGATTGATTTGATACCCTGCCTGTTTATTAGGATGTTACATACTGTCCCTTCTGCATTTTATACACATAACATGATACGAGACTACCTAAGACATGATAATGTTAATCACGTTAGCAATGATTGAATTGAAAGTGATCATGCGAAGAAAGCAAGCAAACGAACATGCGCCGCTAAGCGCCGACGCCAGTCTATCCTGACTGACTGGTGGAACCAAATATAGAAACCCCGAGCCCCGTGCTCAGTGCACTTGCGCCAACCGGAGGGGAAGAAAAAAATACAGTATCCATCGCGACCGACCATCCACTTCAATCCGGGGGCCAAAAAGAAAAGAGTGCGCGCTTGCGACCTTAGAACAGAATATCCAAACAGCAACAGCATGCCAACGCGGCCATTATACCGGCGCAAATACCCCCGCCAGATGATCCGCCCCGGTCCTGTCCTGCGTAGTAGCCTTGCGGCTGCTGCTGCGGAGGAGGATAGTACATCGGCTGGCCTTGAGGAGGCGGCGGAGAGCCATAGTATCCTTGCTGGGGCGGGGGGCCGTAGTTCTGGGGCGGATAGCCCTGAGGCGGGTAGCCCTGGTTATATCCTTGGTTATAGCCTTGGTTTTGGTAGTATTCTTGTTGAGCGCCTTGCTGGTAGGGACCGGCGTCGTGGGTGGGAGGAGGGTACGAGGGAGGAGGTTGCTCCTGTTGAGGTGTTAGTCGGGTGGTGTGTGTTAGGGTGGTGGGCAAAGTTTGGGACGAACATACCGGTTTGTTGTAGGACATATTTCAGGAGGTGATTAATTTGGACGTGTCGATCAAGTACAGAGTGGTAGTTATGCGACTTTGAAAATAAGAGATGTCTAGGTGATCCTGTCGGTTGTGGGGACGAGGATCGAGGAAGAATGCGGAATGGAAGAAATGCGGAGAGCGAAGATGAGGAGACTGAGAGAGCGAAAGACGCCGAGAAGAACCAACTGGATGGCACCGCTTGGCGGGTGGTCCGGATTAGGCAACCGGCATTGTAGGTCTGCGCATGGGATGACGAAACGCTACTGGCTGGCCAGCAGCACTATTTTAAAACCCGCCCTGTGTCATGCAGACAGGTTCGTGGTCCCTGAGAGACGATCGGTCGGCTCCGTCACACAACCTCTCTTCTAGAAGACAATACAAAGCTCCCACCTGCTACTCCGTATGGGTGGCTTTTATTGTCATACCGGACCACTTCCCTCTTTCCTCGGTTCTCAGCACAGCAAAAGAGGAGGACACATGACGAGTATCTTATCTTGGCGCGGCAGTTCAATGGGACGGGCACCACCCTAAACCTCTTTTGGCGTAGTCCCTCTTCGTCCGTCGATGTACGTGCCGACGCGGCAGTTGGCACCTCCGACCTCCGGCACCTTTCTTGCTTTCTACCGGCGGCCTCAATTTGCCTTACTTCTTCCCAGAGACCCATGCTTTCTTTGCAGAAATCTACAGACATGACATATACCGCGGTACTGTTTTTCTTCCCGCATCTCACCGTCGAGTTTCGACGGCGTTGACTGACGCGGAGAGTTCCCTCCAAGGATACCAGCCTCACTCACTGCCTTGCTATGCAGTTATTTTCTCTAGTACCCATACTGGCTCTTAGTAACTGCAAACCAGTCTGATCTTAGGAACGTCCTGGTTGGTGATTACATGTCGGTTGCCTCTTCACCCCGGATTTTAACTGCAGTACAAACAACGATCTTTATAATCTACCGATCCGGTCGATAGTCTCGCATCGTTAAAGTCGCCCTCAGTCCGAATATGCAGAGTGCTTTGACAAATGTTGATCGAGCGATATCTGAGACAGTCCCCATCTTGAAACCATGAGAAATAATGAAGGATGGTTCTCGGATAATGAGAGCAAGCATCACATCCAGACCTTCCGAGAGCTTCAGAATTGGCCTGCTGATAATCCTTCTCCGGCGGTCTTTTCTTAGCTTCTGGCCCTCGGAGTTTGTGGAAGATGTAAGCCATCGCCCGGCTTCGCAGTAGGTCCTTCGTCAAGGCATGACTCTACTCGACACTCTTGGCGGATTTCCACACTCATTGACGCCGTCGCACTCGTTCCTTGATTAAGGTGCTTTTCACGAGACTACACAGAACAGTTGGGCATTGGGCACAATCCCCAAATACAAGGCTTTGAGACCCGAGCCTTGAGATAATTCTTTATCTCTTACTCAACTGAAAATGGGAACCTTCAATTGATTGCAATGGGGATACACAACACGAGAGAGACTAGCGTTGCCATGGTCATCATTCAACCGGAAAGGATCCGAACGAACTTCCTTCCCGACAAAGGCTCGCTCCCATCCTCCTATCTGTGTGCTTGCCTTCCGTAGTTAACCAGATGCTATTAGTGCCTGAGGGGCAATGCTTGAATCTTCTCCGTGGGTTGCCGGCAAGAAGTCAAACACACACCCCACTTGAGCCAGTCGGGCGCGCAGATTGTTTTAAAGAGTCTGAAATTCGTAAGGGCTCATCCGCACTGTGAAGGCTGTCAGTCTGCCGCATACGACAGGTAAGCACTAAGCTCGATCATTTGTGGTGCTATGACCGTTGCATGGACAGTGGGTCGATTTTATCTCAGCCCAACCCGGAACTGCCGAGATCAATAAAGAAAGAGAGTCCAAACGCAAGTCTAGGAGGGCCTGGATCTACTGTATCCGCTAAGCAAGCACCGCCACAGCCCTTCAACTAAGGGTTATTCGTCATCCATACACACACGTACACCATGCACACCAACGATAAGGCTTGTTGAGAACTTGAAACTTTCTCTTTCAACAATACAAATGGCTGAGAGGCCTACATGACTGATCTGCTTGGGTAAATATATGTCTATTTCAGTACAGGATTGTCGCCATCATCACATTTAGAGTTCTCGAGGAAAAGACGATGAACAGTCAAGGCACTCCTTATCAGCCTAGAATAAACCCATCAAGTCATTTATGATTAGTTGAAGGCAGCTATGGGGCTATTATCAGTCAAGACCCGGTGAAGGATGTGCGTGCTGTTGGTGCGTGCTGTCTGGGTTTAATGCCCGCAGGGTACACGTATGCCCCGGATAACCAAGAAATTCCCAGGGTCAATCAGACCCTGGCCAGCTCCATGGACTTAAAGGGTCCTAGGAATTCTCTACCAAGCATTCGTCTGTCGATGTGCAAGATACGGCTATGCGTGTCAGCTCGACACTGGCGCAGGAATTCCTGCGTACCGCCTTGTTGGCTGTAAGTAACCTGCACCAGAAACCTGTCTATTGACTGCTCGTCCAACATTGATTTATCAAACCCTCCGGAAAGATAGCTTATACCCAGCTAGAATTTCCTACGCTCTCTTACCTTTCAAACCCCGCACAGCTTGCTTTGCTAACCTAACCGCCCATTCGCGGCTTAGACGCTAACTCAAGGCTGCATTGCGTAAGCACTCCACAAAGTAAAATTCGCGTCTATACTATGCGTCGACACACTCGATACCAGTTCAACTGCTTGGATCACGCGAGCTTTTATGCTTAATGGTCATGTTCCCGGCGGGTCCGACTGCATGCGAGTCAAGACCAAACCTGTCCGAGACGAGCACACTGCACCACCTCACAGTTGCAGAACCCGCTTAGTAGTCCTAGCACGGGTTCTCTCGTGGTGTCTCACCCAGTCTTACAGGGCCTTACTTACTATTTTTGGAAGATCACTGGTGTTTCGGCAGTAACGGCTGGCCCGTCTTTGCTAAAATGGATAGACGCTTACGTATGCCTTCGATTTTGACATGACCCCTTAGGGTTTATCAACTTATCGCGACATTGAGCCTACGTAGTAGCCGGGCTGAGCAACAATAGATAACGATGGCAAGGCTTCCAAGTCTTGCGGTCTATTGGCTTATTCTGAACCTTCTTGAGAGAAGGCTTGACGGTACACTAACGACCTTCATAGAATCGAGACCATTTTCTTTCCCGACGAGGAAAGAGCTTATTTATCCTGGGGTTTCATTTGTTGCCTTGGAAATTCGCGAATGCTCAGATCAAAACGCACTGAGATATGAGCTATAGGAACCTAACAAGTATAGACGCCGGAGACCGAACATTTGTCCCAGACTACGAGCTGCACAATGTCCCCCCTGCACCACCCTATACAGAGACAGCATCGCCGACCCCTGCACCTACAGCTGTCACCGCAGAGAAAGCCAAGGCTGCCAAAGCTCCGGGAGCAGGACCATGGTACGATCCACGTTCGTGGTCGGTGCTAACCAAATCGATCGTTGCGGGTGGCGTTGTTGTTGTCATTGTTGCTCTCGTTGTGGGAATATACGAGGGCACCAAATCAGCATCGTATCCCGATTATTCATCCTTAAGCTACAGCTTGAAGGATACCTACTCCGGATCATCTTTTTTTGATGAGTTCGAGTACTACACTGCGACGGATCCGACGGATGGATTTGTAGAGTGAGTAAACGATTCCTATCACACTCATGACCCTCTTCCTGGAGAGGCGATGGTTAACCATATTCCAGCTATGTCGACAGTTCAACCGCATCGGAGATGAACTTGACCTATGCCTCAAGCTCTCGTGCTGTCTTACGAGTGGATACCAGCACCTCGAATCAGACCAGCGGTCGCAAGTCAGTCCGTATCACCTCGAAGAACACATACAACACTGGCCTCTTCATCTTTGATATCACTCACACGCCTTACGGGTGTGCTACTTGGCCAGCCCTCTGGCTGACTGACCCAGATAACTGGCCGGAGCACGGAGAAATTGATGTTCTTGAGTCGAATAACAAAGGAACCCATGGCAATGCCATGACATTGCACACGACCAGTGGCTGCAAGATGGATGTGAAGCGCAAGGAAACTGGCACGGCATCATACACCAATTGTCTAGACACAGCGAATGATAATGCCGGCTGTGGTGTCACAGGTGGAAAGACAACTTATGGAGAGCAATTTAATAGCAATGGCGGAGGTGTAAGTACTTTAATTTCCAATCAAAATCACACCTTCTTTTACCTTCAAAGGCTCGAGCACAAGCAAAACTCCAACTGATTTTTACTCTCGTCAAAGGTCTATGCCATGGAACTCCGCGACGCTGGTATCCGGGTCTGGATGTTCAGCCGCGACGATATTCCCGATGACATCTCCAACTCAAGCAGCAGCCCAGACCCGTCAAGCTGGGGTGAAGCTCTCGCCGATTTCCCCAGCACGAACTGCGATATCTCCTCTCACTTCAAGAATCAAAGCATAATCGTCAACATCGATGTCTGCGGTGAACTTGCCGGCGCGAGCAAGTACTACACCGATCTCTATGACTGTCCCTCGACGTGCACGGAATGGGCTGCAGAGAATGGAGCGAATTTCACAAATGCTTATTGGGAATTCAAGAGCTTCAAGGTATATCAGACTTCTTCTTCTTCGTCGTCGAACTCGACTTCAACAGCCTCTACTGGGTCTTCCCCTGCTTCATCGACAGCCGCGAGCATGAATGGAGCCTCAACAGTGACCACGACGGTGGAGGCTGCTGCTTCCTCATCAAGTGCGGGTCAAACGTCGTCGTCAGGATCCCAGAACCAGCAAGGTCAGGGGGAACAGAGTGACCAGGGGGGACAGGAGGGCCAGAGTGAGAGTGAGAGTGAGAGTCAGACTCAACAACCGGGGGGGCAGAGTCAGCAACGAGGGCAATGAGAACGATTTCTTGGATTTTGCTACCTTGTTATTACCGTCTATTAACTATCTAATTCTTTATATCATTCCATCTTGCCAACTGCTTACTTCCCCTATGAATTGATCAGTTTGCCTAGCTGTTGTCTGGCTCATGTTTCCGTCCGTTGTACTCAATGCCTGGGACTTGCAGGTTTCTATGATGCGAATAAAGTTCACAATGACTAGAAGTTCTATCGGAGAAATATTGTCAGAGGGGTTGCTGCCTGAGGTTAGCACCTGTCAGTGACTGCCACCCGCGGTCCTGCGCGCGTCTCTGCCACGTTCCTGTTCCTCTTCTCTTGTGTAGATATTAGATCACCTTCATCATGGCCTCGTTTCCTTGCTGGTTTAGGTAGGCTCCCATCGCCAAATATCTAACAACGATAAGTTCTCATTTCGACCGGACTCCGTCCACCTTTTTCAAGTGATGATTTCGCCAAGCTGTGACGGGTGTGAGAACACTTCATATCATATGTCCCCAGATGGCCTCTTGCACACCGCGACCTCGACCCAACGTTGGGGCCAAGGCTGATTAGAGTTCGTGAAAGCTAACAGGACGTGAACCCCGCACACGGCTGAGATTTATGCATAAGATTACGAGTCGCGGACGCCGTGAGAATGCTAATTTTTAGCCCCCACTAAGTTGCTGCAGACAAAAGCGGCATAGAAGGTACTAAGTAGACAGTCTCCGGAAAATATCTCATCTGACAGCAAGCCCCGTGAAAATGAAGATGAGTCGGGCTCTGATATCTTATTCGAATGTGAACTTGAAAGATGACACGGAGATGACTGAAGTCCATAACCAAGATCACTTCTCTCAATTACTTGATCCAAAGGATCATCGACGAATGAGGAAATACACATGCACTACCCTCGTTCAAGATACCTGGCTTCTGGAGATTGTGGCAATGATCTTCAGCAGCGCTTCATTTTGTGCCATTGTGGCCCTTCTGCGAGTGTATGACCAGCAGCCGTCACCGAATCTCGCCTACGGGCTCACACTGAACACGATGGTCGCGATTACTGCTGCGGCATCGAGATCAGCGCTGGTATTTGTCCTGGCAAGCTCTCTAGGACAGCTGAAATGGTCATGGTTCCATCGCCGGGAAAAACCCCTGGCCGAGATGCAGTCCTTTGGCAATGCCAGTCGAGGGCCGCTGGGTTCGATTTCGATGCTGGTCGAGCATAGAGCATCTTCAACAGCCTCTCCAAGAGCTATCGTCATATTCCTGGCTCTTGCTTTTGATTCCTCCATTCAGCAAGTTATAAGTTACGCAATTCGAGAGGTAGACAGCACATCGGAGCACGCGTCAACGAGACAAGCGCCCTATTTCCTTCCAGGACTGAATCAAAGCTTGTATACTGGATACTTGAATGCGGGTCTTTGGATCAGCGACTTTGTCTCTGATCCCACGTGCCCCACCTTCAACTGTACCTGGTCGGCTTTCCGTTCCGTTGACTTTGCAGCCACTGTGCCGATGTTACCTCCAGCGCAAAGTTGAGCGGCTGCCAAGACTTTACATACAATATAACTAAGTAGCATTACTAATGGCAGGGAACAGGAGTTTGATTGCGCCATCGAGCTGGATCATGGCGCGTCGGGTGATGTTCCGATTGACTACTGGGATCGGGAAATAGCGGCGTTTATCCCCCAAGATATTCTATGGGCTGTCAACTTTCACCAATCAGCCAAAACCTATATCGATGTGGTCGATCCGCTCGCAGTCATCGCTCACGCTAAACTGGAGTCTAATTCGAACGCCCACTTGATTGAACTTGTCAAAGATATGCGACTGCAAAAGCGTTCAAGAATGCGCCCTTTCCATTTGCCTCCAAACATATAATGTTTCTATGCTTTCCGGAAACGTCTCCATCCAGACAACGTCGGTTGAATACGGCAACATGTTCCAGCTCAGCACCGGTGATGGAGAGTATGGGGAAAGTTATTTCGATTGCTGGAAGCTCAACAGCAGCAACTCCTTGAACCTGACTGCGCTACCAAGCGGTGACCTAGTCGACGTTGCCTCATTCGCTTTCTGCCCTGCGAGCCCTTCACTGTTTGACATTGCTCAGGGAATCGTTGATGAGCCCATATTCGGCTATTCATACATCACATATTCTCTCCAAAACGAGACCTGTTCCCCTTCTGATACGGGTGTGACCACATCCTATCCGGACATAATCAGACGAATCATCAACACCGGGCTAGAGAAAGTTTTGACAAACATCGCAGCTGCATTGACCAAATTCAGCCTGGAAATCAGCCCCAAAACCGTCACTGGCACAGCAATGATCCCCAAGTCGTACGTGGTGGTATCTTGGCCCTGGCTAAGTCTTCCTGCCACACTTCTTCTCGCTGGGCTAGCCTTCTGGTTTCCAACTGTTCTCGTCAACAGACACCAGAGGTGCATTTTATGGAAATCGTCCATCTTACTGGCCTTCTATCACGGGACGCATCTGGACCTGGAAGCTAGCAGTGATGATGGTGCCACTATGAGTGGCATAGAACACACGGTGCAGTCAGTGAATGTCAGATTGGAGTTGGATGCCATGAACAGGCTGTTGTTGCGAAAGCAAAGCAATGCCCTTCCCACATCTCCTAATGATCAACGCAATCATGCAGATCTGCAATCTTGATGTCAGCTGTCATTTAATTTAATCAGTCGAGGTGCAAACTCCGATCCAATGGACGAAAGGGGCGGCTTGGCCAAGCGGAAGCCGCGTGGGCACAGGCGACGACGGGTGGGCCCGGATGTGTTTAGTGCCGGGCGAGATATCCGAACTCCAAGCCGGCAAGCAGAGATAACCAGTCGCGTCCCCACACCTGCCCACCATCCTCTGGCGATGACGACGACCGAGTCAGAGCTCGGCTTTGGCGAAAAAAAAAATCGACCAGTAAAGGAGACCGGAAGCACAGGATTTGATTCTTTCCCTCAGGTCACTTTGGGAAATTTTGTCCGTTGTGACTAGTGATCCACATTTTATGGTTCCTACTACGAATCACTCGCCTGCGTACTCTGGCTTTCGCTTTGGATTCATCCGCCTCATGGATCTGTTCCCACAATCGCCGCACTCCTGGGGGGAGGTCGTGGCGTGGCCATGGGGACAGCCACGGCTGAGACATACGTAAGCTATGTTGAATGGGTATCTTACCTTCTAGCACTTCTTATTGACTTGGTGTCTCCCCCTCTTATTAGCCTGGCTGGATGGCTGCGGGAGATGAGCATTTGAGGTGACTGGCACCTTACAGACAAGCAATTTAACTTAGGGATGGTTCGTCCCCTGATTTGGACGTGCCTTGTGGCGTTTGTCAGTGGGGACTTCGTGTCAACCAACTACCAAAGGTACAACCACGGAGCGCTGGGCCACCGTCCTCATCTGGAATTTCACTCCAGCAACGAGTATGCACCTGTTCTGCAGGCCAACATATGGGACCAGGACGCCATATCCAGCACGGGCTCACATATATTCCTCCGACATGACGGCAACGACTCCTCACCTCTCGCGTCGCCCCTTATTCTCGATGCCAACGACTTGAGTGCGGTCTACATGAACCGCTCCTTTGAAAATGTCTTCGGCACCCGTGTGCAGGAGAATTTCGGCAAGAAGTACCTGACGTTCTGGGCAGGGGAGAAGGGGGATGGGATTGGTAGTGGCTATGGGCTTGCTTACGATGACAACTACCGTTTGGTCTATAAAGTATCGGCGCATATTCAGACACACAGCGACCTCCATGAGTTTGCCTTCACTGGTAACGGAACCGTTTTGGTCACGGGTGTAAACAAGATCAAAGCGCGTGCGTCAGACCTGAACAAAGGGTGGTGGCTTCCAGCCCGGTTCGAGGTCCTGGACACCGTTTTCCAGGAGATCGACCTCGAGACAAACGAGGTGCTCTTCAACTGGCGAGCCCTGGATTACTTGAACCCCATGGACTCGTCCGAGGGTAGGGGCGGTGGTTGGGATGCCTATCACATGAACAGCATTCAAAAGGTAAGAGAAGAGATATGCGACTCCCCCGACAACTCCCTGAAGACACACTCTGACATACTGTTGCGTCCAGACCCAAGCAGGCAACTATCTCATCTCGATCCGTCACTTCAACTCCATCTATCTCATCAACGGGAAGAATGGCGATATCATCTGGACACTGGGTGGCAAACACAACAACTTTGTCGAGCTGCCTCCCGCTGAAGACCTCGGGTCCATCCAACCCTTACTGTCAATGCGCTGGCAACACCATGCCCGCTTCGTACCCGGTACCAACGAGACCCAGATGACCTTCTTCGACAACCACGTCAAAGAAACCTCACACGGAACATGCGACACGGAATGCTCGCGGGGCCTACACATCGCCATCGACGACACAGCCTCGCCCCCCACCGTTCAGCTCCTGCGCGAATTCCGTCACCCGTCACAACTCCAGGCCCAGAGCCAAGGCAGTGTTCAGCCCCTTTCCCCCCTCCCCGATGACCTCGGCAACGTATTCATCGGATGGGGTCGCTGCCCCTCATTCACGGAGCACAGCTCGTCCGGCAAGACAGTAATGGACGTGCAGTTCTCGCCATGGCACAGCGACGACATCCCCGACGCGCTGGACAACTATCGCGCATACAAGCTTGACTGGACAGCCACCCCCTGGTGGGATCCCGCCATTGCGCCACGGATGAACACAAACGGCCAGTTGGTCGTCTACCTCAGCTGGAACGGCGCAACGGAAGTGAAAAGCTGGGTTATCCGGGGTGCGGCGACCAACGACCGGTCGATCAACAAGGGAGAATTGTGGGCGAACTCACGACGGACTGGCTTCGAGACGAAGATCACGCTTGGGAAGACGACATGGCAGTATATCTGGGCCGATGCCATGGATCGCAAGGGGAACGTTATCGGGTCGACAGAGGTTGTGGACCTACACACCGCGGAATTGTCAGTCGCGGTGGACCAGTACGATGAGTCTGAGTCGACCTTTCTTCGCCCAAAGAAGGAGAAACCGACACCGAACCCGAACCAGAACCCAAACCAGAAGCAGAAGCAGAAGAGGGTTGGATTGTCAACGACAGCAATCGCCTTGCTGAGTGCTGGGCTGGCTGTCCTCGTCCTGGCGACAATAGCGGCCGCTGTCGCGGGGTGGCACCGGTGCCGCAAGTACAATCGTTTGGAAACGGATGATTTTGATCTGGGTTCGGATTCGGATTATGATCAGAGGGATCTCGAGGACTTTGATAGCTTCGATGATGGCTGTGGTGACGGTGACGGTGTTTTCCACGATAAGGCTGTGGGTGTTGATGGTGATGGTGACGGTGATGTCGCGTTGCAATTCAGGGGGGGTGATGGTGATGACGAGACCCCGCTTTTTGTCCTAAGGCAGAACTACCTAAAGCAGAAGTTGATGGGTACTAAAGTGTAACATAGCGTTTGCAGACTAGTGTACATTATCTTGTTCATATATTACTTTCTATTTGTATAAATCAGCTGAGGTGGCAGATTCTCCATATTGTCTGTGGACGAAACCTACAGTAAGGAAACAAGGTCTTATGATTGTTGTATTGATGATAGAGTGATCGGCTAGCTGACTGCCTTGCCAGGAGGAAAATGTCACTGGCAAGCGCTAACCTCAGGCATCGCTGGCATATATTACTAAAGACAGTGTCAGAGCAAGGTAGATTGAATGAAGTGGTTGAAAGGGAAGTTTCAGATGAAGACTTCTTCATCCGAAATGCCATGTTTACCTTTCCCGACGCGGCTCGACGCGTTGTTTAAGTGACGTCACAATACCCGTTCGGGTAATCTGATATCATATAGATGTGTAAAGATCAACATTTAGACATCATATACTGCTTTGCAATCATGTTTCTCTAGATTCATATCGATTCAATCTGGTAGAAATATCGGGCAGCCTCTTCACACCGCAGATCGTATTATATGGGCGGGTAGGTGACCTGAAAATCGCTCACTAAACTGCTGTCGACAGCCCGCGTCCAGCATACGTTGCTACGCACAGGACCAGGTTTAGCCGCCTTGAACATAAACAAGAACCCTGTTAACTGTAAAGTAGATTGAGAGTGTAAGACGCTTGAGAGGCAGAAGTTTCCCTAGTACAATCAATGTGGTGGAGTCACAAACGTCATTCTACATGTAGAGCAGGAAGGCTTCGCTGTGCTTGCCTTAGGCAACAACCACCAGTGCAAAGAGCTTCAGCCTCTGTAAAACTAGAAAAGCATAGAAATCACAATCATGAATGTGCTCTGTTTCTAGAAGATACGAAAAGAAAAAAGAAAAGTCAACTTCAATCAAGAAACCCATTCAGAGTCGGCGCCAGCGTATATGCAATAAACTCGCAACAGACATGAAAATGCTTTTCGACAATTTATCGATCTTATGTCCCAGGGGAGTTGAAATTCCATGACGCTCAACAACAAGATTAAAGACAAGAAGAGTAAGCAATGCAGTAACTGAGATGAGCAGCGTAGGAAAATCGTGAGTTCGTAAAGTACTTCGTCTCCAAATATCGCGTCCGCTTCGAGGACTTGCGGACGTATTCGATTTAGGCAGGGAACAATCTTCGGCCGTGAGAAGTAATGACTGATGCGTTTATCTCCTTCCCCTCCGCTTCAAGAGACTTTCAGCCTCCCGTCTCCGATGTCTCTCACTGCGAGCCATCGCCTCAGCATCTTCCGCATCCTGATCAGCGTCCTTCGCGTCCTGTATAGCCTGCGCCAGTTGCCGTTCAAGATGATCAATCCTCGTCTTATCTTTCTCCCTATCAGCCTGAAGCTGAGCGATTTTGCCCTGAGCTTCATCACTAGTCCGAAGAGCTTCAGCAAGGTAAAGGAACGCATCACCACCCTTCTCAGTGCGCGGGATGAGGGCCATCTCCATTGCGTCTGGCTGTGCCTCGCCACCCTTATTCCTCAGCTTATTCATATGCTCATCCAGATCCGCAAGGAGGACTTCCAGCTCATTCAGATGTCTGGGCGGCTTCGACGGACGTGGCCGTTTCTCTTTCTTCATCTGCGCATCGGCATCGCGGACCCTCTTCTGCAGCGCCTTCTCGCGATTCATTCCCTCCTCCAACGCTTTGTCCCTCTTGTAGATCTCCATATCACGGTGTTGAAGAGCGATGCATGCGCCGTTGAGCTGCTCTTGCAGTATCATCACGTCTTTCATCAACCCGCGCACCTCATCTTGGCGTTGTACTCGCACGGTCTCGACAGCTCGGTTCCAGATTTCGGGGAGTGTTTCGCCTAGGTTGAGGGCTGCGCGAAGGCGCGTTTCGGTGATGTCTTCGAGGTCGTCCATGACTGTTGCGGGGTTGGGTGAGAGGTGAAATGTGAGAGTGTAGCTTAGCTGGTAGCTTGTAGGGACCGGCTTCCTTCGAAGGTAAAAGGTCAACACTTGGCTAAGTATGGGTTCGGGACGGTTGCGGGATTCAAGCTGCCCCGCATTCGGTGATCTGTCAACTGCTGCCAAGGGACAGGGATGGTGCGAGGAGAATGGGTGCCCAATTGTAGTATCAAAAAAATCTGGTTTCTTCATGCTGTTGCTGGTGAACAGTTGCTTGAATGCAGCTACTGATGTGGAGTAATGCTATAGGGCGGTTATATGTACACACCCGTCTTGTTGCATGCACATGGCAAATAACTCGATGCAGAATGGAGATAGTGTATAGTACTGTATAGATAACAGGCATTGTATGCGGGTAGCAAGCCGGGGGTGTGCATGTAACTTTTTTTTTTAAGAACCCATCTTGATATTGACTGTTTCGACCCACAATACAATGTTTGTCGTAAGATAGTCTCTCTATGGTAGGTAAGTTCTAAGTAAACCTCTTTGCTCTCTTTTCATTATAATGGTGCGGTTGAATATATTCGCCGCAGTATACCTAGAACAAATGCTAATAGGAGCTGGTGAATGCGCTTCAGGGGGGATACATAGTATGGCGTCTATTAATCTATTTACTATACACTATATTTACCGAGCTTTGAAGCATAAAGATATCAAAGTAGGAGTAAATGTTGGAGCCAACTAGCAGCCTTGCAGCCCTTTGTGTGACCATATTAGGTGATTGGGTTCGCCTCTTCTTCCTGTACAAAGCCTAACTAGCATCACCTCTCAACCAACCATCACGATTCCTCTCCCTGATACATCGCCCGTAGGCTCCATAGAGTCCACACAGTAAAGTATTATGATAACCAATAACATAAATGTCTGTCACTAATAGTCCGTGCTCTGACAGAGTTTTGCAGCAAGGAAACGAGACCATAGGTCCGTTGGATTGATGAAGGTGATATAGATGGCTCTGCTCTGTCTCATTAGGAGAAAGATAGGTAAAGAGGGAGGTAATCGAGAAGCACCACGGGGTCATTCACTGGCAGGCGCTAGCCTCAGGCACAGCCCTGCTGACAATATAACTGGGCTCTAGAGAACTAAGTAGATATTTGCAAGAGTAGTAAAGTATCATGATAATAATAATAGAAGATACAGGCACCACTGGCAGCTTTAAAGTACTAGGTAGACCACATGAACGTAATGGTTATATCAGCTAAATATCAGCCGAAGATGGGCACATACTTAATCCGGGTGATTCGCTCATGACCACACATTGCACCAGCCATACCAATCTCTGAATCGTTTCTGTAAGATGAAAGATCTTTTACAGCCATTTGGACTGCCTCATTTAGCTCTCCAAACTCCATCATTCTCTCGAATAACAGGCTGGCAGCCGAGGAGACGCGCCCCCCTGCTTCAATATAATTACGACAGTGTGGCGGCCATTCATTGCTATCTCGAATCAGGCGCAGGACGTTCTCTTCTGAGGGCAGCATATCCTCTCTCAGGGAGGCGGCAAGGTGCTTCCACAGCATGGCGAAACCTTTCCTGAAACTTGTGTTTGTGACGAACCTTCTTCCGTGTGTTCCTTGAAATGAGATTGTAAACGGCCAAGTCGATCAAAGAGGTCGAATGCCAGCTCCGCCATTTCATGATCCGGCTCTTCCATATTCTCCCAGAACGTGTTTCTAACCCACCACCTTCGGATCAAGAACGCTCTGCAGTCCCCAACCTGCTCAACTGCCGAGTTGCTGCCCTGCTGGTATGTGGCCTTTCCGCTAATTGCCTCCAGCCATTTAAACTCGTTATGTGGGTCAATGTACATTTCCCAGTCAGGAATCAAATCTGCAAGATCTTCAGGTAGATCTTCAGAGTCGGACTCCATACCTAGCTCTCTCAAACAATCTTCACGAGCGTCTTCGTCCATGTCCTTTGAGCTTTCCATGGTCAAGGCGTAGTTGAGCGAAGACTGGGGCGAGGCACCAGGAGGGTCCCATCGCACGGCTTTGGATGGGGAATACAGCTTCAACTGAACGCAAATATTCGCTGCTTGTTCATCTTCCTTGGGCTTTATCTTTTTTCCTGATGGAAGCTCCTCTTCTTGAATTTTTTCGCTTGGTGTGAGAGACTGGGTCTCGGGGGGGGATTTTGGGGAGACATGACCTCAGCGAAGAGTGAGTTGAGGAGAGATTCGATCTAGTAGTTTTGTCCTGGGTTGGCTGCCTAGCAAACAAAGTTCAGGCAGCATCCCCTCTTCTCTTTCACTGCCTGGTTTCTTCCTGGAGTGACGGTGTCTTTAGTTCCTGACGTCTTGCATCCTTGTATTGCAGCCATAGAACTGCCAGGGACACCTGGACTCTTTGCTATTATAATGCTCCAACCCCACTTCAGCTTAGGTCTGTTCCAAAACCCAGTCATTGCAAATGGGACAACGGACTGTGCAATTAGGCCAGCGATCGAGTCCATCAAATTATCCTCAATCGAACCTTAATTGCATCCCTTTCTTGTCAACATTCTGACCCCAAGAAGCTACATACATTATGAATTTATCCCAGAGCTGAAGAGTATGTCGATTTGAGGCAGAGTTAAGCTGATGCCTGATAATCATCAGAGAAAGTTCCTGGGGCGCAGCATATCCACATTATGTCCCACAGATCACAGCCGACTGAGCCTCCAAGCTCACCTGGGATTCAGATGCCTGGATACAGATGCTCTTGACAAGCTGAGGGATGACGAGGTTTATCTTCCTCCGTTCTGGGTATTGTCTGCGCAATTACTGACCCCTGAGCTTTTTAGGGGGTACCTATTTTGATTGATTGCAAGTATATCAGGTTATTCAAATTGCCCTTTTCTCCCCCTGAGGGGTTCATAACTATAAAACGACGTTTCTCACCACTGCGTTTGAAGAACGACAAGGATGCGTATATAGACAACGAATCGCCGATATCACATTCCGCATATCTCTAGTGACCCCTGAGACGAAGTGATGGACAAGATGGAACAAAACATCCACCGATGCTCGGCAGGGGCTTGATTGGCACATATTAAGAAACATCAAGAGTTGCTTAACTTAATCTCATGTGTGCCTCTCGGAAAGGCGTGTTGTGGAAAAGATCGCCATGGGAAGATACATCGAACGTGCCAAGCGCGATACCCTGGTGGCTAAGAAGTGAATATAACTCATTGGGATTAGGTGATTGTATTTAAGGCCTTCACCCTCTCTACAATGATAAATTTTGCTGCCTATCAATACCATGCAAGTGCCCGACTGTTGGTTTCCCTTTGTGGTAACCAGCGGAGTGGATCGCTTGGCAGGGGAAATTCAGTGGCCTTCATTGACATAACCCTCAGGCCTCTCTGTCTCACCACTCTCATGGGCGTCGATGTCTCCCAACTAACTGAACTCTCAGCTGCAAGGTCGGAGGCAGATCACAACACGTCCTAGACGACAGTTACCATCTGTGTGCAGCGCGATGGCTTTAGCCAAAGTGAAATCGGGCCAGCAAGAGGGTCTATTGGAAGTTTGGCACAGACCAGTGACCTTCTATACATACTATTACAGTCGTTTGGGATCATTCAGCAAAACTCGAAAAAAAAAATCGAAACCAGACCTTTTTCAGATTCGCAGAGAGTCAATCAATGAGAAGACATCTTCCTACGTTACAAATCCCACGGGACATCCAGAGCCCATCAGCTGTGTGCGATGTTGAGCCTCATTACTCCTGAGTCGGCACTTTGAATTGTTTATCTCACTCTTCTTTGTATCAAGCGTGGCGCAGCGTTCCATCACACATAGCTTCAAACAGACTGCGCCTGCCTGTTCTTAGTCTGCTCATCGGAGCGAGAGACTGCTATACTGACTGAAACTGTCTTGAAGTAATAAAAGGCTCTATCCAGTACGCCAAAAGCTATATCATCCTTTTCAATACACTACTCAATCAACCTCCTGTCACTCTTTTGCCTGTGCAACCTAGACTGTGCAGAATACCTTTAAAGGGGCATGAAGAAGAAAAATTGTATTCTTCTCCACTGAGTGAGCCCATCCCAAATCGAAATAATATTGCACCCTACACTCTACTTCTTGGGGCAATGATCTAACATTTAAACGGGGAATTAGACAAATCACATGCCATTATGAAATTATCATGGGTCCTTATCAAACTTGGTTTCATACTTTTCATGACGGCGTTGACGCAGGCGACTTATCTCATCCAGTCCAATGCGCTCAGTTTCTGCCAGGATAAGTCAAATTTGACTATATCCTACTTTAGCATGACCTTTACGCCCAATAATCGATCTGTCTCTATCAGCTTCGATGGAACTACTGAGATCTCGGGAAATGTCACCGCGGAAATTTCGCTATTCGTCTACGGCTACAAGGCATTGTCAACAACACTGGATCCATGTGAATCAGGTTACAAGGCTTTCTGTCCGATGTCCGCTGGGTCTATCAATCTTGCACATACCAGTATTATCCTATCTGGGTCTACAGTGAGCCAAATTCCCAGTAAGTCGGACAGAGACATTGCACTCGGAGAAGATGCGCTGATAACTGATTCATAGGTATTGGATACCTTGTTCCGGATCTCGACATTACCGTCCGTGTATATGTCAGCTCAACTAAGACCGGTGAGGTGATCTCCTGTGTCGAAGGCGCTCTTTCCAACGGCAAGACAGTCTACCAGCAAGGCGTGGGCTGGACCACGGCGATCCTAGCCGGTCTGGGTCTATTGGCCTCAGGTGTGGCTTCCGCTCGTGGACATTCGGCATCCACAACCAGGTTGGCAGCCGCTACGCTCCCGCTATTGGGTTTCATGCAAACCCAGGCCTCGTTCGGTATGGTTGCAGTGCACATGCCCCCAATTGTGGAATCCTGGACGCAAAACTTCCAATGGACTATGGGAATCATATATGTCGGCTCCGTGGAGACGATCTGTACTTGGTATCAGCGCGCAACTGGGGGCACTCCGTCGACAACACTTTCCGACCTTTCCAGATGGAAGAAGCGCAGTATCGCTGGTGCGTTTGCCAGAAGGGCGTCCGAGTCAAGCATCTCCTCTATTGCGACGGTGCGTGGAATCGAGCGGGTCGGATTCCAAGCAAATATCGAACGAACCAATATATTCCTGACGACAATAAGCTTCTTCGCCTTCTTTGTGTTTGCTGTGTTCCTTTTACTCGCTATTTTCAGAGCATATTACGAGTCAGTCGCGATCCGACGAAAACTCAGGAGAGACATTGTATCTGCATATCGGAGGGATTGGAGAGTGCTTGTGAAACGGAATGTCCTTCGACTCCTATCGCTCGGGTTTTTCCCCGTGTGTATTCTCTGTCCCTGGGAAATGCAACAACAGGACTCCAGTGCAGAGATTATCCTGGCCGTGCTAGTATTCCTCTTCATGCTTGGAATGCTGGGTTCGGCTGCGGTAGGGTTTGTTCTTCTCACCAAAGAACAGTCCAGTCTCTCGCGCAGAAGAGTCGCATACATTTTCTCCTCAAATCCTTTCTACTCCAGTGACTGGGTATTCTTGTTTATGAGTACTTGGCGCGCGGCCTCCTTTTTTGTGGCCGCAGACCTGGCCTATCTATTGTGCAAAGGGATGGTCATTGGCCTGAGCCAGCCGACGGCGGTTGCCCAGGCAGTGTTCCTACTGATCCTCGAGGTTGTGCAGATAATCGTACTATGTCGACTGCGACCTTGGTCGGACAAGAAGTTGAAGCGTTTTAGCATCACTCTTGCCACGATTCGAATGGTCGACGCTATCTTCCTTTTAGTTTTCACGGGCGTCTTCAGCCAGCCAGCGATGATGACCAGCATTATGGGCGTAATTTACGTCTTGTACAACGCAATCATGGCCATCATCCTACTCCTCAACCTGCTCATCGCATCATGGCATGCGATGAGATCAAAAGATGGTCCGTCGACTCGTGGACACCGCCGTCTCTCTTCTTCTATGTCACTGAATCCGATGGCCGGACACATGGGGAACGAGATAGATGAAGGCAAACCGGACCATCGCACCCCGTCCACGTCCGTACACATTGGGACGACCGGAAGCAGAGAGTATATTCCGTCGTCGGCTTTGTTGCAGCCTTCGGTGCCGCTCCTTCCCGCTGACAAGGAGCCTCCATCAGGCGGTCTTTTCGAGGAACCTGTTAGAAATCATGATCACTCGACTAGAATGGTGTCTGGACAACATCCTTGTCGGATTGGCACCATTTCTGGCTATTCGAAAGAACCACAGCATGCTGCCGTTGCAAGTCCGTGGCAGAGAGCAGCTGGCTATTACAATTGAAGAGTTGGACTTAGGCATGCGTGTCTCAATGGCTGCGAGGTAGCCCAGGTTTTACGTCTTGTTTGGATTGTATACCCCCGGTATGATAGTTTAGTGACATCAGTTCTCACGCAGAGGCCAAGATAAATTTACCCAAAGAATAGATCAATACTGAAAGTCAAATAAAGCATGTGACGCATCGTTGAGGTAGTCGAGGCAGTATTGTCAGTCCATGGCCTTCTCAATGAACGTAAAATACACACCCGGACTGCTACATGCACACTATTTATTGACTATTTCGCCCTGACGTATCCTATTCTACTCAACAACTTAACACAGTGATAATCATCCGAGACGTAAGCTCAATTTCTCTCTAAATCCCTGACATATCCCTGGTCTCCAGTCCAATCACGCTTGAAAATAAAAGATTCAATAATAATAGAGCCTAGTATGGTTCATACATCCTTCCTTAGAATCGGCTCCCTAAAAAAACCCCCAGTCAGTCATCCCACCTATCCAACAACATCAGAGAACCACGTCCGATTACTCACCATAGTATCACATATCTCAGCAACCAAATCATATTCAAACTCCATCCAACCCCGCTGCCGGTCAGTCGGACAATTCATATCAAACGCCTGCGCCCGATCAAAGTCAATCCATAACGCTTCTCGCGGGATCATCCTCAACAATCATCATATTCCTAGGATGGATGTCACTATGCTCCACCCGAGCTTTGTGTATTTCGCGGATGCCAGTAAGGAGACTTTCTACCCTCTCAGATGCGGGAGACAGGCCTTGGGGTCTAGATTCTCCAACGTCCCGTGGAATTGGGGTACGATGCCGCGGGAGCAGAGTCCTTGGCTTTCGAGTCACCTGTAAACGGTTGATTCGCATATGTAGATGTTTGTCTCGCGATGTTGCGATTCATAGTTCTGCTTGGGGCGACGGCCGTGGTACTGCAGCAAGATGTTGGGATTTATAGATTTTCAACTCATGACTAAAGAAAGGGACTGACCACTTTGAGGATGTAACTATACACTCTGAACTGCAAGCGACGAGAGTACCCCGCAACCAAACCCCCTACTTACACAATACATGGATCTTTCTTAGCCAGAGTCTAACACATACGACCATAGGGTGTGGAGAACAGGGCTTCCCGTCCGCTCAGCCGTACTTAAGCCACACGCCGGGAGGTTAGTAGTTGGGTGGGTGACCACCAGCGAATCCCTTCTGTTGTATGTATTTTTCTGGATTTTTATATCTTTTTTACATTGTTTGGGGGGGGCAGGAGTGAGGTTTTCGTGGTTGTTGTTCATTTATATACGAAGGAAAGGATCTAGTTGTTGGGCTTTATGCTGTGTGACTGTGTTTCCGTTGTGTGCTACACTCCCCTGGTCTCTGACGTTGACCTTGGTTCGCATTGCCGAACCACCCCTAAAGAGGGGTTGGCTAATACTATAAGTGCTTCTTAGGAGGGAGACGCATGCCCCTTAAGCGGAAGGAAGGTGATAGCCCGACCGATCGTGATATAGGTAATGTTGAACGTTTGAGAAATACCCTAACCGACCCCTGCGCGGCTTAGGATTTCCACTGGTTATGATAGAAAGGTCTCAGTGGATAGCCAAGGCAGGGTAATTGCCTCGTAGTACTATCTATTGGCCACTAGTACTAAGCAACAATATACACAGACTAAATGATATACACTCCAAACTTGGAAGAATTCTATACATCCTACAAATCACATCGTCATCCTACATTCAACCACCCGCACAACATGCTTTTTCCAATCGCTCATTCGTTACTTACACGACACGCTGCTAAACAATCGCTGACTGACTGAACGCTCCTTCTCGGGACTGGGAACAGAAGAGAGGGGAGATATGGTAAGACATGAAATGAGAAAGAGTAGATGGGTAAGGTAAGGTGAGCAAAGAAAGGGGGAAATTAACTGAATTACAAGAAGGAAATTAAGCAACAACAGTGGCAATCGGACTCAATCCTGAGGCACGGCTGTCACGAAAGAAACCAATATACCTAAGTACTGGTCTCTGTCTTCTTCGTAAGGCAAAACTGGCATGTCGGGGCGGGAGTGACGGGTAATGTGGGAGTGACGTAGATGCAAATAGCAAAACCAATAGATCACGCAGGTGTAGTAGATGGGGAAAATGCTCGTCTTTAGCTTTTGCAGATCTAACCATGAGGAGCTTGCGCTGATGCAACCAAGAAGCAGATGCAAGGCAATGCAATACTCTATGCTTGGTGGGAGATTTAGGCCTGGTCCTCAATGGTGGCCTTCTCGAGCTCTTCCGACACGTCGGCAGTAGCGTCGTTCTCCTGCTTCAGCTCAGCGTCGGCGGAGACCTTGCCGTTCACGCCGCTGTTCTTGACGGCGGGCTTCTTGGCGGCATCGGTGGAGCGGTCACCGTTAGCAGCGGAGGTCTCCTCCGCCTCCAGGCGGTCGATCTCTTCCTGTGCCTTCTTGATGTTCTGTACCAGTTCGTTAGCATTGGCTGTCTACAGCGTGGGAAAAGTCATCTCACCTCCTCAGTCTTGGAAGCCTGGTTCTTCTTCCACTCGGTGATCTTGGCAGCAAGCTTCTCAATCACGGCGGGAACATCGGCCTGGCTCATGGGAGGGTCGATCTTGACCTTGGCAAAGTCCTCGATCACACCGACGTTCAGGTTAAACTTGGTCTCGGCAGGAGCGGGGGCAGCACTGCCGTTGGCACCCTTCTTGCCCTTCTTGCCCTTCTTTCCGCCAGTACCACTGAAGTAGTCCTCCTCACGGTCGTCCTTCTTGAGAACCTTCATGCCCTTGATGTTCGAGTCGTCGACGGTACGGCCCACTCCAGCAAGGAAGTTGGAGCCCTCGTCCTTCTTGTCATCCAGACCCAGAGAGGCAAAGTCGTAGGCGGGGTTGAAGTGGCGGATGAGACCCTGGCCAGTAAGGATCTCGTCGGTGTAGGCCAGACGGGAGGCCTCCTCCAGCTTCTTGTCAGCGACCTTCTTGCGCTTCTCACGCTCGAAAGCATCGCGCTGGGCCTTCTGCTTCTCACGGCGGATCTTCCAGGCCTCATCCTCGTACTCCTTGTAGGCCTTGCGGCCCTTGTAGTAGTTGTCCTTGATCTCACGGATGGCAGTCCACTTCTTCTGCTGCTCGCCGTGCAGCTTGGTGCGCTCGTCCCGGAGGGCGTTCAAGTTCTTGAACGCGCTGTCCTGCTCGGCCTTGATGGCATCCAGCTCCTTCTGGATCTCAGTGTACTTGTCGCTGAGGGCCTTGGCCTCGGGGTTGTCGAGAGTCTTCTTAAGGGTAGCGATCTGGGTCTTGAGGTCGGTGATGACCTTCTGGGCCTCGTCCAATCCGGCGAAGTTCTTGCGCTGCTTGCGCAAGTTGGAGACGTCGGTGAGGATCTTGCGCTCATCGACCAGGCGGAGGGTGCCGGAGTCGACCTGCTTCTCGAGGCGGGCGATTTCGCGATCGAGGTCCTCGACGTTCTTGAACGACATGCGTGTCCGGGAGGTGTTCTGTTCCGCAATGCGAGCCTTGAGCGTAGCGTCCAGGGCGTTGAGCTTCTCCTGGGTGCTGGACCGGGAGGCCTTGAAACCCTGCTGCTTCTGACGGATCGAGGACAGCTCGGAGCGGAGCTCCTGCTGTCTCTTCGCGACGGGCGAGTCCTGGTTGTTGGGCTTGGCCGCCTCGATCTTGGCCTTAACTTGGTTCTTGGGGAAAGTTAGCGGACTGGACTCGGCGACGGATAGCAAACAATAATTCCGCGATTGGGTGCAGCAGGAACATGGGTAGACAATTATCCGGGGCAAGGCTGCCAAATCGCCGTCAGGCAGAAAAGGCCACGGTGCGGTAGCAGGTGAGAATTAAGTCACCGCATATCAACAATCGCAATTGCCCGGTATGCCGCCAATCAAGTCAAACAAGCCTCACATACCAGCTTCTCCTGAACCGCAGCATGCTCCTTCTCGGCCTGGGCGAGATCGGCCTTGAAGGCCTCCTCATTGGGCTTGGTAGGTCTGGCCTTCTGCTCCGTGACAGGAGCGGCTTGGGCTTCGGCGGCCATGGTGAGAGAGGGAAGCGACAGAGGAGACAGTCGACAACAGAGAGAGCGATTGACCGAAATCAACCGGGAAAAGAGAGCTCGTACGAGCGGGAAGGGGGAGGGAGCACAAGGAGAAGGAGGGGGTTGAGGGGGAGGAAGACGCTTGGAGGCAGAAACTCGTGCTCGTTTTCTTGGTCTGGCCTTTCTGGGCGTTGGGCGGCGCTTACCCGTTGGCGCCTTTAGCGCTGCCCGCCGATTTTTCGAGAACCGCTTTTTGCTTCCATCATCGCATCGCTTCATTCTCCCCCTCCTGCCCTCCCAGCTTCGTCGTCCGCGTCCCCCGCGCCCGATCACTTTCTCTGCGTGAGCTGCCTGCTCTCATCACCTGCAGTTCCCCATTTCTTCGATCTCTGCCCGTGCGCCGTGGTGTGTCACCTCCTCCAGCCATGGACGACGACTACACTACCACCTCCGTGGATGCCGACCGCGAGATGACCAGACTCTGGCGCACATGGAGGACGGTCTTTGAAATGCTGCTGGACCGCGTAAGCATTCTCCAGCTCTCTCCAACCTCACTGCCATCCTCATGCGATCCCACCGCTAACCATGCTCAACCCGCAGGGCTACGAGGTGACGGAAGAGGAAGTGCAGATGCCTCTTCACGTTTTCAAGCAGAAATATTCCGACCCTCTTGGATACCCCGAGTATGCGCCACCCACAGCCAAACACCCCAATCCCCCACCCAACCCAATCTAATTATGCTCTCCCTCGCAGCCGCAACAAGATGAAAGTCAGCGCCCGCCCCACGGAAGCCATGCAGGCGAAATACACTCCCTTGCCCAGCAAATCGAACCCATCCCCCCAGCCGGACTGCGGCACGATCTACGTTGAATTCTGCCCGGACGCGACCGGTGTCGGCACCAAGCAAGTGCGCACGTTCAACCACCTTGTCGATGAGAACAACTACCACACCGGCGTGTTCATCACCCAGACCCCCATCTCACCGTCCGCTGTCCGTCTGCTCAGCAGCATGCCCGGCCGCATCTGCGAGCACTTCCAGGAGCAGGATCTGCTCGTCAATATCACCCGCCACGAACTCGTCCCCAAGCACGTGCTTCTCAGCCCCGATGAGAAGGCCCGTCTGTTGGAGCGCTACCGTCTGAAGGAGTCGCAGCTGCCCCGTATACAGGTGTCGGATCCCGTCGCGAGATACCTCGGTCTGCGCCGTGGCCAGGTCGTGAAGATCATTCGGCGGAGTGAGACGGCCGGTCGCTATGCCAGTTACCGGTGGGTTATATGATCGCAACGCGGACAGGGTGAGAGTGAGGGTGAAAGCGAGGATATCGGGGTGGAGGTCTGGTGGTGTTGGTGTTGGCCTAAGGCGAAGACGATTCGTTATCAGGTCCGGTCTATTGGTCCGTTCAAGCGGCCAAGATCTGACCTATCGATCAGCCTTCACTAACACCGACAACACGAGAGCGCAGCAACGAGATAACGAGAGAGAGAAAGTTGCGGCGCGGCATGGCGCGAAAAGAAGGACAAGACGGGGCCGAGGCCGACTAAAAAGAGGAAAAAAGAAAACTTGTCCAATTACAGGCATCGGGCAGCATGGCGTAAGGGCGAAAAATCTCGATGTGTTTCTAACGGCGGGTGTATGTATCTACTAACTTATGTCTTTCCATTTTGATCTTCCATTTGACTTGCAGGGGTTGACACCCTATCTATCTATCTATCTACCTACCTACCTACCTACCCACCTTCCCACTAACCCCGAGAACTGCGGTACATGTTAACGCAGTTCGACTTTGTACACTCTGCCGCTATCTTCCTGGCTACTTTAACCCAAGCTAGGCTTGTATCCTCAGGTGATTTGTGTCCATCATCCGATCCGAACAAGAAACATCATGGATGACATGTACTTGTCGCTTACATACCGCTTACCCAACCCAACCCTGAAAACTATACGGTATACCACAGTCAACGAATATCCAACAAACACACAATTCATATTCACGCCTTCCAGCAGCGTTGATCCTGCCGTACGTATGTTGTCTGTAGCTGTATTGATCCACGGTTGCTGCTCTTAGTCAGGTGACCGACCTACCACGACCACTTTTAGCCAGATGAGAAGCCTTGACTTTATCTTCCTGGTACTTAATGCGCTACTTTAATCTACGGATGTCCTGAAGGTAGGTACTGGTCTGTGTGGCTCTTTTTTTCTTCCTATTTTATGTTGATGATTGTTTGTTATTGGATAAATGACTGGCAGCTTGAAGACAGCTTAAGAAAATAATATTGATCAGTCTAATATCAATCAACACCATCGCCGATACCAGAACCAATAGCAATATTGACCAACACCAACACCAACATCATCGCTGATGTACCCCGTCCTATCCTACCGGCACAACCCAAAATACCAATATACATACACACACAGAGACGGAAAATGAAAGTAACAGTAACATAGTATTCCCCAACCATCACCCTACCGACCCTCACCTCACCACAATCAACACGCAGACCAAGCGGCCCGGACGGACCAACTGCAGCCCCCAAAGAAAGAAACGAAAGAGAAATAAAAAAGAGAAAAATAAAGGGAAAAGTAATATTAAATTCCAGCCGTCTATTCATACAGAACATAACAATCATTCACTGGGAATAAATCAAAACAAACGATCGATCGATCGATCGATCAACGTCGCCACAACAGCCCACCCACATCCTGCAGCTCAACCTCGTTTCCTTCGATGATGGGCGCCGAGACGTCGGCTTGGGAGCGGTAGGATGGGACGGGGGAGGAGGGGGCGTCGTTGAAATGCACACTGGATGAGCCGCGGCGACGGTTGGAGGAGTGAGTATGGGAATGGGAATGCGGGTGGCTGTAGAGGCCGCTTGGGCGGGAGGGGTAGTGGGGGTTGAGAAGGGGCGGGAGTTTGTGACTGTGAGGCTGGGATTGGGATATCCTATTCCTGTTCCTGTTCCTAGGGAGGTGCGGGCGGTTGGGGTTGGGGTTGGGGTTGAGGGGAGTTCTGGGGTGGAGATTAACCCGCCGACGTCTTGGAGGAGGGCTCGGCTTCCTGCGCTGTAGTGGCGGTTGTGTTGGTGGTGGTGGTGGTCTGGATCTTGGAGAGGTTGAGGTTGGGGGTGGTTGTTGGGCATGGGGGAGGTTAAGAGGTTGCCGACGTCGAAGAAGGAGAGGTGACTGGGCGATGATAGCATGGCTGCCGGGTCTGGGGATGATCTGCGCGGCGATCCGTTGGTTTCTATGTACTCGTGGGGACTGACTTTGATTTCAAGACTGCCTGTTGTGGAAGTGCGGTCGTCTTCCATACCAGTACCAGAACCAGCAGCGGAGCGCTGGTTGAAGGACCAGTTGGGGTTCAAGGCGCCCGTGCGAGCCGTCAAGGGATGGAAGGGCATGGCGATAGGCGCAGGGCGAGGGCTGGTCCTGTCCGAATAGCATATCTCCGGGTCTAACCGCATGCCCAAGTCAGCGGCCAGGTCTTCGTCGCTTCCCCATTGGTGGTGCGTGATGGTCTGGCGGCGGACAGAGCTGTGATCCATGCTTTCGCTGACAGAGGCCGACCCAAGGGCTTTCTTGAATTTGACTTTCTTGACTCCTTTGTCGCGAACAAAGGAGCCGATGATTACAGCATTGGAAACTGCCGTGGCGGCTAAAATCTCCAGCGACGCCACGAGCGAGCGATATTGTTGCGATCCATCATGCCAGATGACCGATGGCACCCGATAGCATGTGATCCCGACGAGGATGAGAGAGAGGGCGAACGAGACGACGAGTAAGACTTTGCGCTTCAGAGGCATGTGGGTCATCATGATCAGAGGGATCGGAAAGGAGACCAGCAGCAAATCGGTTATCACGTCGCAGGAGCCCATGGTGATCAGGTTGGCATAGCCGAGGCGACATCGTGGGCCTGGATCGGGCACGACCTGCCAGTAATGGTCGAATGGCTGACACTCGGCGAGAGTGGCGATTATCACCGCGATCAAAGTTGATGCAAGGAAGTAATAGAGGAACTTGAGGAATATTCGGAGGGATCGTCGCCAAATCTTCCCTGCGACACGCTTGAGGAACTCGCATACTGTGAACTTGGCCGTCCAGATACTGTATGAGTCGAGACCATCAGTTCTTGCCCCGTGAAGAACCACCATGGAAAGGAGATAACGACGTACAAGATAGCATACAAAATACGCGCCACGAGCACCAACTTGCTGCCAATAACCCTATGCTGGATATCCTCGGGAGATAATCCCTGTATTGTGGTGTTGTTGGTGCCCCAGATGAGTATGACATGGACACATGCCATGCGGAGTAATAACGGGATCATGCTCGCCATCATGACTTTATCTTCGCGGAAGAACCGTTCGATCCGAATATATCGACCACATACCCGGACAATGATGATAGCTATGGAGAAAGCAGTCGCCCACCAACTTACGAGGAGGGTGGGATTGTTCTGCTCCTTCGTCCGGGCATCTGGCGGAGTATCGGAAAAGAGCCCGCGGGGATCGAGCATCCACTGCACACTCATGGCCGCTGACCCGCCTCCGAAGAGGGGCCAGTAAGTAAGTGAGGGCGATCCCAGGAATCAGAGGGTAATGTGCGAGGTACCGGGCTCGAGATTCAGAACCAATGGAGACGATATGGATGTGCCTTTCTGCGCGGTCACATTATCCGAGATGGGGATCTGTAGCTGATGGGCACGTGCCCTAATCCGTCTCTTCTGTGGGGAAGCCAGCTTAAAATAGGGCCAAAGAGTTTTGATAATCAATAATATCGAGGAGCTGTGAGACGGGTGGGGATGGAGATCCGGTTGATCTTGCTGGGGATGACAGGGACTTCCCGTTCAGTGAAAGCGGCTGTTACTTCAACAGAGAAGGTGGCAGCAGTGACCACAGTGGCAAGAGAAAAAAGGGTGTATTCACAGCGCCCGGGTGATACTTCGGGCTTGTCCCAATCTGTCCGGTGTAGTGAGTACATCAGCACGAGTGAAGGGAGACCGGGCAAGTACACCGCCGTTCTGACGTCCAAGTTATTATAATATCAACCAGGTCCCCAGCGCGCGAGTCGGTCCTTTTGCAATCGGGTTGCGCAACAAACGGTGGGGTGGAGATAACAGACGGGGGCATCTACCCTTGCCATCCGAATCATAACGGCGAAGCATATTATATCAGGTCCCATGGTAGGGCCAAGGTACAAGAAGCTAGGAACCGACCTAAAGGTCATGGCGTCCGATAAACTTCGCCGTCGAGTGAAAGATAACAGCGCAGTTGGGAACGGTGGGCTCCGTCCGGAGGAGGGAGGGAGGCGCGCTATTTTCTTTGTGAAAGCGCACGCGCGATTGACCCTTGGGCCAGGTGCATGAAATTACGGGGGTGAGCGCCGGAGAAAAAAAAGGGAAAGATAACTCGATCGCGGACCAGCCAGAGGCGGACGATAGAGCAAGGACCAAGAGCTAATCATCCATCATCAGCATCATCATAATCATCCACAACAATGACGGGTGCCTAGTTCAACGATGGCGTTTATATGGGCCAATGGGTTTGGGATGGCGGGCTGGACGGATACGAAAGCCGTCGTCGCGCCCACGAGATTGCTTGTGATATGGGAGGGAGTTTGCCACATGATTTGCAGCTGACTCGAGGCCTCCAACAACGTCATCAAAGAGGGATAATATAATGGGGCGATCGAGGGTTAACCTTGCGGTTAGGACTTGGGAGTGGGAGAGCGATGGCGATAGGCCGAAGATCAGTCGATGGCCCCGAGGCGAGTGCCAATCATGCCCTCAGGTGGTGATGACGGCAACAGCCGGGTCCGATAAGCTGCTGATATTGATAGGGCGTTTGCCCAACTGACAAGGGCTGTACGGAGTACATTAGCCAGATCCAGCTGGGCATGGAGTCGGTAGGACACACGAACCTTGGGTTACTATGGGGGCCGTAGGGTGGTAGAGGTAGAGAGTACGAGACAGGGTACGAAGTGACAGGATGGCCAGGGGCACAGGAGGACAAGAGTATAGTGCACGGGGTGGGGAGAAAGAAGTGAAGTTGGAGAGTGGCCGAAGTAGACTAACCAAAGCGCCCGGAAGGTAAGGCAGCGGCTGTCTGTCTCTGTTTGTTCTCATTCTGGCACCGCGGGGGAGATCACCTGCCTGGGGCAATCACTACCCCTCCTCCCGCCGACCCACGACCGTGCTGATGCTATATCCTCCACGTGGCGTGGACAATGGATTCATCCTTTGATCCTTCGGGCACTCATCATTCATTCACTCACTCACTCACCGAGTGACTATAGAGTACTGACTGACTGACTGACTGACCGATCTCCCAGTCGGGTCCATGTCACACCAACAGGACCTCTGAGCTTTGTCCCGATTGGCATTCCACCCTGAGCAGGAAAAAGCAACGCCATCCATACAGCCTACAGTACAAGGCTTATCTCCGTCGCGACCTGATTCGCATGTTCCTTGGTCGTGGCGCCTCGCCCATGGATGACCGGCGCATGGATTCCCTCGAACTCTGTACTCCGTACACACAGAGGTAGATAAGCCATCCGCTGCGGTCGGAGCCGGCTTCATCGCTGGCTTGACTGTACGAAGGGCAGCTTACTTGCCTACATACCCACTGGGTTATCTGTCGGCTCCCGACCGATCAATGCCGAGTGCGGTGCGCCCATATGCAAGTGAGATGAGAATCCTACGAACTCCAACGCAGGGGAAAGGGAATATGTACGGCGTCGGAAGCAAACAACCAGGTCTCATGCCATGCAAACGCCGAAGTCATCCCCCCATTCCCTTCATCCCATCCCTCCAACCCCTCCCCCCTCTCCCGGATACATGGATGCTTTGTTTCGACTTTTATTATTGTCTGTGTTCTAAGGAGGAAGTCTAAATTACCCAGTGCTGAAAATGTACAAATCAAAGGTCCAGGCGAGTCTAGACTCGCGAGAGAGATAAGCCTAGTGTGCTGACTGACTCGATCCCTGGAGGTCTAAACGTCCTCCCCGGCGAGGATAGCTTGCAGCACCCCCCGCAGCTCCTGCAAGAACCGAGTCACCTCCTGCTCCGTTCCCACAGTAATCCGCAGGCAGCCCTCGCAGCCGTACTCCTTACCGCGGAACCGCACCACGACGCCTCTCTTCTCCGCCATGGCCTCGTAGGTCGCCAGCGCCGTCACATTGCTGGCCTTCCCGCCCTCCGTGGCCGGCTTATCGAGTAGCTCAACCAGGAGGAAGTTGGCCTCTTGACCGCCGAGGAACCGGCCGACACCCGGGATCTTAGGCAGCTCCTGCACCAGCCGCTCGCGCTGCGCGATGATCTGGTCCCGGTACTTCCTCATAACCGCCGTGTTGGTGGGCGAGAGCGCCGCCGTGGCGAGCGCGCTGGTCGGGCTGGAGATGTTATAAGGTGCCTTGAGGCTGTTGAGGAGGGTCGCGATCGGGGGGCTCGTGAAAGCAACGCCCAGACGGATACCGGCCAGACCAAAGGCCTTGCTCAGCGTCTGCATAACGACCAGGTTCGGCCAGTCATTGACCCATTCCGCGAGACTCGAACCCTCCGGAGCAAAGTCGATGTACGCCTCGTCCACGATCACCACGCCGTTCCACGTCGGGTGCTCCAGCACCTTCTGGATATCGGACTTCTTGATCAGGCTCGCGGTAGGGTTACCAGGCGAGCAGATATACACCATCTTGATGGAGGGGTCCGCCGCGAGCGTCTCGTTGATCTTCTCCGGCTGCAGCTGGAACCCATTGTCCACGTCCAGTGGCACCTTCACAATCTCGATATCGTTCACCTGCGCGCTCACCCCGTACATGCCGTACGTAGGCGGACACGTGAGGATCTTATCTTTGCCGGGGGCGCAGAAACATCTCAAAAGTGCGTCGATGGCCTCGTCCGATCCGACTCCACAGAAGAGGTTCTCCGGTCCGAGGACCTTCTGGGTGTGAGTGTGGGTGTTGCGCAGTTTGCAGAACAGCTTCTTCAGCTCGACCTGGTGACTTTATCCAACGACGTTATCCATTAGCTATCGGTGATATAACACAATTGAACCGACGCGATCCGGGGAGTGGTGGTGGTGAAGCGGCGAGGGGAGACCGCGGCCAACTTACGGATCCGGATAACGGTTCAGACCCAAGAGATCAATTTCTGGTTTCGAAGATCCCGTCGAAGTCCCCGTCACTGTAGACTCCTGTAGCGCACCCTGCTCGTTCAGAGCCAGACCCGGGCCGTAGGCGTTCTCGTTGGCGTCGAGCAGAATGTTCGTCCCGTCATCTTTGTAGTCACTGATTCGTTAGTCCTTTCGTCACAAGGAGTCGGGGAAGACGCCGGGGAAGACGCCGGGGCAGACACACTCTCTGGCGCAACGGTAGGGTTGCAATTTGAGGATATTGGGGCGCGCGCATGTGGAGAGATCGAAGGGGGAGGTTCGTGAGGCCATTTTGTCGCAAATTGAGGGGGGAATTGGGGTGTTGAAGTGAAAGAGAATGGTGGGGAAGAAGCCGGTGGGTGGCGGGGAAGTCGGCGGAACCGGTGTCGGCGGCGGGAGTGACTCACGTATACACGACACGGCCAGGACCTGGGTGAGGGGCGCATTAAGGAAGGCTATTGTGGTTGAAAGGCCCGCATGCCTGACTGAGGAATATATAGGGCAGCGCTTCAATTCGAAGGTGTTCTGTAAAATCTGGGGGGAGGGCTCCCTAGGAATCAGAATCACCTGCGGCGGGCCTGTATAATGTCTCCTCGACCCTCCGGCATCCTTAAGGACCTCGGATGGCATGCCGAGTAACTCTACTAACTTCCAACTACTTAAATAGTGGAAATCGGGAGAATGATATGGGAGGTCTGACAGGCCACCACCACCACCCTTGACGGTGTCCCCAGACATGTCCGATAACAAACAAAATGGGTAGGAGCTGCGAGCATGGGATCAATCCCCTGTTGTGACGCCCTGGTGGTGGTATGATGTATAGAGAACTGCACCTAAATCAAAACAATGTTCACGTCGTGACTCACGTATACAGAATGACGACTCGGGTATACAAATTATGGCGGCTATGCTACCTAGTTCCTCTACAATGCCTCTCCAGCATATCTATAACACATCTGCAACCTTTACAACACCACTAGATGCAGTATAATTGCTTCATTCAGTCTATAATAATGCTCTTTCCTTCTATATACTATCTTTTGTCCTGTATTTGGTGGTTGGGGACTTTCAGTAAACTTATACTACATACACGGGTTACCAATGCCGACAAAGAACAACGCCTCAATATGCCTGCAGACAAATGTCTAGGGTCGCCCGTGCCTCCGGGGGTTGGGTCGGGCAAACCATGCTTCACTCATAACGGTAATACTCAATCCAAGTCTGTTGTCTATTCCTGCTTGGATTCCTTGGATTCCTTAGACTCCTTGGTTTCCTTGGGAGACGCATCGGGGGGAGGACTGGCCTTTTTGCCGGACTTCCTGTACTTGTCCTGCTTCTCACTGAGATAGCGCCAGGTCCGGCTGACTCCCGAAGTGACCAACCCCTTGGCTGACTGAATCGTACTCGGCCAGCGGATAGTCTTGGTGATCGAAGCTTGGACCTCTTTCGGGAGGCTCTTGTCATCGGCGATGCGTCGTTCGAAGGGACCGCCCTCTCTCCGGCGCACCACGGCGGCGTCATTGTCATTGCTCTCCTTCATCATTTTGTTGAACTCTGCGCGTGGGATCTGGTAGCGCGTTTGGTACTGGAAGTAGAGCTTCTCGCGGAAAGACTCGGGGAGACGACGGACCATGTTGCCGCGCTTCACGGGGTCCATGTCCTGGGTGAGGCGAACATTCGCGTCCGGGTCATCAATCCAATCGCCCTCCGTACACCGTTTGTCGTTGAATGTGACGTTGGGGAGGTTCTCGATCAGGGGCGCATACAGTCGTCGGAAGTTCGCCATTTGCGACGAAACAATGTTGTTCACCTTGCGAGGGTCTTCCGCCGGCAGTGCCATGCGAAGATCTCCCATGTAGCTGATACCCGCAATCGTGCTGTATAATTGGAACTCGGTGAATTCGGCCGGCAGCAGCAAGAGGGCTACACGGACAGCCGAAAGCAGGTTGATTTGGTTCGCCAGTCGCACACTCGGGTGGTCGCGCAGGATCTTGACCGGTTTTTGCAACCGTCCAGCAAGATACAAGGTGTCCCATTGACTGAGATCCCGGCACAACGTGTCAAGGTTCACCACTCCGTACTTGATGAGTGTACCGTTGACAGTGATGTAGGGGTTAAAGTATACACCGGCGCCAAATCGATCCTGCACCTGGGAGACCATGTAAGAACCCGCCGAGCCCAGCCCGGAGTAATGGTCTCGATGTTGAGTCAGGTTGAGGGAGTGCCAGTGCTGAGAATATGAGACGCCAAAGATGAAATCGATCATCTTCCCTTGACCCGATTGCATGTTTTTGATCGCTGTCGGGGCCGACGGGTGGCATTGGCTCGAACCCGGCGCACTGCCGGTCTGCTGGAAGACACCCGATCCATAGGCGAATGCATACCGAATTGGAGCTCGGAACTGCCAGAGGATTTGACGCAACGCTTCCTTGAACTCTTGGTTGATTATCATATGCTGGTTCACCCCAAAGTCCTTGGAGGGTAGCTCCGAAAAGGCGGAGATCGATAGGTTCGGATTGTCATCCCAGTCGCTCGGTTCCGACCGCTGTGATGAGGTGGAGAATGGTGCTGAAGACGAGGGTAGTAGAAGACCGCGGTCCGTGGCAGCCGACTGCGAGCTTAAGGGGCTATAAAGGGGTGTTCGGTTGGAGTATGAGGTGCCATGGGACGATAATGAGGAGTAGGAGTCAATTGAAAATGTGCGGAGAGAACCCGGGGGTCGCGGGAAAGACGGATTGATCGAGCGCAGGCGCAGGTAGCCCGAGTTGGTATTCAAAAGGAGAGTCTAGCACAATATCCGTTAGTCTCTGCCGGTGATTCCCCTCCTGAGCTCACGGGGGCTAGAGCTTCTCACAGTAGTTTGGCGCATGGTCGCGATTCCACAGAGGGGAGAGAAGGTAGTGCACAGCGAGGGCTGTAAATGTAGGCGAGGTCAAGAAGCATCTGAAAGCGACAGCTTCATATCATGGTTTTAGGTAAGGGGGATAAGATTGGAGCAGAGAGGGGAGACGGTCAGAATGAAACAGGACGGACAACAACAACAATAATCGGAATCGTAATACACAGTCTAACGAGGGCGAGGTCTGACGTACTCTTGCCCTCGGCAGTGTTCTCGGCCTGAGCGATTCGAGCCCGGATGAGGAAAGGGCCCGACTCCGCCACCAGCCAGCGCCAAGCCACACCGGTCACGTGCGGGCGTTCCTCCGCGGCGCGTTCCGAAGACCCAAACAAGGCCCGTAAACAGAGGGCGGCGCATGGCTGCGACCTGCAGCAACCATCTTCACTGCAATTCCCCGATGACGGCCTGACTCGTCGCCCTTTTTCTCACACAAATGCGCTAATCTCTCATTTTCTCACATATGATTCAGCAAATGGAGACGTTTTCTGCCCGTCTGGCCAGTTTTGACCGGGTGCTATACCCGGAGAAACGCAGGTCGTCGTCCGGCGCGCCTGCGAGTCCGGTCGCTTGGCCGCACAGTCGACCATCACCTGCTGAGGTACTCAATTTCCCTCCGGATGCTTAGGACCGTGCTGTATTGACCAGCCTGCTGTTCATCTAGTTGGCGCACGCAGGTTTCTTCTACAATCCCTACGAAACGAACCCGGACAACACAACATGCTTCCTGTGCAACAGAGCGCTAGATGGGTGGGAGGAGGACGACAACCCGATTACAGAACATCTAAAGCACACCAAGGACTGCGGATGGGCTATTATGATGGATATCCAACAGCATAGCTCCAACCCGGCCGAGATTGAAGATCCGACAAGCGAGTGGGTATCACAAGCAAGGCAGGCCACGTTCGGTGATTCATGGCCGCATGACGGGAAGCGAGGCTGGGTGTGTCAGTCCGATAAGGTAAAATGGAGCATTGTTCTACCCCACTCGGGGCCTTTTACATATATATGTTCTAACTCTCTCGGTACGATGCAGATGGTCGAAGGCGGTTGGTACTTCTGTCCGAACGAGGAGAGCAACGACTTGGCTACCTGCCCTTACTGTAAACTATCTTTGGATGGGTGGGAGCCTAAGGATGTTCCATTGTGAGTTTGCGTCGCTCTTTCCCTCTGTGTCATGGCTGACCTGATCAGCGACGAGCATTATCGACGCTCGTCGGATTGTTCCTTCTTCGTCTTTGCCAAACCTGCTGGCAAGAAAGGGAAAGGCACTCGATCGAAGAAACCCCGGGTCTCCAAGGCGTCATCTCGCCTCTCAACCCAGTCGACTGTATCGGAAGCACCGGTACCTGAGCTTGACGATCTGGTAGACCCGAGCACTCTGCCTCAGCCGACCACGAAAGCGAAGTCATCAAAAAAGTCGTCTAAGTCTAAGACCAAGGGAACGAAATCAAAGAAGGAAGATCCCACGGAGACTGTCACTCAAATGGATATTGACACCGATCATGTGCAGCCTGAACCAGCAGCAAAAGCAAAACGGGCCGCGAGGGGAAAGAAAAGGACAAGCGACGAGGTTCACAAGGACGAGGCAGAAATTGCCGATGCAGAGCCGGTCGAAGGCTCAGAACCTCCCGCCAAGAAGCGGGCTACAAAGTCGCGTAACAGTACACTGCAGGATAGTCATCTAGAAGACGCGCCGATAGAGGAGGCTCCTCTCGAGGAGAAACCAAAAAAGAGCCGGGCTACATCCAAGAAGAAAACAAACTCCAAGAGCAGGAAGATCTCCACAGAATCGTCCGTGTCGAAGGCCCCTTCGACGTCTGAGATTCCTCCTCATTCTGAGCTTGAGGCCGCAGTGGAGGCCGACCTGGACCTCGATAAAACTAACGACGATGAGATGATTGAAGCGCCCTTGCCTAAGGCAAAGAAGTCGAAGTCTAAAAAGAAGGCAAAGGCGGCCCCGGAACCACCAAACAATGACACAGAACATAATGCAGAAACCGACCCGCAAATAACTGCGGATCAAGACCTCGAACAGCTTCCAGAACCCGAACCTTCAGCTGAAGAGGAGCAGCAGATCAGACGGACGAACAAACGAAAAAGCGCTAGGGCCTCTGCGCAGGGCACTCAAGAGCCATTGCCTCAAGAATCGCCTCAGACCGTCACGCACTCCGAACCTGAGGTTAAGGCTAATGAAGTGACGGAGGTGCGACGCCACGAGTCGTTCGTCTCTGTGGAGATTCCGGCGCCGATCCCAACGCAGAAAGCCGATGGGGAGCAACCCGATAAGGATTCCAAATGTGTTAAACGAAAGGCTTCGTCCGAAAAGCAAAGGAAGTCAAAACAGGCAGACCGAAAGCCTGACGTTGCGGTTTCTCAGGAGGAGCAAGCTGATACTGAGAACGAGGTCACGGACAGCCCCGAGGAAGAAAAGCCTGAAAGTCCGCAACAAGTTGTGCAGGAAGAGACCCAAGAGCAGACTCCCGATGAACAGTCTGCTCGGCGCAGGTCGTCTAGAGTACCTCCAAAGACGGCAGAACGATACAGCGATATTCCAAAGGAGAAGCAATTTGCGAAGTCTCTGGCAGAAACCCGGAACTCCCATGCCAGTGCCGTGTTGGAAGATGACAACCAATCCGATGAGGAAAGGCCAGAGCCAGATCCTGTGTCCCCTCTTCCCTCACCTTCAAAGAGCACTTCTCTGTCGCCACAGTCTTCCGATGCCGAAAATCAGCCGCCGTCTTTAAAGCCAACTTTGAAACCGTCTGTATCCCGGGCACCAGTTGCATCGCCTTCTAAACAAGCCCGAATCCCACTTGCGACCAGCACACCCTCGCCGTCAAAACGTGGACTGCAGACGAATATAAGCTCCTTGAATACATCTCATCCATGGACTCCCGTTGACATTGACGGTGTTGTTGTGGCCGGGACCAGTGATAAGGAAAACATCGATTTCAACAGCATCTTGAACAGTGCGAAGGGCGAGTTAACTAGCCCGGAGAAGAAGATGAGCGTTGAGGAATGGATCAAGTGGAATGCAAAGAATGGAGAAGAGAAGCTCAAGCGCGAGTGTGAAAGACTGGTCAGCCAGTTCGAGAGGGAGGGTGCTCGAGCCATGCACGTTCTGGAGGGCATTGAATGTATAGATTGAGATTGAGTCAGTCATGCGGGTATTATTCAGGAGTATGCGGTCGGGCAATGGGCATTGGATAGGTCTTGGTTTTCATTTCTTTCTTCAGTGGTACAATTTCTTCGCAACAATCTCACTTGATAACAGTGCGGTCGGTATATGCATATCATTTTTTTCTGACGTGACAATGAAATTGGATTGATAAAGGGACCCTACCCATCGCCGTATGGACGACCTACAGGCACCCTCGCCAATAGAAGTATACGAGCCCCCGCAATTACTGCCTGAGGGGTACAGGTTAAACTGTAGTAGGAAGTCTCTGGTCAGGCAATTAGATGAGTAAGTAATTTTCTTGTTAGGCTTTGTATAGCTGCCCTGCGAGCGAGCCCGTGTCCCTCGCAGCAGCACCTTACTGTAGGCATCGCAGGCATCGCAGGCATCGCAGGCACAGCAAATGCAGTGGCAGAGACGGCCGCGAAGATCAGGCAGGTGGTGTGGAGTTTATCGACGGTGTAGAGGGTATGATTATTGATTAAAGTGATCTAATCTGTCGGTAAGGTGATCATAATGGAGTACTATTAAAATGATCAAAATGCGCGCGTTTGAGGACATCATTTTACTGGTAAAATAAAACTGAAGATTGATAATGCCGAAGGCAACACTGAAATCAACACTACCTCAAGGCAAAAACTAGATAAAGGCTATTAATACATGGTCTGACCTGTCAAGGGTGCGCAAGCTGGCTGTATTGCCGGCACTTTCGTTCCTACTTAGGCGGGCGGCGAGGGTGCCCGTAGGAACTTAATGAAACGGGCGATGTGTAGGGCCCCTTTATCAATTTCCATGAAATTTTACAATCGCTTGACTAGTAGAAGTAATCCGGTCAGACATCAATCCGAAGCACCAAACGCCATGGGTATACTGCAGCTTTACTCCGTAGCCATATGAACCATCCATCGAAACCCTTGTCCCCATCATGCGATGATTCCAAGCCGGCCCTCCCAACTCTCATCCTCCTGCTTGATGCCATCGCCGCCACCCCTGCGTCGCTTCTCATTCCTCTTTCTCCGTTTTTCCTCTCTTTCCTTGGCATCCTGCTCTTCTCTCTCCTTCAATCTCTCACCCAAGTCTAGCTGCCAAGCCCGTCGCTCCTCCTCCGCTTGCACTCGTTTCCGATGAGCCAGCATCCGTAGTCGCTGGCGCACATCTTCCACATTAGCTCGAGTGACCTCCCCACTTTGACCAGTCGCGATCAAATGCTGCTTGCTGTTCAAATGCTCCACGAGCTGCAAGTTGTCCTTGAACGTCAAATCACAGTCCGAGCAGTAGAAACCCGCGCCCTTGCCCCTCTTTCCAACCGCGTTTCCCGACGTCACGATTGTCGTCTTTCCCACCATCGAAGCGACATCTAGCCGCGAAGAGCGCGACGTGGTGGCCTCGAGCGCGCTGTAGTCCACCGGCGCATGCCATTTTTTGCCCAGTAGTTTGGCTTCATATCGGGCCTTGGATTCCTCCTTGCGCTTAGCCTCTTCGTCCGCCGCCTTTTTGGCGTATTCTTCTCGGTCCCATTGTTTGCGGAAGGCTGTGTCAGAGGAGGGGGCTCCGTAGGCGGAATCTTTATTGCTCATGGTGGATGTCAATGAGGATGTTGGTGTACTCTGATTCGTTAGAGTGGGGGAGGGATCGGACGGTAAATTTCGGGGTACGGATCAGATTAAAGCTGTTGTCTGAGCGATATGAGCGGATCGCAGCGATAGAAGTGTTGGCAAGCTGGATGGTTGATGGTTGATGTTTGAAGCCGAAGCCGAAGCTGGAGGCGAAAAGCAGGGTCCGTCCGCGAAATGGCAGGCGGTGACAAAGGCGGGGCTGATCTGTGGGCATCTCCGGCTCGGCTCCGACGGAAGCGCCGCTTATCTGGATCACATCAACAACCATCGGCTTCATCTTCATCTCTTGGCAGCTGTTCATAGATTGTGTCTTCTTGTGTTTATAGCATCTTTCTGAGGAGATAGGCCTCATAGCTGAGATGCTTTGCTAATTTTTGGATATTATCTATGGACTAGCCAATCTGACTCCAGCGCAGACAGCCTTCTGGCAGCACTGATCTGGTCTAGATCGGCTCACGCCTCTAAGCCTCACAGTCTGAAACATCCATTCTGCCGCCTAGTCTCGTGTTAGTCACGCTGCCTGATCAAGTCTCTCTATTTTTGGCGCCTAGGCAGCGATTAAGGTTACATAGCGCAGTGCTGGCTTCACTGGAAATACTTCAACACTTTCATTCAACTTACCACTGAGTGTAGTCAGGCAACACAACCCACCCCAACCCTTGCAGTGGCCATCCCTTTGATGGATACTTCTTGCTCCGGATAGATTGTTGCTCGTTTCTTCTGCCATACTCTGCTTTCCCTGCGACTCTGCTACTCTGCTACTCTGCTACTTTCTCCCAGCAGGTAACACAATGGCGTCACCTTCGCCCGAAGAGGCCTCGGAAACACCTCCCCACCAGCACCCGCACAAGTTTATGGATCTTCCCACCGAGTTACACCTGCACATAGCGTCGTTCCTCCCTTACCCCGATGCTCTGGCTATGAAACACACCTGTCGCCACTTCTATGGCCTTGTCTACACCGGAGTGCATCTGAAAGTTGACTGGTTTGTGGCACGCTTCGAGCGGAAGCTGGAATGTCCAATGGAGAAGTGCTCGTTCCGCACCGACGAGGCGTTCTGCAACAAGAGAATTCGCGATATCATGGAGCGCAGGAGACGCCATCTTGAGTGCTCCCAGTCTTCGGGTGGCTGTCTGGTCATTGAAGGCTCGACGTGCCAGAAAGATCACGTTCCGATCTGGTTAAAGAAACGGGGTCGTCTGGAGAAGCTTCGCTCTTTTGGCTATGAAGGTCTGTCTTTTCAAGATTTGTTTCTTTCTAAAAGGAGAGGGAAGGATGTTCGAGCCTGTGGACTGACTTATCGCAGTTTTTATCTACGGGTTAATCTTTCTCGTCGTCAACGTGCTCTGGAAAGTGGTTGCAAGGTGAGCTGCCCTGTGCTTCTCTGCTCTTTACTGTCTAGATGACTGACTTGACCAGACTGCTTCACCGTGAGTCTGTGACAATCTGACGATTTGACGAATACACAATCTGCATTGCTGTCGATATCATCATTCATATTTCTGCTGCTTATTTTGGTACTCGCTTTGGATATGACCGGCTTCGTCCTTAGCGGCGCACATACTTTGGACTCTTACTTGACAACCGAACGTCGATGTATTAGTGGCAGCTGGCTGCTACCTGTACAGGTCGATGCGTCGAGCTTCTGTCATCTTCAAACCGTATCCGCTGGTTATGGCCGGACGGTTTACTTATTGGTTTAATTTCTAATCTTTCGGGTGGTGTGACGATATGTACACTCTGGCTCCTATGACTCGTCAATGTGATACTTAATTGATGGCTTATTTTCTGAACCATACTCAAATACTACTCATTCGCTCCATCTGACTACATCTGACCATCAAAGTAGTATGCTTACGACGTAGGGGCTAGAACCAAAATTGAGTCAAATTCAATCAAATGGCAAAACGCTTCATATCTTGAATTAGAACACACAGTTCCTTCTGGTCAACAGCAACACGCAAATGGCAAATTAAAAGACAAGGACTAGATCAAAATCAGGAGCCCGAGAAAGGTAAAGAGTCATTTTTGACTTCAGTCCCCAGTACATCAGACTTCAACACACAACACACTTTTCCTTGGGAACCACCTCCTTCGCTCGCTCCCCAGCAAAACAGTCACATTCGCCGGAGCAATGCAATTTCTTATCCGGACAGAGCAACGGAATGTCAACTTCCTCCCATGCCTCTTCAACCGGACTTGCCTTTGTTTCTTGCAGATCCTCGATCTCTGTCCGCGTCTGCGTCTGAGACATCATCTCCCCCTCGAACTCGTCCTGAATCTCACTCTGCGCATCAACCCACTCCTCCGTCCTCACCTCTCTCTCCCAGGTAACCCACACCTTAGTCTTCCCCTTCAACCCCATCACTTTCCTCCCCTCAAACATCTTCTCGGCCTTCACCATCACCAACAACTCCTCGCGCAGCTTCTTGATTCGTCCCAGCACTTCCTCTTGCTCCTTGTCCTTCTCGAACAGCAAAAGTTCAACTTCGTCCCCTGCCTTTTCCACACACTGCCGTAGTTCCCGTCGGCGTTTTTCGAGTTCCATTTCCATTTTAGCGCGAGCCTTTCCAGCGAGTTCTCTTTTAGCCTGTCTCACTCTGGCCTGCACCAGTTCGGCATGTGCCATTTGGGCCTGCACCAGTTCGGCGTGTAATATTGCGGCTTTGACTCTCTCCGAGTGTGCCATTTGCGCGGTCAGCACCGCTTCAGCGAGTGCTTGGGCTCTTCTTTCTAGAAGGGTCTTGTAATGGGTGCGGTTGAGGTTTTGGGGACTCGGGTTTGTCTCCTCGTTCGATTCTTCGTTCTCTTTATTTGTGGATGCGTGAATGGTGGTTTGGCTTGGAAGAGTGGAAGGGGGAGTAGGAGCATTACCACGACTGTGATGAGCGTGAGTATTTCCATTTTGGTTCCGCGCTCGCGTGGTGCTCGGCGGGTTGCTGGTCGTAGGCGTGGGCGTGGGGGTTTCGCCTTGCAGTCCGAGGTTGTCGTCGATATGATTGACGGCGGCTTGGAGGAGGTACTCCATTTCTGTGTGTTGGGGTGGGCTGACTGGTTTGGGTTGGGTTTGAAGTGTGGTTAATGATGGTGGTGGGTGGTGGGTAGTAGGTAATAGGTGGTAGGTCAAGAGCGATGTGCTTTTATTTGATGTTGGAATGGGTTTTGATGGTTTTGGTAGCGTGAACCCGGACGTGAGCCTGAGAGCCCAGGAAAGATAGATCGATGATGGATCGATGGGCTTGAACTGGTGGTGGGAGTAGGTGGATGAGGCAGAGGGTGGGAGAGAGGTGACTCGGATTCTCTACCCTAGATATTTGTAAATGTGACGAAGATATTACCTCGAGTATAAGGCGAATAGAGATACTGACTTCCAAATTAGGTAATTTCTTGCGCTTTTTACATAGGTATGAAGTGGCAGTTTGAGTCATGGTCGTGGTCACGGTGATGCTTTACCATGGTACGTACCCCTTCTGTATGTCTGTCCGTTTGTCTGTCTGCCCGTCTGTTTACCGATCCGAATGCCTTTCCTTCCTATGACGTCTTCTTCAAGGAGCAATACCTAAGAAACATGTAAACCTTCAACTCTAAAACTTCACCCGATTAATCTCCTCCGCGTGATCTTTCTCAAACGGATACTTCGACCCCAGCGCCCGAATAAGCTCCTCATGCTGCTTGCTCCTCGGCTTGATATCCAGATCAACGCGGCCGACATGGCTAATCACCCCGGGCAGAAAGTCCGGCTGGATGTCGACTTCCTTGCCGTCCTTGATCGGCTTGCTGATCTGCAGTGCGGCCAGGGACTGCACGATGCTTAGGTAGACGTTTGCGTCGGCGAGGGTTCGACCAGCGCAGACACGACGGCCAAAGCCGAATGAGAGGAAGTGAGGGTCACGCTCTGGGGTGTGGGTATCTGATTCGAGGAAGCGTTCGGGCTTGAAGGTCATCGGGTCGGAGTAGATGGTTGGGTCGTGGGTGAAGGCCCTGGGGTGATGTTAGCTAGGGGGGTCATGTTTGTAGTGCCGGGGCTGGAGAGGGCTCACCAGAGGTTAGCCAGAACCTGAGCTCCCTTGGGAATGAAATATCCCTCGAACATGTCATCCTCTTTCGCATTATGGGCGACGCCCATGGGGATCACGGTATGCCATCTGAAGGCTTCTTTGACCATCGCGTTGATGTATGGTAGGTTCTCGCGGTCGGCGTATCCAGGGATTCGACCCGTGCCTATTACTCGGTCGATCTCTTCGTGTGCTTTGCGCTGTACTTCGGGGAAGACGGCCATTGCAATGAACACGGAGTATGTGGTGGCGATCGTCTGCGGGGCGTGTTATCTGTTAAGGGCTGTCTTCCACCATTGTCCTAGAGGGGCTAGCACTTACTGTATCGGATGCTGCGCCGTAGATCGCCAACGCAGTCCACTTGAACAAATCGTCCTTGTCTGACCCTGGCTCTGGGAAGCCTTCTTTTTCAACGAGCCCCGACACAAATGATGGCTCATGTGTGCCATTTGCCATCTGTTGCTTGACGAACGCGTATGGCCGTTCGCTCCAGTTGCGATTGTCTTCTCGGAAGGCTTTCGCCACGCGTGGGAAACTGATGCCTGGGATCCAGGTTGGGGTGTGTTTCACTATTCCCTGCGTCAGTGCTGTTTGTCATGGGTGAGCAGTTGGCTCTTACAGAAGGGGATGAAGTCCACGATCCAGGCTCCCGGCATGAGGGATGCAGCAAATTGTTGCATGCATCGACTCACAAGCTCTACTAATGGGTCCTTCCCACGTGGCGCAACGTTGTACCCATATGTCATCTTCAGTATCATAGCTCCAGCCTGCCTAAAAGATGGTCAGCCACCACCGCCGAAACAGGTCATTTTCGGCGACCTACTTCCGTATATGATCTTGCACATCCTCCGGCGTATCCAGCACCCGAAGCAAGAAGCGAGCCGCCTCAGCCTCCTGGGTACTATTGTACATCGCCACAGAATTATTCGATCCGAACTGTTTCTGAAAAAGTTTCCGCTGGGCCCGAAGACGTGGGTCGCTATATTGTAACGTGGTCACGATTTGATGGAACCCGGCCCTAGGCAGCTGTCAGCGACGGAGGAGGACTCAGACGATGGTTGCGGCCATACAGTTGGGAGAAGTGACCCGTGGGACGCTCGGAGTAATTTGCAGACCGTTTTTCCAGCAGCTCAACTGCAATCTGAGCATCATTTACAATAATGAGGGTCTCCCCAAAAACGTTTACTGAGCTGATGGGGCCTGGGCTTGGTCAGTCTGGGTCAGTGAGCTTCTGACGGGTCGTTCCAGTCACGGACCATAGGTATCCCTATATTTGTACCAATGCAGCCAGTCTCGCCCTGTTTGCGACGGCAGGTCCCACAGATTCCCAATGATCGGCTTGGCTTTCGGGCCTGGGGGCAGCGGCGCCGGAAATTGTTTACGAGTGAGGAAAGTCTTTATGAGGTATAGGCCGACAAGAGCGACAACAACTTGCAGGAGAACGAACATGACGGCAGGTTTCCGTCGCTGCACTTGTCATGGGTGGTGGATATCTAGCAAGTCACTGGGGGGGGCTTGGGTTCTTCATAAATACGAGGGTAGACCCCGACTCCCCGATTCCAATCCCTGTCCAGATGGTGTGAAGGCTGGATATCGTGCGGGGTCGTGCTCTGCAAGTCGTAATCCTCCGACGGTGGCAGAGCTGAACATTGTGCGAGTGTGTTGCAGAAGGGCCCATGATGAGCGGGGTATGCATTGGTGGGCGCAGTTGGCAGTGGCGATTTGGGTGTTGGGAGGGGTCGACGAACCATTTCAGTGCCGTGTTGATGCTTTAGCGGCATCCTCGTGCGGTTCGTCGCTGCACGAGGGGGTTGGTTGGCAACGATCGAGATAGTTTCCGTTCAAGCTGGCTGCGTATGAAGGGGGGTCATTTGTCAAAGATGCATGTCTCTCATCCACGGTACTAATGACATCTGGGCGCTAGAGGTGGAGACCAGACTGGTGGGGATAAGATCTCCGGTGCTGGGGTATGAATATGCCAGTGAATGATGTATCTGCAATGATCAGCCGGGGATGCAACGGCCATCTTCCGGTGAGAAAACCATGCAAGGCATAGATTGCTTCGTGGTGAGGCTATGTTGGGTTGTTGTGTCTCATGGGATACCCGGGTGGGGACGCATGGAATAGTGATGGGAAGGACAAAAAAGACAAGAAAAATAAAAGCAAAAAATGACCTACGCAGGATTCGAACCTGCAATCTCTTGATCCGTAGTCAAGCGCCTTACCATTGGGCCAGCAGGCCAGTTGTTGAGAAATACCACGCAAATTTGCAATATTAACCCAGTGTACGTTGGCCCCACTACTGGAATCTTCGAGCGCTGGAGAGGTTAAATTGCTGTGGTGTTTACCACATAAAAGTGATTTAAAAAAGTTATGGATCTTGCTCATAGACAGGATGATGGCATTATTAACCTGTTTATCATATCAGGGGTTCGTGTTTTGTGTGATTTCAGTAATTGTCGCACCATGTTCATCATCAGTGAGAAAAATGTATATATCTGAGGAGATCATCTCCCCTCCGCATCCAGCATTGCAGTCATTGCCGGCAACGGAATGTTCATCTGTCCGCCCATCTCTCGCTCAACTGTCAGAGACACCTCCATGCTTGCGATATCAAATTTCGGATATGCATACGAGAAGCGTGCGTTGTCAGGTACCTCGGAGCACCTCGTTATGGACTGCCGCCGCTGTCCCGCACTGACATCCAACGCCGCAGCGGCAACCCCGTCGTAGCCCAAACCAACCTCTGCAGCCACGGATTCCTCGAGGGCAATGACCTTCTCTGCAGCAATCGCCCACATATAACTATTGATGGCACCCTCCTGACGGGACGCCGACCGTAGAATATCTACTGCCCTGCGACGGATCAGTGGATCCCGACAGAGAGTGGCGGTATTATAGAGAGGCGCTATGATCCCCATGTCGAGAGAAAAGTTTGGCTTGAATTTCACCTGCCCCAAGGGGGTTGATGGAGCAGAGCCACTTTCACCCGACAGTTCAACGACAGAGGCAGCCAGAGATGTAATTTCTTGGAATATCGAATTGTATCGGTCCCAGCGGTTCGAGTCCGTCATGCCTGATGCATGTTGCTCCAAGAGCATAGCCTGTTCGCATCGATGGATCTGTAGGATCTTCAGACCTATGCGTTCCTTGGTGGTCAAGGACGGACCACGGTCCCGTTCAAATCGATCTAACGCCCCAGACCACTCCCCGAAAAGGGACATGCAGCGTTGGCCAAAGTCGTATAGATCCGATGCTTGGGATGCAGTGGCGGTGCTAATCATTTTGTTGTATTCACCCCTCATCACATAATTAAAGTATTCATACACATCGCGCGCCTCGGTAAGAGAGGAAAACGATTGTGGAACTTGAGTAGGGAATGCTCCCATCGACTGGATTACGTCCATGGAGCGGTCGTCTACATCTGCACGAGTCTGTGTTTGATATCAGTGTCTGTCAGCCAGATTTTAGACAAGCTGTGATTATAACATACCAACGTCCAAGCTTGGATATGAAGTCGGATAAAGATCTTTCGCAAGTTCTCTATCTCAAGACTCGATGCCGTAGAAGGGTTGAGGAAGGGATGACGATAAGTGCCGGTGTCTGGGTCATAGTAAACCCCCTCGAGAATTTTGATGCCGCTTCGGATATGGTTGAGGGCCGCAACATAATGGCTCGACAAAATCTAAAACGAAGCTAGTGAATTGAGATCACGAATAATTAACAAGAACACAGATATCCTGACCTCAAAACAAATGAATAAGATGCACGATATCAGACAGACATCTACCGTCAGAGTCCCTGAAGTATCATTGGCAGACTGAACGGACGAATCAAACGATGATCGGTCCATTGGTCCCAGAAGTGCTCTGATAGCCATTAGATACTCCTTCAAAGCGAAGGTATCATGCACACTGTGTTTGAAAGATAGGACGGGCATGCGTTCAAATGTCTCATGCTTCGCGCCCAATGCGACGATTGCATGCCAAACGGGCTTCTCATGCTGGCTGACCTGCAGCACCAGGCGACTCCAGAACTCCGAGCCACAGTAGCCCGCCAGTGAAGGCACGGTTCTCTCATAGAAGAACTGGAATGATCGGATTTCACGTTCACTTCCTGTAATTCCAGGACTGGCCCTTGATATAGGGAGCCGATAATGGCTACTGGGAACGAGAGAAATGCGATTTTCGTAGCCATCGCATTTACGGCCAGTGGAAGAGCATTTTAGGCAGTTCGGCTTGGTTTCATCGCATTTGATGCGTCTTACTATGGCACATGAGTCATCTAGGAAAAGCCCTCCAAGTAATGCTTCCAGGGTACTTACTTCTAGGGAGAAGATTAGCCTAGCTCCCGAGAACGCCGTGTTCAAGATAACCTTCTTACCTGCAAGTCAGACAGCCGGTCTTCGACCTTGGACTATACGCTTTGGATATTCTTGGCATTGCAATCCATCGTCTAGAGGATGGTGCCTTTGAAACACGAAGATAGACCGAAACCCGATGCCTTGGAGAAGGAGCTCTTCGACATGGACGATGAGTCGATACCAAGCAACCCAAAGAAAGCCGAATGATAAGTCGCAGCCCCAGGCAGCCAGGCAAGCTGACAGCTGCTCCGCGCTAGCTCCCCTAGGACTAGTTCCATCCAGTGCCGCCGGCATCGGCGGGTCTTTCCGCGCGGCGGTAAAAATGGCGTTCGCACGCAAAATTGCTGTGGCCCTCCCCTCGCTTCCCGGATCTCGCTTGTGACTAGCGCGGTCGGCCGCAGGTATAAAAGGCGGCTTCCCCCCCAACAGTTTAGGAAATTAAGCGACTCTACGTGAGTTTCCCTCCCCCCTACCTTGGGAATCATCCCCGGGTATTTTGAGAGAAGAAGAAACACCTGCTAACAATTTTGCCAACAGTTCAAAGAATCACTTTAGAGTAGACGTCCCACCTCTGAGCTCTTCTAAAGAGCCACAGAATCTCCACCCTTGCTGATGACTGCTATGTCCTCGGTGCCCTAAAGTGAAGCCGTTTTACTTCCGACTCGACCTTGCATGTACGCGCTGTGTTACGATCTGTCTCTGATAGACTTGTTTCCAGTGCCCGTGCGATGGTCCAGGGAGTGGTGATGATCTTTACCTTGTTGTGATGTCTTGACTTCGGTCGGTCTGACTTGGTGGGCGTCGAGGAGGTCTGAAAGGTCCCCCATCCTCTTTGAACACTTTTATGCTGGTGTTGGAGGATTGGAATTGGAATTGCTCAACCGAATGAAATTAATGAATTTACCCCTTGAAACCTATCATCTTGCGTAAAACTAAAAATCATCGTAGACATTTTGGTTGAAATGTTACCATACTTGGCTATTCCACTCGGTAGGGGGAAACTCGCGTTGCGCCCACTAGAAAAACGATGTCAATCCCGTTCTTGGTGTGGATGCACCACATGCTAGAATGATGACTGTTAGTTGACCAGGGACTAGGGTTTAGAAAGAGACTATTTGTGGGGTGAAATCTTGAGGTCTGCTTTTTTGTGGCATAACTTGTTTTCCTGGGCGGATGTCAAGGTGTATCTAAGCCGTGTGACTGGCGCTATCTGAATCAGAGACTCGGAATTCCGAAAACAATCGGGACTCCGGACTACGACACCTATGATGGCCGAGGCCTGTGATGCGCTTTTCCATAGCATCACACCGCCAAAAGATACTTTCTTCTTTTCTTGACCACTGAATATAGAATATCCTTGCGCCTTTCAGCAAATGCGGCGATGACCAAAATAACTGGAGCAGGGGAAGAGCATACGATATCTACATTGGGGAGGACAGAGGAATTCAAGGCAGTCTCACGGTTAATGAACAGTAGCCCATTTCTTGCGATATGGACAAGACTGGATGCTTAACATGATTGAATACTAAAATCAAAGATATGAAGATTCCATGCACCACACGCTATTCAGTTCATCCCGTAGCCTTTTTGGTCGACAATGAGCCCCAGATCATCCTATCGCATATGCGGGGAGCAAGAGTTCTCGAAAGAGGGTATAAAAGCAATGAATGTTGATGTGGGTTCTGCCCACTGCTTCCATCTCACTGGCATGTGCTTTGGAAGGTTGGATACGAAGAGAAGACGCGTGGGGCATTCGCCTGGTATTATCATTGGATACATCATATCGTGACAGCTCATTTAGATTCCGGGTTTCCTTTGCCCTCAGGGGTATTTCCGCTGGCATTCCCTGCATTACTCCCTCCGCCGCCTCCCTTGGAGCCGCCCTTGCTCTTGGACCCTCGCCCACCGCGTGGCCCTCGAGATGAGTTGGCTCCAGAGCTGCCTTCGCCGGATTTGCCGCCGCGGGTACTGTTTCCACCACCCCCGGCAGACGGTTGAGCCTCACCGCGGCCTTTGCCACGGCCCTTCTCTCCTCCGGGGTTGGCCTTCCGCTCCAGGACGACAACCTGACTCTGGGCAACCGAGACGGGACTGGCAGCGATGGCTTTCTGCAGTGCATCGGGCTCTGCAAAGTCGACGTAACCGAATCCTTTCTTCTTGTCAATCTCAACCTTGACGATCTTCCCGAATGGTGCAAAAGCCGCTTCGAGCAGAGGTTCGGTGACGCCCTGCGACGGATTTGCGTGTTTGAGGAATGCCTGAGTGGCGGTAGCTGTCGGTCCGGCCGATGCTTGCTTACCCTTCGCAGGCTTTGCAGGTTTAGGTGTAGTACTGACAGGCGGCGTGTTTGCTTCCGATGGATCGTTGGACTGTTGCGCGCTACCGCCCTTGCCCTTACCTTGCGAGCCTCCTCCCCTTGACGGTCTGGTGGGCGTGTCCTTCTTGCCCGTCTCCGGAGTGGTGGTGCCGCTTTGATCGTTCTTCGACGCATCTCCCTCCGCGGGAGCGCTTTTGCCTTTCCGACGACCGCCAGATGGGGCGAGACCGAGGTCGCGTTGCAGAATCTTGGCCGCGGCAGCGACGTTTCCGCGTTCTCGCTTTCGCTCCGACGCTGGCTGTGGCGCATCCTTGGGAGAGTTCTGCGCGGGAGACGATTTTGCTGCTTGCTTGGCAGCGACACTGGCGGCCTGCTTGCTCGCTGCTTTCACGGCTTCCTTACTAGCCTTGTCCGACCTGGATTTCTTCTCTGGCTTCTCCGTCGCAGATGGCTGGTTTGCGTCCTTATCAGGGCGTTGTAGGAGCTTCTTTGCCTGCACCTTGTCGGCCTTGGAATCCTTATCCGACTTGTGTTTGGATGACTTGCTGGACTCTTTGGCTTTGTTGGCCTTCTTTTCCCTAATGTACTGCACCAGAGGGGTGACGGTCACCGTACCCTTCTTCTCTTCATCTGCAGCGGAGTCGACGAGGGTTGGTTTGGTGATAGGTTGCGTAAGGCTCTCGAGGAAGGCAATAAACTCGGGGTCCTGATCAATGGTTCCCTGGCGGGCATCCTTGCGCGAGCGGCTTCCGGGGATCTTGGCGTAAGGCGAGAATTCCAGCGATGGGGGGCCTAGTAGCACGGGGTCATTGGAGGTATTGCGGGCGTCCAAGAACGACGCTTGACGGACCGTGTTCGAGAGCGGGATGGTATGATCGTTGGACAGGACATGGATGTAGGCGCGCGAAGGTCGGGAGGGCTTGGCTGGACTGTATCGGACAGTCGTTAGCTGATAGACATCCAGGTAGATGGCAGTGAGGAGTACTCTTTGGAGACCTTGCCCGGCTTGTACTGGAACCAATCGACCTTTCCACCCCCGGTCTTCCATTCCGGGCCCAGTGCCGTCTCAAACTCCGCTTGAGTCAATCCGGGCGGGAGACGCCTCACGACGAGTTTCAAGCGTGGGGCTGCTGGCTTCGGCGCCTTCCTGGGTGTCGCAGACGAATTCTTCTGCGTTGCAGCCACTGGGATTTGGAGAACCCCTCCGGTTGACTTGCCCGCGGGGATCGGCGTCATGATGCTTGATGGGACCTGCGCCCCGACCAGGTTTGGAGGAGTTGCTGAGGATAGAGGAGGGGTAGGGGGGGCGATAGTCCACTGGGGTATGACAATGAAGGGCCACTGGCCAGAGGAACGACACTCCTGCGCTGAAATGAGTCGGGGAGTCAGTTGGTGCAGTGACAGTGATGCAGATCAAGAGGGAGGATTGACCGGCGGGAGGGTCCACGTGACCGCGGCGGGCCAGCGGTGATGGCAGAACTCCTGGCGACACCCAACATCGACCTGCGGGGAAGATCAAGCACGGGCGCGCCCTCCGCGATCTTCACGCCTCTCCTTCCCAACCTCGTTCGCTCCTTACCCTTGGTGACGCATATCTGTCTCCCCACCTCTTCCCACCACTCGATATCACCTTGCTTTCACACCCCACAATTCGTTTCGTGCAACCTCATCATGGTGGACAGTAAGGTCCCCCAGCCGGGACCAGCCAAATTGAAGCGCAATGCAGGCCCGGACCAGTGGCTGGAGGCCGCCAAGGACTGCAAGTATCTCTCGGAGTCCCATATGAAGCAGCTTTGCGAGATGGTCAAGGAGTTCATGATGGAAGGTAGGCTCATGGCGAAGATCTGCGCCGATTGCCGTGCAGGAGGCTGACGGGGCGCATTCCTTAGAATCCAACATCCAGCCCGTCTCCACGCCCGTGACTGTCTGCGGAGATATCCACGGCCAGTTCTACGATCTGCTGGAGCTGTTCCGGGTCTCTGGCGGGATGCCCGATGAACCAGACGCAGAGCCGCCAAAGACGTCACCGTCCGTGATCACTTCCGAGGATATCGAGCCCCCGTCCACCATCACCGACCCGAAACTGCGGAAGAAGCTGAGGAACTCCGGAAACTCGGAAGACTTTGATGAGAGCAGCAGTCAGAGGGGTCGGTCTGCGAGCTCAGGATCAAAGGAACTGGAACTGAACCGGAACTTCGTCTTCCTCGGGGACTATGTTGATAGAGGGTATTTTAGTCTGGAGACGTTGACGCTGCTGCTGTGCCTCAAGGCGAAGTAGGTGATCCCTGCACCTTTTTTTTCGGGGTACTAATATCATGTTGCAGATATCCTGACCGAGTCACGTTGGTGCGTGGTAACCACGAGTCCCGCCAGATTACCCAGGTCTACGGTTTCTACGAGGAGTGCTTCCAGAAGTACGGCAACGCGTCTGTATGGAAGGCTTGCTGCCAAGTGTTCGACTTTATGACCCTGGGAGCCATTATCGACGGCAGGGTACTGTGCGTGCATGGTGGACTGAGTCCGGAAATCAGAACCTTGGATCAAGTCCGTGTGGTCGCCAGGGCCCAGGAGATTCCGCACGAAGGTGCTTTCTGTGACCTGGTTTGGTCCGATCCGGACGACGTGGAGACATGGGCTGTGAGTCCCAGAGGAGCCGGTAAGTCGAGCCTCATTATGGGATGAATGTTACTGACGTCCACAGGCTGGTTGTTCGGAGATAAAGTCGCCGACGAATTCTGCCATGTCAACGACCTGACCCTCATCGCCCGAGCACATCAACTGGTGAACGAGGGCTACAAGTACCACTTCACCAACCAGAACGTGGTCACGGTGTGGAGTGCTCCCAACTACTGCTATCGCTGCGGGAACCTGGCCTCCGTGTGCGAGATCGGGGAGGACCTCAAGCCGAGCTTCAAGCTGTTCAGCGCCGTTGGTGACGACCAGCGACACGTTCCGACATCGCGGCCGGGCCGCAGTGAGTACTTTCTGTAAGATATCGCATCATTGTGCTATTTTTTTCTCGTCCGCTTGTGTGGCAAGACATGAGGCGTTACTGCACCGGCGCTGGCGTTGGGAGTGATAAGATGGCGCCTATGCTCGTGGGTGAGACAGGTTATGAGCATCATATATTACGATCTGGGACAGTTAATGAGGTGTGGTTATACATGGTACAGTTTGGTCGGGGGGTTGGTAGTTTATTGTCGCATTATGATGAATTGGATGATTGTTATGATACACTCCTAGATATGCTCTTTACACTCTTTGTGTTCTCTATAATCCAGGGTAAGATAGCAGGTCCAGATGACCATCTCTCCATCTCGAGGCCAATATAGCTGGGAATAAGTAGCTTCTCACAAAGTTGGCTGCTTCAGTCATTCACAACTCTGACGGCAGTTGTTCGCGTGCGATCTGTTCCTGCTTCGGTTAACAACCGGTCGGTCGTTTTCACCTACCCAACAAACCAGCATCACCACCCACCTACAGCATGCCAGCAAGGCCACACCAGCCCCAGATCGCAGAGAAACACCAGTCGCGCCGTTTCTAGCCAGCAACAGCACATCCTCGTCACAACAGATCGAAATGCCGACCAGCAACCGACCCCGGGATCGATCCCGACGCACCCCCGGAACGCATCCCGGGCGGCCTTGAAGTATACCTAGTCGCATCACCATCCTCATCAAACTCACAACCACCCTTTCATCTCTTCCCTTCTATTCTTTCCAACCATAGCATCACCCATCCCATATCACCTCACAAAACAACATACCATACCATGGACCCCCGCAAAACCGACATCCTAATCTGCGGCTCCGGCTCCGCGGGCCTCTGCGCCGCAACCTGGCTCGCCCGGCACGGCATCCGGAGTACGATCCTCGAGCGTCGCGCCGGACCCATGACCATGGGCCAGGCGGATGGGGTGCAGTGTCGTACAGTCGAGATCTTTGAGAGTTTTGGTCTCGCGGAGGAGGTTTTGAGGGAGGCGTATCATGTTACAGAGGTGGTGTTTTGGGCGGATGGGGGAGTGGGTTCTTCTGGATGTGGTGATAGCGGGACTGGTGGTGGTGTTGGTGCTGGTGGTGCTGTTGCTGATGGGAACAGTGCTCGCGGTGGGCGCATACAACGCACAGGCAGAACGGCAGATGTGCAGCCTGGACTGTCGCACCAGCCGCATGTTATATTGAATCAGGCGCGGATTAATATGTTGCTCATCGAGGCGATGGGGCGGTTTGGGGGGCAGGGGATTGAGTACGGGGTTACTGTGACGGATATGCGGGTCGATGTGGAGGGTGGTGGGGAACATCCAGTGAAGGTTGTTGCGGAAAGGAATGGAAGGGAGGAGACATTTGAGGCGAAGTATTTGTTGGTATGTTATTTCTCTCTCTCTTTTATTTCAGGTGATGGGATATGGCTGACGTTGTAGGCGTGCGATGGTGCGCATAGTACTGTGCGGAAAGCGTTGGGGTATACCATGATCGGGGACAGCAGTGACGCAGTCTGGGGAGTGATGGATATGGTTCCGCGGACGGACTTTCCTGATATCAGGAAGAAGACGACAATTCGGTCACAGGCTGGCAATATGCTGATCATTCCTCGTGAGGGGGACAACTACACTTTGACGCGGTTCTACATTGAACTTCCGGCTGGGACGAGAGCGAAGGATGTCAGATTAGAAGATCTGCAGGACGCGGCGAGGAGAATCCTCAGTCAGTATAAGGTCGAGTTTGTTGAGACGGTCTGGTGGTCTGCCTATGCGATTGGTCAGCGGCATGCAGACTTCTTCCATAAGGATTATCGGGTTTTCCTCGCGGGAGACGCATGTCATACGCATTCGCCCAAAGCGGGTCAGGGCATGAATGTCAGTTTGCAGGATGGGTACAATATTGGCTGGAAACTGGCGGCTGTGCTGAGGGGGCTGGCGCATCCTTCTTTGTTGGAGACTTATGTGCTTGAACGGCAGAAGGTGGCTATTGATCTGATCAACTTTGATCGATATTTTGCGAAGCTATTCTCATCGAAGGGAGATGCTTCGGCGCGGGAGTTCCAGGAGGGTTTTATCAAAGCTGGGAAGTATACCGCTGGTCTGACGGCTAAGTATGATGAGTCTCTGATCACCTCTGAAACGGGGGCGTCGAGGGAACTTTCTACGAATACTGTGGTGGGGATGAGGCTGCCGAGTGCTCAGGTTGTGCGATTCTGTGACTCGAAGCCTGTGCAGTTGTCTACGGCGCTCAAGTCCGATGGTCGATGGAGGATTATGGCATTTGTGGGAGATATCGGTGTTTCTGAGAATTGGACCAGGATGGCAGCTGTAAGTTTGATGCAATGTTGATTGAGATATACTAACGGAGAATAGCTTGGGGATTACCTGGGCTCGAACGACAGCCCCCTCCAAACATTCCGTCTCAAAGACGGCGACGCAGACAGCCTGGTCGAGCCAATCCTAGTGGGCTATGGCAGACGACACGATGTCGAATTCGAACGAATTCCTAAAGTCTTTTACCCAATTACCGGCAAGAATCAGATTCGAGGTGATTGTATTGTCTTTGTGGTGATCTTTCTTATCTAACAATGACAGACCTTCACAAGATCTTCTTTGACGACGAAAGTTACAACAAAGGCCACGGGCACGTCTACGACCACCTCGGGATCAGTCCCGACAAAGGCGCTATTATCATTGTTCGACCGGATCAATGTGAGCCTCTGTCCTGTTGTCAAAGTATATGCGCTAATAGTTCTAGATGTATCCGCTGTTTTCAGTCTGGATGACTATAGACGAATCGGCGAGTTCTTTGAGGGTTTTATGATCCCGCAGGAGAAGACCGGTTCTCTGCCAGAAGATAAACTATGATAGAGCATTCTTGTCACACTATGCAAGGAACGAACATGTATATAGGGATTCCCTCAGCTAGATAGAAGCAAATATGACGACGTCATCATCTGGCTGTATTATAGAGACGATAGAATGAAGTCACGACGGACTGACTCTTACACTACTTACTACTCTTGATTGGCCTTCCCCTGTGACACCAGAATCCCCCCACTCTCGGTAGAGCATTCTCGGGAAGATATCACACGATATCACAGCAAAAATAGAAACAAAAAAGAGATGGTCCCAGAGGGGGTCGAACCCTCGACTTTAACGTTATTAGCGTTACGCTCTAACCAACTGAGCTATGGGACCCAATTTACATAATGAGGTCAGACTGACCACGTCATTATTCCGTACACTATTATAGGCTGCAATAAGAACTGTGTTAGTATGATCCATGGATGATGAGGACAGCACGGCCATATTGACTGTGTATGATCGGCATATTTCTGTCTACTGGATATTATGTCGATTATTAAATGAATGGCTCGGTCTATTCCTTGTCTCAGAGGTGCTGAAGAATGTGGGAAATGGATGTTATGCTTTTTTGTTAGTAGTATGTATATTTTTGTGTTTTTCCCGAGTAGAGGCGTCTATAGTGACAACGACAACACCACGCAATTATATCACCATGAAGCTTAGTACCACATACCCACTGAACAGGCACTATAGGTAAGCTACATGTACCATGTTGTAAGAGCCACGCGACGGCACTAAATCTGTTGGGCTACACTACTGAAACAGTGGTGGGACGGAACCTCGTAGGTTGCAGGGAGTGCATCAGACCTAGGTCATACAACTTCCTTCGATGGCTAGTACTAGATTGAAGCCATCGCTACTGCCTAACTGGCTTGGTCTAACAGTGGGAAGGAACACTTCTTCCTAAATACTCTACTTCGTATTTTTGACTCAATCACGCACCATAAAACCTTAGGTACGTCCCGAAGTCCAATAACACCATCATTATCGCCTGCGTCAGTCTTAGGACATTCACCGGATGTTTTCATCTTATGAGCTAATTATCGTGTCATTTTTCTGTCATGAGACTCGACTGGAGTCATTTATAACTACTTCACCACCAACCCCCCCCCCCCGGGGGACAGCTTATTCTTTCATTCACACCTAAGAAACGGAACTCGCTCTTTCAACACCACTCAAAGAACATCGTTTCGAACCGGCAACATGTCGTTGCAAAATCTACCACCCGAAACTGTCCTCGAAGTAATTCAAAACCTTCGAAACCCCGACATGAGCTCCCTAGCTCTAGTCAACCGCAACTGTTACGTCCTCGCCACGGATCGCCTCTATAAAAGAGATGCTCGAGAAAACTACGGATCTGCCCTCATACATGGTATCATAAATGGTAACATGTCAACAATAAAGAGATCCCTGGACGCTGGAGCCGACATTCAATACATTTTTGAATATGGGGTCCCCGAGTGCCCCCCCGCCGTGTGCGGTGCCGCAGCCGCGGGCAACCCGGAAATCTTCAATGACCTCATACAGGCCGGTGCGCCTCTCAACTACCGCATGGATGGTTTGAGCCCATTGCAGATTGCCGCCGGAAGAGGGCATATTAAGATTGTCAAAATCCTGCTGCACTTGGGCGTCGAGCTGCAAACGACCGAGGAAAATTCGCCCATTGGCATCGCCTGCGCTAAGGGGCATAACTCAGTTGTTGAAGCCCTCCTCGCAGATCCCCGCATCAAGAGCAGTCGTGCGGAGACCTGGGGGCTTGGGCCGTTGGAAACGGCAGTGAAGAATGGCCACGTTCAGATCGTGGAGACTCTTCTTGCCCATGGCGTGAAGATACGCCCTCCCAGCCCGTTGATGCATATCGCGGTAGTTTATGGGGGTCTATCGATGTTGGAGTTCCTGCTCAAGAGACAAGAGATTGACATTAATGTTCTCTTCAGCAGGAGAACGGCACTGCATCGTGCCGTGGAGCAAGGTCAGGATGGAATGGTTGAGATCCTGGTCCGGGACCCCAGGATAGACTTGGACTTGACGGGCTGTGGACACACGCCTCTAATCGAAGCGGAAAGCAGAAATGACCGGAGGATCTGTGCCATACTGATAGATGCAGGCGCAAACCCGAAGGCCGTGGACCAGCCGTGGGGATCCTGGTGATCGAACGGACTGATTGTTGGTACAGGGGGTGTTTGGATATATTTTTTTTATTTCTTCTTTATTCTCGGAGCTGAGGCGTTAGTTTTGTTTGACTATAGACATGTCAGTTGTAATTGGGGTTTTTTGAGACCGAATGCAGAAGATTGCGTTGTCGCCATTTGATGCCTGGTCTGAAACCTCCCAAAAGGAGTATATGTAGCAACAGAATACAGTCCACAGTACTCAGTCTACCACTCATCTATAAAACATCAACCATCCCAACACAGAAGAGAAATGTAGAAAGCAAAGCAACTCACCACAACAACCCCTCACGCACCCCCCACACTCTTCCAAACCTCGAACGCCCTGAGCAGATTTCCCCCCTGCTCCCCAATAAACCGCAACCCCTCCTTGCCATTCCCATCCTCATTCCCATCCCCACTCCCCCTCCTCTTAGCCCTCTCAACCCCTCCCTAACCTCCTCCTCCTCAACCCACCGAAACGCTCTATGCTCCTCCTCCGCAACCCTTACCTTCCCCTCCCACCCCTCACTCCCACCACTCCCACCACTCCCACCAACCTCTCCATCCCCGCCCCCACAATCCCCGCCAGTAAACCCAGAAGACCCAGCCCCAGAAGCAAACGGCGACCCAACATCCACCAAAAAAGTCCACTTCATCACCCTCTTCCCGCCCTTCCTCCACCCATCCACACACACCAAATCCACAAACCGCACGACCGCCAGTCCCGTCTCCTCGAAGACTTCGCGCGCTACGCCCGCAAGAAGCGTCTCGTCGATGCTGGGCTCGCAGCCCCCGCCCGGGCCTTCCCAGAAGTAGGGGTAGGAGTCTGAGGCGGCGCGTTGGAGGAGGAGGGTTTTGGGGATTGCTGTGGAGGGGGAGGGGGAGGGGGAGATGGGAGGTGAGGTTGGGGTTGGATTGGGGCTGAAGATGAAGGCGCCGACGACGAGGGTGTCGACTGGGTGGTGGGTGGTGAATGTTGAGAGGGGTTGGGCGTAGTGGTCGAGGTGGGGGGCGATGGTGTAGGAGGTAGAGGGGTTTATTGTTCTTGTTGTTGTTGTTGGTGGTGGTGGTGGTTGGGCTGGAGCTGTGGGTGTGATCATTTTGGAGGTGAAAGTGGAGGTGTAGGATGGATGAAAGAGATAATTGACAGTTGGGGTTTATGTGCAGGCAGGGCTTGTATGAAGAGAAAGTAGTTCTATGAAGGTGCAGTGTTTGGGTTTATAAAGTGGGATGATAGATGAGATAAAGTTTGAAACGCGGCCAAGAGCTGCTAATTTAGTCCCATTCGCGTTGCTTCTTATTGGCGGGCCAACTATAAACGTGGAAACTTTTAAAACAACAGACAGTAATCAATCAACGCCGAGTGCTCCATCTATTCTGATGTCTGAAGTACTGTACCAGCCCCAGTTCTAATTCTGTGTACACCTACCACCTGTCACCTGTCACCTATACATGGTACCACCGCACCATATCTCTTCCCACCCCAAGAGGATCCCACAACGGCTTCCATTCAACTTCTCGCGCGGACACCACCGTCTCTTCGCACACCTCCTCTTCGGTATGTGTATGTTCGTCCTCAACCATCCGGCGCTGTCGTACCTTCCACCCCCGCACCACCCACAAGCATAACCCTGCGCCAACGTACACCATGCCGGAAAAGATCTGCACATTCTTGTATGCTGCCTCGCCCTCCGTGGGCCGTCGTAAAGCCTGTGCAACAGCTTCTCCAGTCGCTCCGGGACCAATAAGAACAAGCCAAAGAAGGCTCAAAGCTCCCGGCAGTTCCTGCAGCCCGATGACCTCCACAAATACGGGGGCCACCGTCGCGAAAAATGTGCCCGATACCATGCCACCGATTACAGCAAACAAAGACACCACTGCCATGCTCCGGGCCGGAATCCAGATGGCGAAGCAGAAGACTGCACACACCAACGAAAAAAATGTCGCGACATTCAATCTTCCCAAGCGATCGCTCGTTAGTCCGATAAGTGGCCGTCCGATACCCTGGCCCAGATTGTGCAATGCTCCCACAACACTGCTCTGATGAGCGGATAAGCCGATCGAAATGGCGAAGTTTGGCAGGCTGAAATTGACCGCCACGAACCCGAAGGTGCTGAAGATTGCCCAACCAAGCAATAGGATAAACTCGAAGTGTCTGAGCAGGGGCAGATTGAAGGGAGTGTGGCGACTCTCGGTCGCCTTGTTGCGGTCGCGTAGAAATGCCGCGCTCACGAGGTTCGCCGCCAACGAGACGATTGCTATTGTGCGGAACGTCCACGCGAGCCCCAGGCGTTCAATCATTGACTGGATGGCGAGGGAATAAATGACGCCACCTGTTCCGGCACCGGCAGCGGGGATGGCGTTGGCAATGCTGCGTTTACGTTCAAACCACTGCGGCGGGATGCCTAGGTAACTCATGTATATTAAACCCATGCCAACTCCAAAGCAGAGGCCTTGAGTCAGGAAGAGCTGGTAGGGATGCGTCGCAAAGGATGCAGCGACTAAACCCGCACTTTGAATGAAGATGCCGCTGATTAGGACGGCATGAGTTCCATACCGACGAATTAGGCATACAGTCACAGGTGCCATGAGATACGCGCATCCGATGGCTAGCCCGCCGATGAAGGCAAAAGCCAGCGAGCTGGTGTTGGGGTAGATGTTGTTGGTAAGGTAGTAGGACAGGAACACGCCATAACTCTGATGTTATTAGAATGGAAAGGGTTGGCTAGTAGATCCCGTTCACATACCCCGTTGATACCCCAAGTGTTGACTTGAAGCCAGAACACGCAGGCGACTATAACCCAGCCATAACCCCCATCTGGGGGTATGTCCCCTCCGATATTGAGATCTTGCTTTGAGGTTGAAGAACGGCTCTCTTCGTCACCATTTTCAGTGTGTATGTAATCCGTTCCGTAATCGGATTTATGAGCGTCTTTCTCATGAGTGGAATCCATTGGGCTTGCGTACAGTTCTGCCAGGCACCGGTATACTGGAGCAATCGAAAGAAGGGCTCCAACCGGAGAATATATAGTGCATCTGAAACTTGAAAGCAGTAGAGCAGACGTACGACATTCTGCATATCAATTCCCCGAAGAGAATCAAACCCTACCGCGGGGCTGGAATGCACCATCCCAAATTTGGGAGAAGCCACGCATGAAAAGGCCCACGCACCTCAGTCCAAAGGACTGAGAAAGCTCCGATCTATTGCAAATAGCAAGGGAGACTGTAGCTTGCGCAATAGCTCAACGAACCGGATGCTTGGTTGGCTATCTTGCCCTTGTTGGCTATCGGTATGGGAAGTGAAGAATGCTGCTACCTGAGGCCTGCACATCCCCCATCTGGAGTAGCGGTATCCCTTGCTTTGGGCTCGATCGGACCAGGGGACAAGTCCTCGAGTCTTGAGTATGAAACGGTGATCGGGTCGGTTGCTCATTTTAATTGGGAGACACACAGGGTTTACCACTTGTGTCCAAGATAGCAAGCTTGAATGGGCTGCATATAGTATGGAGACAAAAGCAAATGTTGAGTAGGGGTTTCCACTCTGCAAGGATGGTTCAAGTCAGCCATAAAATCAGGTGCCACGCACATGTGCCGATCCCTGTCGGTCTATCGGAGGGCGTTCAAAGAACTGAGTGGACGACAAATGCTCGAAATAAGACCCGGTACCCAGTATTGGCTGGAATGAAACAGTGATGTCGGTGGCTGCGGACAAGCTATAGATGGCCCATGTGGCGGCTTGGAAGTCGAGAACTCTAAGCTGGAGGTATGAACCGATTGACGAATTCACAAAGATAGCGGTCAGAATAAACCGGTTGCTGTCCAGCCGTTTATCCTGTCCAGGCACTGCAACTTCCCAGATGAGATCATGCCGACTGCTGGTGACTAAAAGGTGAAGGAAGGAGTGTCCTCAATGGGGAGCAAAGGATTGCGAAATCTTTGTCCCTTGGCCCCAGTGATTGACACGGACTTACGAATCCCCATACTCTCCTTCCTTGCGCGACAGCTCGGTCGGACACCCGGAGGTCATATCATGCAGTGATCCATGCAGTGATCTTCGCTGACTGACGTAATTGTTTATTGGTCCTGTTTGAATACTTCTTGCTGTCGTCCATTCTCGACTCATGATATACGTGGCTTGCTTCTGTGGGTGGATGATCCCCAACTGTTACCCCATCATATTCGATGCAAAGCTTAGCAGAATCGGACATATGATGCAAACCAGGCGGATGTGATTGACAATAGCTCAAGAATGATTGACATGGGGTTGCAAAGGCGTTTCAGAGGCGTTTCAGAGGCGTTGTAGAGGTGTTGTAAAGATGTTATAGGGGCATTGTAGAGGCGCTGCAGAGGCATTGCAGAAGCGATGTATAGGTGCTATAAAGAGTAGATATATCGTAGAGATATTTAACAGGTGGTCTAGAGGCGTTTGAAATGAATTGCAAATGCATTGCGGAGATGTTGCAAAGGCCACAGAGAAATGAAGTGGAGCCGGGAAGGCTTTGAGGTACACATGATGCTGCGATCCCGCGCCTTCCTAAACAGGCATATATAAACAGCGCAACACAATCTTACGCGTTTCAAGACCAAACCAACCGGAACAATACGACAGCCTTCAGCTATCCAATAGCGAAGAGAGAAGGACCCTAGACCTCAAACGAATCGCCAAATTGCCACGAACCGTGATACCGTTCCTGTATAAGGCTTGGTCCAATGGGAGACGTGACAGACGCGTCTAGTGTAAGTATTGTCTTACTTATTGGGCTGACATCATTCACTTGTAGGTAGTTAGTAGCTACTACTGTACTCATTACAAAGACTCGATCACCTGTGCAACTGATCTTCGACTGGAAGTGCCCCTTCCGCCTGCAGCCGAAGCGCAACCTCGTCGACCTCCCTCCACACCCGCAGCAGGTTGCCTCCAGCCACCTTGCCTGCATCCTCGTCGCTGACTCCGCGCCGCAAAAGCTCAGCAATTAGATCGGGGAATTTGGACACATCTTCGAGACCTCGCGGGACGGTCGGAATGCCATCAAAGTCACTTCCCAGCCCGATATAATCAAAGCCAATGAGATTCCCAATATGCATGATATGGTCCACCACATGCTCCAACGTTGCATGCACTGGGTCGAAATCTGGTAAGCCGTACGGGTTATTTGACTTGGTACACGAGACAAAGTCCGGAGAAAAGTTGATCATCACAATCGAGTTGCGTCTCTTGACCAGCTCCAAGACATCGTCGGGGACATTCCGTGGATGAGGACAGACTGCATACGCGGAGCTGTGGCTGAACATGACCGGCGCGCGGCTGCCAGCCCAGTCGTCTCTGCCAGCGCCTAGAACGTGTCGCATCGTGTCCGCACTGACATGGGACAGATCTACGATCATGCCGACTCGGTTCATCTCAAATATGAGGTCCTTGCCGGCCTCGCTCACTCCGTGCCAAAGAGGGTCCGCTTTCTTCACCCCACCCGGAAACTCGACGAGCGCCGCATCAGCATAGCGGTTGTGGCAGTTGTGGGTGAGCGTGGCATATGAAACTCCAAGGGAATAGAAGGCTCGCAAGTGGGACAGCGAGTTCCCGATAGAATGGAGACCCTCGATGCCGAGTGGTGAGATAATCTTGCCCTCGCGGAAGGCCTTCAAGGCTGTCGTACCGTTGGGGGGAGCAGAGAAAGTATCGGAGTAAGCCTGCTGCAGACGTCGCGTTACATCCACTTGTTCGAAAGTTTCGCGCACGCCTGTTTTATAGCATTAGCAAGGGACAAACCGTGACAAAGCCCGATGTCTTACTGGTCACATATGTTGCGTCGGAGAAGTCGCTCCAGTTTTCTGGGCACTCCACAAAGACACTCCAGAAGGTACCGCCCACTTTGCCCTGAGCAAGCCGTGGCAGGTCGACATGGCCTTTCAAACCTCCCTCCGTAAAAGGCACCTTGAAGTCATCGCCGTAGATGTGGTTATGGAACAGGGAGCGGATAAAAATAGGCAAATCATCATGACCATCTGTGACTATTAGAATTGTAACTAGGACATCTCGTCTGCGGGGCACAATTTACCTATCAATGGGGTTTCCGACAGGATTTTGTCGACGCGTTGTTGCAGGGTGAGCGGTCGCCTGTTGCATCGGTGTGCATTGGTCAAGAAGACGAAGACACACGCGAGCAGAAAACTGAGAAGCACCCGTCCCATATTGCGCGCTAGAGAAGATCGCGGCGTTTTGTTTGGACCGGATGAAGCAGAAGGGATTGTCGCATATGGGAGCGATGACCCCAGCTCGACTTTGGAACCCATCTTGTAATACTGAAGGAAGGGGGGGGGGTTGTGTAACCCGCACCGGTCAATTTCTCGCGAAGATGAGTAGCCGTCTTGGAGAAGAGAAAAGAGGTGGAAGGAACGGAGCTCCGGAGGAGTAGATCCTGGTTTATCTAGGAAACCCAGGACAGACGGTAAGCATGGCTTGTATTAGCAGCTTAGCAGCTCAGGATGCGGATTGGCTTACGGGGCTTGATAAGCCTCCAAACTAGAGATGCCAGGCACAGACGGTGCGAGAGCGGTCGGAATTGATCCGAAAGAAGCTCTGTCACCTGGAGTCCATCATACCACACAGTATGCAGCGGACTAGGATCAAAACCATACCCCTCCGGGGACGAATGACGGCATCTCCGGCCATTTTGAGGCCATATTCGCGCCTGACAAATGCGGGCCTTCGATAGGCCAGCCGCGGTACCTTCCCGATATGGCCAACCAGTGCGGGAGCCAATCACAGCACGCGTCGCTGGAACAAAAAATTCCTCGAAATCCATTGAAGGACGAAAAGAACGAACCGTTCGTTCTCGACCCGCTCGACAAGTCCCATCTTCTTCTCAGGAGGCGTCGTTTAACTCCGTCTTCATAGAATCCAAGCCGTGAACCTGTGTTTCGTCAAGAATCGTCCACGGTTTCTGCGATGCGTCACCAGGGCTCCATCTACCCCTCTTAATCAAGTGCGCCCGCCACTTGATCGAACCCGCCCTTGCATTTTGTCCCCGCAGGGACTCAGATCTGTCCAACACGCGGTGATCTGGGAGACTACGGTCTGATCCATTAGACCACCATGGCCGAAACTGCAACTCAAGGTAGATTGGGATCTGTGTCTTTGACCCCGTTACTGCTAACACGCATTTATTCCAGGTCTTTTGGCCTTCTGGCACCTTTACCGTCTACCTCTCCTCATCGCCCTCGCTACCGTTTTCGTTATCGTGCGAGCTTACCGCAAGCTTCAGCCCAAGTCCAAGATCGCTACCGCGTCCTCGATCCCGTCGTCCCCTCGCAGTCATTCTCCGGAGAAAAGTGAAAAGGTCGCCAGTCACGATGAGAAGATAACTGAAAAGGAAACCAACACTGAGGTCGTGGAGAAGGAGGTGCCAGCGAAGCCAGCAGGACCCAAGCGAGTCTCAGGAAAGAAGCCTTTGAAGGTCGCCAGCCGCCGTGGAGGATCAGATCAAGAATCACCCGTCTCGTTTATCCAACCCATCGTCTTCTTCGCTTCGTTAACCGGAAACACCGAGAGATACGCACAGGTTCTGTTAGAGGATTTGCGTGCCGCCGCGCACGATCAAGCCGATCCCGAGAATCGCGAACGCGGACTTCTGCCCCCTCAGATCCATGACCTGTCTTATGTTGATTTCGATGACTTCTTCCTCAACACTCCCAAGGCCCCATCGACCTCACCGGGAACGCGCTACGTTTACTGCATATTGGTCCCGACGTACAATATCGACACAATCCTCAACACGTTCCTTGCCCACCTCGACGAAACTCACAATGACTTTCGGATTGACACTGCGCCTCTGGCGGGCCTGGCTGGCTATTCTGTGTTCGGCTTCGGAGATAAGGAAGGATGGCCTACCGAAGAGGAGGGCTTCTGTTCGCAAGCTAAAGAAATGGATCGTTGGATGGCGAAGCTCACTGGCAGGAAGAGGGCCTACCCGCTCGGGTTCGGTGACGTCAAGAATGATGCGGAATCTTCTCTGAAAGAATGGACCCTCGGTTTACAGGATATCCTTGGCGAGATCGTCAGCAATGGAGGCCTAGGTGAAGGAGTTGTCGGTAGTGGTGACCCGCTTGAGAGTGACGAGGAAGAGGATCTGGACGACGAGGGCTCCTCTACGAAGGCCAGCGGTCGCAAACGGAACAAGGCTCAGGGTGTGGTCGATCTAGAAGACATCAAGTTCAGCTCCGAAAATGGATCCGGTGCCCCTATCCCGGTGGACTTCACCACGGGAGGCAAGCCTTCTGCGCCCGAAACTGACAAGGAAATGGTCCCGAAAACGTCTCCCACTTATGCGTCCCTCACAAAGCAAGGCTACACGATCGTTGGTTCGCACTCGGGTGTCAAGATCTGTCGCTGGACCAAGTCTGCTCTGCGTGGTCGGGGGTCTTGCTACAAGTTCTCGTTCTACGGTATCCGCTCGCACCTTTGCATGGAGGCTACCCCTTCGCTTTCTTGCAGCAACAAATGCATCTTCTGCTGGCGCCATGGCACTAACCCCGTCGGTACCACCTGGCGTTGGAAGGTGGATGATCCGGAGCTCATCTTCAACGGCGTGAAGGAGGGTCACTACAAGAAGATCAAGATGATGCGCGGTGTTCCTGGTGTGCGTGCTGAGCGATTCGCAGAGGCCATGCGGATCCGCCACTGTGCCCTCAGCTTGGTCGGCGAGCCCATCTTCTACCCTCACATCAACCGGTTCCTGGATATGCTGCACAGCGAGCACATCTCTAGTTTCCTTGTCTGCAATGCGCAACATCCCGATCAACTTGAAACACTCCACCGTGTGACTCAGCTATATGTCTCTATCGACGCAAGTAACCGCGAGAGCCTGCGCAAGATCGATCGGCCCCTGCACCGCGACTTCTGGGAGCGCTTCCAGCGTTGCCTTGATATCCTTCGTGAGAAGCGCCATATCCAGCGTACAGTTTTCCGCCTTACACTGGTCAAGGGTTTCAATGTGGATGATGAAGTGCTTGGGTATGCAGACTTGGTTGAGAAGGCACTGCCGTGCTTCATTGAGATCAAGGGAGTGACATACTGCGGTACGAGCACGAGTGCAGGCGCTGGACTGACGATGCAGAACGTTCCCTTCTGGGAGGAAGTTCAGCAGTTCGTCACATCCCTGGACAAGGAATTGGAGCGCCGTGGGCTGAAGTACGGCATTGCTGCGGAACACGCCCACAGTTGTTGTGCACTGATCGCCTCGGAACGTTTCCACGTCAATGGCAAATGGCACTCTCGGATTGATTACGATAAGTTCTTCCGGCTATTGGAGAAGGAGAAGGCCGATGGCATCTCGTTCACGCCAGAGGATTACATGAGGGAAACCGAAGACTGGGCCCTTTGGGGCAATGGAGGCTTCGACCCGAATGATGAGCGTGTGTACAAGAAGGGGAAGAAGAAGACCATCCAAGCTGCGGAAGAAGTCCAGGGTTCATCTTGAGGTTGATCTGGAGCCAAAGATGCCGTAGCCATGGGTGCGCAAAACCTTCAGTTTCACCCGAGTCCGAACCATGACTTACCATGCCATGCCAAACCCCAGATTTTCTCTATCCATCGATAGAATTACAGCTCCATGGTTGCTCTTAATACCATCGAGACCAACCGATGAATGAGCAAAAATTCAACGTCAGCAGTTCCAGCGCAAAAAAAAAAGACTTGATACGCTAGACATCACGATTCGGCGGATCAGCAAATGGCCCGCAATCTGCTTGATCATTTACAAGGCCAGTAAATTTCAAATTGTATCTAGTTTAAATAACGAAATGTCACGTTGCTATGATATCTCTAATGCTCCTGACCATGACATCGCAGAAGTTGAAATTGACATTTCAGCTCTAACCTCAATAGTTAATCTCTTTGGATTTATTTAATCAATGCTAAACCTGCGCCAGAAACTACACCCGACCCTGCATCGATCACTTTCAGCATCTCCATATGCACTCGAAAAATGAACAACTGTCTTTTGTAATGGATGTTTATGCAATATGAAGGGAGCTGAGCTGACTGTAACTCGGTGCCTCATTCCGCATAGCTAAGTACGCTCAGGCATCAGTCCCGTGAGAGTCCGATCCGACTCAGGCGAGGATTTTGGACCGCCGGAAACCACTTCCTGAACCGCCGCGCCGGCGTGCCTGCTTCAAACATATCGTCAATCTCAATTGGCATCCGGTCTTTCATCTCGGGTACGAGGAACCACGTTCCCGTCAGACCTAATATACAGAACCCCACGAATACAAAGCCCGTTTTCGCGCGCAAGTTGCCCTCGTCGGGGTTGAACATATACGGCAAAACGAGGTTGAAGACGGTGCTGGATAGTCCGGTAACGAACCAACCCAGTCCTTGCGTTTTGGCCCGCAGCCGGAGAGATGAGGCTTCTGCTCCGACGGCGTAGGACGCTGGCCACGCGCCTATACCGCAGACAGTAATGATAACGAACATGGTGAAACCGGTGTACCTTGAGAGTCCGATGAGTGCTGCAAATTTAAACAACTAGGGGGGAAGAGATCCAGAAGGCAACTCACCACGTGCTTACAGTCCCTGGGAAGCAGCCCGCAATCCCCATTCCCAACCATGCAAAAGTCGAGACCCCCAAACTAGCCAGGATAAGCGGTACACGGCCAAAAATCGTCAAAGTCCACATACTAAGTAGGTTCGCCACCAGCCCCAGCGCAATGCCAACTTGCAAGAAGACGAAGCTTCGATGCGGCTTCATGCCGACAATCTGCAAGTAATAGCTACACTTGGACAGCAACGGGAGACCAAACAACGAAGGAATCAGATTCGCAAACACGACGATCATCGTGCGACGGCGATCGATACCTCTAAGACTGTCCCGATATCCAGCCGCACTACCGATCGCCTCCTGATCTTCCTTCTCGATAAACTCGCGCAGCCGCTCGAGGTTCTTATCCGCTTCTATACTAGTCGAATTCAGCCGACTCAGGGACTTCCGCGCCGCACTGATCCGCTCCTTGCGGATAAGATACGTCGGACTCTCCGGCAGAAGCAGCGTGACGAGCAACGGCAGGGCAGAGAACGGCCACTGCGAGATGAAACAGTTCATGTATCCTCTCGTGCCGCCAATATCCAACGACTCGTACACCACAACGCTCCCGATCAACTGGCCCAGCAGCGTGAACAGCGGGAAGAAAGCCAGAACCGGGCCGCGCAGGATCGCGGGTAATATCTCCGACATGTACGTCTGCGTCGTGCATGTGATGATATGCACGGCGAAGCCTTGCACGAGCTTTCCGATAAAGAATACTGCCCTGCGAGCGTCGATCTCGTCAGGGAGGTTTGAAACGTATGCTATTGCCACAGCGACGGCGGATATCGTGCTCGCGAAGGCTAGGCAGAATCGTCGTCCGAGACGGTCTTGGATGTTACCCGCGGCGAGGGAGCCGAATAGACCGCCCAGGGGGCTGGCAATGTCCCAGAGACTTAGCCAGACGGACGGGATGATGAGCTTTCCATGGAGTCGGCGACCGAAGTCGCGTCTCATGAGGTTAGATTACATGTGTGTGAATTTGAGGATGGGTCATACTGGAATTCCGGCATAGACGACACATTGCCCACGATGACGAGGTCGTATCCGAATAGCAGGATGCCGGACGAGAGAGCCACACAGTAGCACAGGATCTTGGGGGACTGTTTGATGGATGATAGCAGAGATTGTGGAGGTGGTGGAGATGGCTGTGTTGCAGGCGACGAAACCTGTTCTTCAAATGGGGCTTTTCTCTCCATGTTGATTTGTCGCTCGTTGCCACAGTCTCAGCCCCAGTCCTAGAACGTTTGATGGCTGGTCTCTTGCAAGCTGATGCCGGGTGGATAAGTACCTCAGCCGCGGCATGACTATACTCCGGCATCTTGAGCCCGACAAGACAGCACCGCTCTCATGTGAAGCTTTCATAAGGTGATACAACGATGCTAGAGGATGGCTGCATTGTCTACGCGTGCGTGTCATTGGTTGGATGGAGGTGGTTTGGTGGGCTGAGTAACCAGACAATGCAACGTAATAAAATGAGATTATGAGGCGTGTAGTTCCTGGTGTTGGGTTGGGAGTTTGATTGATTTTGGAAGGTCGGGTCTGATAGGGTGAGTAGGTGGTAGGTTTCGGCCATTTCAACAGTCCTCTAATCTTGGATCTTGGATTTCTGCTAATATACAGAACATTTAAAGACCCCGACTCCTCTATGTTTGGGATAACGCTCCACAAATTGACTCACTATAGATCCGGGTGATGCATACAACAGGTGATGCATTGGTTACTTGAGCAACATGGGATGGATGGTACCAACTCCGAGAGACGCCCTTGCATCCAGGATACTCTCTTCTCCTTAGAACTATCAGAATAACTCACTGAGGTGAAATTGAGGCCGCCATCTACAGTCTGGCCTGACCCCGTCGCTCAAGTGGGAGGTATCCAGATTCTCCGCCGCACACTCAAGTTTAGCCTGTTAATCTTTTCTGCTCAATACTGCATCTAGGATATCCATAACTATCCACTCCACAACTGTCGACATAGACAAACTGATTCCCCGTGTGGTCGACTCTGAGTCTGAAGGTAACACAAACTCCACCGGTATTTAATCCATTCCATCATTGATGACTGACACACCCAAGACAGGGATTTGGACGGTCTAATCCCATGGGTATTTCAGCATGGCTCAGTTGCAGAGGATTTATTTCCAAGAAACTGACCTAAAGAGCAATATAATTTCAGAGACGTCTTCTACCGACTTTCTTGCTACCGTGCCGAGTTGAGCGCGTCGAGTAGAGACCTCGAGACCTTCCGAACCGACCAGACTACCACCATCACATTACCTCGCAAAAACTAAAAAGTGCATGACAGAGAGTACTTCACGCATTCTATGAGGTCGCATGGCGGGTTACTGGTGAATATAGTGCGGACGGTATGTCACAGGTTGGAGGGCCTAGATGGGCAGGAGCCTGAGTTTCAGTAAGTTTTACTTATGGTCCTGGGACACACTCTACAGATCTTGAATCGGATGAAGATTAATACAAAGACTGAAGCTTCCCGATAATAAATCTAAAGCACAAATTCGTAATCGGAAGGAAGGAACATGCTGCTCGATCCGAAGGAGCAGTCGCAGTTGGTCCAGACCAGCGACAGACATCGCCTCCCAATCATCTCGTTCATCGGGGTACGTCCACCAATCCCATTTCTAACAAAGAATAGTGGTACGAAGGAAGAACCTGGAGCGAATCTCTCAGCGAAATCCTCAGCATAATGCTCGCACAGCTCGTTAAGAACCTCAGCGTGGATTCCCCTGCTCAGGAGATGTATGTGTTTGGTGTGCATGGGCCATATATCTATATTATCAGGGGCCTTTTTTACGACTGATCTGGTCGCCAGGATTTACTCCGTAGACTGAGATGTATTCCGAGAAAGATGTTCTGGAGTTGGCTTTCTTATGGGGGTATGATTTTTGTGTAAGAGATGATCGGGGCGATTCTGTATATTTTTTGACAAGATTACTTCGATATCTGAAGAGTAGACATGCGATAATTAGGGGGTGTATGGTGTCTGACTCCGCGGAAGAATGTAATATAGAAGAGTCTCTAACTACTGTATATAGAAGCAATACCCCTGATCAGATAACTCTAGAAAGGGATACAGGCAGTCAAGCTACTGTCACCCTGACAGGGATCTGACTATTGTGGATCTTTCGTGACTCCCTTCCCTGAAAAGGCATGTCGCGCGATGCATCATCCATCTGCCAGCCGGAGTCCAACCGCCACCCCGGAGTACATCTGAGCCCCCCTGAGCCTTCCGCCTTCCGCCCCGGCGCCCCCCCCGACACGGAGTGTCTACTCCGTACGTAGTTTAAACAAAAAAAATGAAAGCAAGAAATCAAACACCAGCCGATCACGAATATTCTAGCTGGCACTAGATGGACGGCGACTAACTAAACTAGGACCGGAGTGCTCCGTCGACCATCGGGATTCAATCCTCAGCACGTGCCGATATTAGTTTCGACTCTCGTAAGCGACAGTCATCGAAGGCAAATTTCAGGGGGTCTGACTAGCTACATGTGGACTGGAACCCTTTTCCGATCGACCGACCGGGGCGAGTCCAGCGAACCCTTTGCGGTCTGCAGAGTGCAGACGGGTTTTTCGTCCATTGAGAATTGGAAGACGTTGACAACAACTTCAGGTTGCAAAGATTTTCCAACGGTCAAATGTAAGTATTTTTAGTAGGGTTCGGGCTTTGATCGGACGACAGGTTAATCAATTATGTCTCGGGCGCGCCACGTGGAAAATACGCTCGGACGATGGTTCTTTTGTGGGAAAGCGTGGGAGGGGAAATTTAATATAGATAGCAGGCGATTACGTTGGTTTCTTCAATTTAACTAAATGGAAGAACAGCATCGTGAAACGGCTAGACATTCTATGACAAGTTGGGCTCCGTACTCTGTGCGCGACACAGATTGCATGGCAACGTCAGCTGGTTTAGTGCTGGGTTTAGTGTTTAGGGTTAAGCTACATGGTCGACACACTATGCTATCGATTATTGGATTGATTATTGTGTCTGGAATGACAATCCCATTGTGATGTGAATGAAGATCTACCTGTCTGTTCTATATTTAAAAATGTGTAAATGAAGTGCCCTGCCTCGTGTGCTGTCTAGTGCCGTCTGGCCCTCTCACTTTCCTCGGAAGGGAAAAAGAATGGGTGTTACCGGGCGCCCGGGACCTGCAACGTGCTGGCCAAAACGGGGGGGAGAAAGCCAGGAGCAGTAAGATTGATCCTGCATCCTTCTGCACCGCAGCCTTGCAGGAGCAGCCTGTAGGAAGGTGTTAGGAAGTCCGTCGGCCCGGGTGGACTAGTCCACTCTGGTACTCACTAACTAATCTACTACTAGCCAGGCAAGGATAAGAGTTGCAGGCTGAAGCATCCATATTCCATCAATTGTGGGTGGGGGTTTTTCCGTCCGGAACCACCCTGATGGTCACTATATGGTTAATAAATTCCAGATAGATAGTGAACAGTCAGCTTCTCTGGGACTGGGAGACTCCTTTTAGTATCCAGGCCGCACGTCAATTGTATCACCATTGTTATCTGTGCCTGTGGTTTGATGGTTTTGCTTCTGACATCCCCACCATCCGGATGGCCATTCGTCCCGGTCCGGCTAATGAGCGCCGGTGAAGCACCGTCCAAAACGGGGAAAGTCGTCAATTTCTGACGGGCGGGGGGGGGAGGGGGGTTGTTGCGTCTGACTCAGGGACTTGAGCGTTGAAGCCAGAAGTGGTGGTTCTAATTGACTAATTCCTATCTGAAATGTTGCATTATTATCTGATATGTATCTAGATGTCCATCATCTGGTGAATGATGTCGTGGCCCGCGAGTCTCCGACCGATATTAGGGCTTGCGATCCCACACGGGCTGAAGCTCACGAGCACGATGGCTCGAGCCTCTCCGTAACCATGGAATCCGGAAAGAATAAACAGCAGCCCGTCCATGGTTCTCGCCTCGTACCCAGGGAAGCTTCGCAAATGACAGATTGACAGCCCCCTGTCCCAAACGAGTATAAAATCTCTGCAGCGACTCTGACTCGACCGTCGGCGACTCTGCCCGTTCCGGAACGAGCCCCGACGGGGGGTGGATCGCCGCGCTGCTCACCAATTGACAACCGGAGATGCCATGAAACTACCGGAGGATAACCTCCAACTATCGAAGCCTGGGCTAGATAGATGGACTACGGCACTGACTCAAGAGCCACCCTAACGCTGCGGTGGGTTCTTGCCCTTTACATTGCGTCGCAATCATCAGGAATGTGGAAAGCTCACGCTTCAATTCGCCTGGCAACCTGCAGCAGTGCAACGCAGTCCAGCCCAAAGACTATGTACATACTATAATAGTAGATAAATCCACCCAGCGTCTCACTCCAGAACTAATATGCCAGGTAGATAGATAGCCGAACCCGCGCTGCACGCTGGGCCGCGAAGATCGCCTCTCCTTTAAGCTGCGCACACGCCCTTCCATTGCCTACTTTGGTCCTGGCCGGTTCCAACAGACCGTGGATGAGCAGCTGCGTCCGACCGCGTCCGCGTCCGTCTGCGCCAATTTCCTGTTCCACTACGTACTCGATTAGCTTCCCGCCACTGGCAGGCCCGGTACCTGATTGTTGATTATTCCCCGGGTCCTTCATATATTGGGTCCTCCCCACCCGCCGCCGCCAACATTCTGAATTCGGAACATGCTTGGTCCCTGACAGCAGTAGCATGGCGGAGGATGACCGCAGCCTTGAGGTCAGGGCGGTTGCCGCCGCCTTTATGTCGGTGGCTTGCGTGACTGTGATACTTCGAATCTATGTGCGCGGATGGATCGTTCGTGCCTTTGGCTGGGATGACTGGGCCATGGTGTTTGCAATGGTGATTCCCTGCCATTTCCTGCTTATCGCAATCACGGTCACTGGAATTATGCTCACAGTACCATAGGCCTTCTACGCCATGTTCTCCGGCTGCATGATCGGAGGCAGCTTATACGGGACCGGACGACGCTTCGGCGACTTGACAGCTCATCAGCGCGTCACTGCCATGAAGGTATGCCAACCCACAAATACCACCACCATCATCCACAATTACAACGCGCAACTATAATAACGCAAACAAAAACAGTACTGGTGGCTATGCGAAATTGCCTACTGCTTCGCAGCCGTGTGCTGCAAGATCTCCATCTGCATCTTCCTGATGCGCATCACCGTGCGCCGCATGCATATTATCATTCTCTGGAGCGTGATGGGCATGACCGTCCTTGCGGGCATCGTCTTCATGTTCATCATGTTGCTGCAATGCAGGCCGCTGCAGTATTTCTGGACCCGAAAGGCTTTCAACCCCGACATCCACGGCTCCTGCATGGACATCCAGATCGTCATCGCCATGACCTACGTGTATAGCGGATTTGCTGCGCTGTGCGACTTTACCGTGGGCATTCTGCCAATCTTCCTCGTCAGGAAGTTACATATGAAGCAGCAGACGAAGATGGCGGTCGTGGGTATTCTGAGTATGGCTTGCATGTATGTCTCCCCTTCCTCCCTTGTTTGTTTTCCAAATTCTGGTGTGTCGGTTATAGTAACCATGCCGACCGCATTCTCAGCGCCTCCTCAGCAACTATCATCCGCGTTCCATGGGTGCATACTTTCGCTGACCCGGACTTTCTCTGTATGCCCTCCTCCCTCCCCTCCCTCCCAATTCCCCCAACTAATCCACCTGCAGACGCCACCGTCGAAATCGCCATCTGGTCCAACATCGAAGCCGGCCTCGGCATAACAGCCGGCAGTCTGGCGACTCTCCGCCCGCTGGTCCGCAAATGGCTCGGCTCGCGCTCCGACCCCAACTACACGCGCTCCCCCTTCCCAGCCCCCTCGGGGTCCCGCCGTCTCGGCGGAAACCACAAAAGCGGCCTCAGCCGCGACAGACCCTTCCCGCTCGGCTCGCTCGACACAACTGGTGTGCAGGACCGTCTTCGCCCCGATAAATTGGCTGTCACGGTCACGACGATTCAGAGTCAGGTGGAGCCTGAGAGGCCGTGGAGGGGGCATGTGGGCGGTGGGAGTGGGGGTGGGATTACCGCCACGTCGAATAGTAGTGAGGAGAGGCTGACGGGGTCGGCGGGGAATGGGAATGGGAATGGGATGATGGGGGGTGATTTGGAGTTGGGCATGGGCATGGGCATGGGGATTCATCGCACGTTTGAAGTGACACAGACGTCATCTTCGGGACGGGGGTCGGTGAATGCTGCCGAACATGTCTGAAACTTGACTCGACCGAGACCCGAAGCCGAAACCGAAACCGAGACTCGACTTTGAATTTCCGGTCTGGCCTGTCAGTCTATTCTGTCAGCGTGATGAGCATTCGAATTTGCATGGGTATATATCATTTCTTTCTTTTGTTTAGGACTACGGACTTTCATGCATCATGAAAAAAAGTGTAAATAGTGATAATGATACCAGTACAACATGGGACCGAAACCGAAAAAAAAAAGTTTTAAAATGTGCCCTCCGCTTGAGTTTATCGGTAGATACTACTAGATAATGTTGAGAGTTGGTTGAGAGTGTGTTGGTAACTTGGTAGTGATGGTTGGTGCCTGGTTAATGTTTTTGACCTGCTGTTTCGGGTGTAGTGTTTTGGCGTCGATCAAACTTTATTCCCCTGTCTTATGTCCGTCCCAGTGCGGATCCCGGATTGGAGATGACTAGGAGGTACTTCTGAAGATCTCCAGTTTTCGATCGCAGCGGAAGGAAACAGAAACATATTGAAGGGGTTCTAGCTACTGGCAATCTGTTTCAGAGAAAAGTAATTACCTATCTACGTACGTACACATACAAAGGGACCAGAGAATCTTCCCTCAAATTTAATAGCAAAACCATACACAAAGTGCATAAATCGCACTAAGCAAATCCAACATACTTAATACATTTACCAAGATCTCAGAACCCCACCAAGCTCCTCTATCGTGCACTGTATTACTACGATAATATCGAAGTGGGGATAGCCATCAGCAATTCCAACCCTCGACCAACTAACAAAGAATAGAGTGAAAGTGTCTCACCCAAACAAGCCCGCATTCCGAGTCCTCCCGACTCACGGATCACCAAACCACCACAACTCCAGAGAGTAGATAAGTAGAAGGACTATAAATGGGTTCTATGCCCCTAATACACCCAACCAATCATTAAGACAGAATATATAAACCCCGTCCGATCCCACACCCCCCAATCCAGGCACGGGTACTGAGGGAGATCCACATCTCGGAATCGCGGAGATGGGGGCGGAATTCCGCATGCCGAGAGTAGCCTTCCTTCGAAGATCCAGACCAGACTTTGGAAATCGGAATGGACGATCTTCCCATCTACGAGATATCTATCTATATACTTGCTCGCGTAAAATATCCAGAAGGATATACTACTGATAGGAAAGATAGATAGTAGTACGCTACATAATACCTGCCCCACTTCGCGAATTTTCCCCAGAAACAGACTAAATCACAATAGCATTGTGCGGTAGATAGCGCACCCAAGACATAGTTATGGCTTCCTTCGGAGTTCGGATTCCCGCAGGCCATGCATGCATGCAAGTGCCGGTAGTACGATATAATTACTAGTACTCTAGTAATAGTTAGTTGATAGGCTGCAGCGAAACAAACCCAAAACAAAGTCAAGCCAATCTGGCCTGGCCTGGCCCGAACCATCTACCTATGAACCATATAGACACATGATCGACGTGCACGATAAATCATAAATCTGGATTCTTATAGGCCCTATTTATCTAGTTACTACATTTTTGCGCCCAAATGCGGGTCGCAACCCTCCTAACCCTAAGAGAACGATTGTACCTGGTAGCTCGGTATTAATATCTACTCCAACTTACAGATATTATACTATGGAGAAACCTCAATGTATTAAGCCCCACTCGCCCCATTATCAAGTAGTATACTTACTAGTAGATCAATTGTAATTCCTGAGCACGTCATATCCAGCTGTGATGAATCTTTTTCTCTGATAAACTTGAAAAGGAAGGATGGTTGGGTTTTTGGTGGTTGGGACAAAACAGGTAAGCATATTCCGGAGCTTGCCGAAAAGGGTAATATAAAAGCCGGGAGGGACGGGTTAGAGGATCCGGATATAATGTCGGACTGGGATACAGGAATAGTCAAAGTAAAATTTTTGTATGATGAGGTATAAATGGCGAGGACAGAGTAGCGGCCTTGCTCAGGTAATCCGAGTTGGAATGGTTTTGGAGGTATGGTTTTTCTCGGTAGGGAAGGACTGGTGGACTTTCCATTCTGACCAGATTCTGCAAAGAGAGAAAAATCATTTTCTTTTTACAACGAGATAAGTTATATGCGAGAAAGAAAATGAACACAACTTCTTTCAATGCCTAATAGTAAGGAGTTGCATAATTGCTGTAGGGCAATTCTGCAACTGAGTGCCGAGAGACAACAATATGAGCATCCAAGTCGTAGAACATAGTAGTACCATGATATCCGATAGCAACAACTTGGCCTTAACGGCATCTCCTTGATAATTTTATATACAGAACAATGATAATTATGAAGACCTGTCCATTACACGCTAGGGAAGTAGTCATCATTTCGGAGTTGACACCAATCACCTCATCGGAAAATTGATTGCCTAAAAGGGAAATATCTCTCGCAGTCTCCGAAGATGGCCCTCAACCCACCTCGCTGAATAGATTATTTAAGAAATCGTTGACACACACTCAAGAGAATGATTGAAGCAGGAAACAAAAGTGACAATGGCTCACGAGAAAGGAATACGCGACGAAGAGCAACAGGTTCGTGACTGATTTGAGATTCGGGATATACTACTGACAAAATACACCAGGTCAACTCCATACACACCACAGGGCCTAATTCCCCAAATATGAACGGGAAAACGCTTGATCTTGAACAGAGTCAACATTCAGATAGTGAACTCACAGACTCTAATGTAGTGGACTGGGACGGCCCCAATGACCCTCACAATCCACGCAACTGGCCCGTCTGGAGACGGGCTATGCTCGTCGGGATAATCGCAAGTGTTGTCTTCTCGACGTCAGTCACTCTGCAAGTCTTACTAGCATAAGCACTCACAGTCCCAGATCTATCGCATCATCAGCCATCGCCCCAGCCGTACCCCAAATAATGTCCGAATTCCACTCCAGTAACGAAGAAATCGGAACCCTAGTCGTAACCATCGAGGTCCGTTTTATATACTATGCTCCTCTCCCCATTCCGCACCCACCCAACCACCAAACTACTAACAAACAGATCCCAACCCCAGCTACTAGGCAACGGAATTGGCCCACTCTTCATGGGCCCGATGTCCGAACTCATCGGCCGTCGAACGATCTACAACGGTGCCAATCTCGGCTTCAGTGCCTTCTCGATCGGATGTGCCCTCACCCCGTCCCTAGGCGGATTAGTCGTGATGCGCTTCCTGCAGGGCTTTTTCGCCTCCTGTTCTATCAACAACGCTGGCGGCACGATCTCGGATCTGGTATCGATTCATCATCGCGGCTTTGCTATGTCGATGTATTCGGCGGGCTTTTTGCTGGGGCCGGCAGTCGGTCCGGTTGCGGGGAGTTTTTTGGCAGCTGCGAAGGGGTGGAGGTGGGTTTTTTGGTTGTTGCTTATTTTGGTGAGTTTTTTTTTTTTTTTTTGAGTCTTTCTTTTTAGTGCATGAGATGGTGGTGGTCGACTGGTGACTGATTCATTGGTGATATTTATGTCTAGAATGGCACGATCGGAATCATCTGCGCTCTCGCATACCCGGAGACCTACGCGCCCGTCATCCTAGAGCGAAAAGCGAAGACACTCCGCAAGAAGACTGGAAATGTGGGATTATACGCCAAAGGCCATCAACAAATACCCCTGCGCACGGCTTTCCAGCGAGCGATCAGTCGTCCCATCAAGATGCTGCTCTTCTGTCCCGTTGTCACCGGGTTAGCCGTGTACAATGCCGTGGTATACGGCTTCACGTACCTCCTTTTCTCCACCTTTTCTGTTGTATTTGAAGACCAATACCGTTACAGCGAAGGAAGGCTCGGCCTCGTGTATCTGGGCCTCGCAATCGGGTTTCTGATCTCGTTGAGTATTGCGAGCGTGGTGAATGATCGGACTCATGCGAGGTTGAGTAGGAAGCATGGGGTTGCGAAGCCGGAGTCGGTCCCCTCGTTCCTTTCCCTTTCCTACATTGTTTGTATGTATGCAGCAGTGTACTAATCAGTGTGGTTGTAGGTACCGTCTCGACTCATTAATGTACGGCGCCATTGCAATCCCCATCGGCTATTTCATCTACGGATGGACAGCCGAAAAGGACGTCGACAGTGCTGTTCCGATTGTTGCGACGGGGTTGGTGGGCTTTGGAGTTATGTTTACTTTTGTAAGTATTTCACTTCACTCTCAAGGTGGCCCGAGGCTGACTTTTCCTTCTTTCTGAAGATACCCTACAATGTGTACATGATTGACGCATACACCAAGTACGCGGCAAGTGCCATTGCCGCTGGGAATATACTACGGAGTCTTTCGGCAGCTCTACTACCCATGGCTGGAATCCCGTTGTATGATCATCTAGGATATGGATGGGGGAACTCTCTCTTGGCGTTCGTGTCGCTGGGACTAGGTGTGATGTGTTTATTTTTCCGGAAGTATGGGGAGGAGTGGCGGCAGAGGTTCTCAGTGCAGTTCGATTAAGTGGTTGGATGGAATATTCGAAGAGAACAGCTTGAGTAAAATGGTGTTCAGACAGATCGGCGTGATGATGCTTGCATCTGGGAGAAATAACAATAGTATTTTTTTGGTAGACCCCCATATGCCAACCATAACCATACCTACCTAATACCTATGCACTTGTATCCCCAAATACTCCCTCCATAACTCCAAACAGTTTCCGAAAACTCTCACTCGCAACCCTCACATACTCCAAATTTAATTGATTCAAACACCGTGGCGACCGTCCCATAACGCCCCTCTTCCCAGTCCCTCCAGATCCTCCATTCTCACTCTCCCCCACCCCCAGAGCCAACCCCTCCATCCCATCCAGAAACCCCCTCGCCCTCCTCACCAAATCCCCCACCAACACCCTCTTCAGCGCCCCATCGTCATCCGTCCTCGAGACGCAGTAACTCCCAATCCCTACTTTCACGACATCATTGACACCGGACTTGGTGATCAGGTCGAAGCACGTGGCTGTTTGCTCGAAGATGGTCATGATGTAGACGAGATCGACGGGGCTGGTCGGGCAAGACCTGCACTGGGTGGCTGTTTGGCAGGCCTGGATTATGGAATGGGCGTGGTGGAGGATTTTGTCCAGGGGGGGTGGAGGGTGGTTTTGGAGAGTGGCTTCGAGGAGGGGGATTTGGTGGAGGAGGGATGGGCGGCAGGGGCAGTGGGGTTTTGATGTCTCTGTTCCTTGTTGCTGTTGGGGCTGGGGTTGTGGGTGTTGTTGTGGGTGTTGTGAGAAGAAGGGGAGGGGGTTTGGGGGTGGGGATATGGGTGGGTTGGGAGAGGGCTGAATAGTTGGTTAGTCATTGACTGAAGTGAGTGGAGTTGGATACTCTTACGAGGCAGATATCTCCGGGAAAAACCCAGTCAAATTGCTCAAGGGCTTGGGTGAATGTCTGCTCCATTGCGTGGCTGGGAGGAGTGTGGTCTTCACCGCTGTTGGTAAAGATATCGGGGAAGTCGACGGGCATTGCATCTGTAGGGAACGGTGTAGCGACAGAATCGGATATCACTTCATCATTTGGAGATATCGTCGTTGTGCTCGCGCCCGCTCTGATATTGCCATTTGATTCATTATCATTTGCATCGTCACTCCTTGTCTGTGAAGTTGATGAAGCATATGAGCAACGCAACCCGCGGGATTTACATCGCTCGCAGCGTCGTAGTCCGCTACATTTAGCCTTGGCGGTGCGACAGGCTTGACAAGCTGTCATGGGACGTCGAGCCAGTGGTTTTTTATTCCGTGTTTCGGGCGATTGCCAGTTCAGGACCAGGGTGCCTGGGATTTGCTTTCGCCGGGGGTCGAGTGAGACACGCTGGGATGGAGACATTATTAACCTGTCAGGATTTTATCATGGGTAAGATAGAAGAATAGAGGCTGGTTTAAGGATAGTCTTCAGAATTGAAAAGCTGACAAAGCAGATCTTCGACAGATTGAAGGTGCTGAGGTGAGATGCTGATTGCGTGCTGACTAGTACTAGTTTGGGCGTTGCTGGTCTCAGGCCGATCATATGATCTATTGGAATACAGTGGTGCAGATACCGACCTTTGTCTAGATGTGGGTGGATTCATTCATGAAAATTAGTCTATCATAGACTAGACAAAGAATTCATATATAGAATCTATACATCTGTGGGGCAGCCCAGCCCAACCGTTGTCGTTGTGTAAAATATGATAACGTCAGTCTCATCGGGCGCAGTGTCTTCCAGGCTTCTAGTTCCGGCCTCGTTCGATTCGCTGGAGATAGATGCCGACCCAGAAGTAGATACAGGCTAAAAGCGAGTGACACTGCTCTATCCATCAGCCCATCAGCCCGAGAGGCGCTTCTTCGTTTTGTACGTCATCTCAGCTCGGAGATATCTCTGTCAGAAATTGCAATTGCACCAAGTCAGGGCAGCAGTGCCAAGCTCGTGCTTCGCCAGCCACGAATTGAATGTGCCTGGTGGAGGTGTATGTTCTTCGCGTATCGGATGACCTATTGGAAGGGGCACGCGGCTGGCGATGGAAACAGGGTCATGGAAAGAAAAGCGAAGAGGTGTTCTAGTGCTGATGAACGGCGATGGAGTGGGACGGGAATAGCGTCAGCCTCAGGAAAAGTCCGACACTAAGTTAGAAGAGAGGTGAAGCAGAGGAGACGATCAGATAAGCGATAGCGTCATCAGCAAATATTGAATATTTGAAGCCGACTTCTATATTTCCGTTGGTATATAAGGGTGAACAAATATAATCTAACAATTGATGGACTGGTTACAAGCGGATACCCTCGAAGGGATGGTAATCTTCCTCGCCGGCCCATTGCGCCTCGTGCAGGGACTCGTCCATCTGCGACTTGTCCATTCCAGCAATAACATCCCTGTTGCATGATTAGCTTGAAACGGATACCCAGGAAGGAGACATACTCATCCGTCGCCAAAACTTCAAATCCCGGTACGCAATCTATCAGTGCATACAGAATGTAGCTTCCTCCGAAGCTCCACACAAACCCAACCAGTGCCTCGACAATTTGGATACCCAGCTGTCTCCAATTTCCGTCGAAGACGCATCCACCCGCAATGTCGGTCACCCCGTCATAGGCCGCGACCTCGCGCTTAGCGAACAGTCCCGTCACTATCGTGCCCAGGAACCCTCCCAGACAGTGTGTCGCAAACGTATCACCATTATCGACCCAGCGGTATAATTTCGCCCGCTTGGTGAACTTAATCTTCAGGGCCTGATATCCGCAGAGAGCGCCCAAGATACCGAATCCCATGGCCGTACTCATGTCAACGAATCCCGCGCTGGGTGTGATGAGGACTAGTCCTGCGATCGCGCCCAAGAACGTGCTGTCCAAGCTCCATTTCCCTGTTTCCCAGTATGTGAGACTCGACCAGGTGAGGGCGCCAGATGAGGCGCAGAGATTCGTCACGCAGGCGGCCATGACGCTCTTGAAGTTGAGAGCAAGTGTAGTTCCGGCATCGAAGGCGAGCCAGGCGTTCCAGATGATGATCAGCGCGAGAAGCTGGCACAGTGTGTTGTGGGGTCGGTGGAGGGTCAGATGTTGCGGGGTGCGGATTTGGGAGCGTCGCGATCGGAACAGAGGGTAGGAGAGGTAGACGCTCATTGCAGTTGCGGTGGCACCGCTGCAGATGTGCACGGGAGTGCCACCAGCGAAGTCAAGGGTACCGAGGTTGGCGAGGAAGCCGTTGTCGGACCAGACCATGTGAGCGAGGGGGGCATAGATGAAGGTGCACCATAGCTGTGATATTAATCGTAAGTGACAGCCCAGACGGGACCTGGCAAGAGAAACCTACGAAGATGAAAGGGATCAAAGGGAGCAGTCTGCCCCTTTCGCAAGCGCCTCCGATCGCGATCGCGCACACGGTCGCGCAGAAGATGAGCTGGAACTCCGAGAAGAGAATCTCGGGGATTGAGCCAACCGGGTCAGCGAGAACCCCGATATGGAAGATCTTGCTGAACCCCCCGAAGAAGCCGTTACCTTCGCCGTAGGCGAGAGAGTATCCGAGCATCCACCATTGGATCGAGCACACAGCAACAGCTAGCAGTCCTGGATAGAAGGAAGCGAGACTGTTGTGACGAGTCGAGTAGCCGGAGTACGCGAGGCCGACGGCGGGGATGATGAGCCAGCAGAAGACGGAGCAGACGAGGATGAAGAGGGTGTCCGTCTTGGAGCAAGACTCCCAGGCGGCTTGGATAGACATGGTGCGGGTCTATGCTTGGGTGATTTTTGAGATGGTCGGGGCAGAGAAAGATATATCAGCCCTTCGTCCAGACTCGACCTCGGCAGATGCCAAGGTATGTTGATGTCTTGGATCAAGTGAGGACGAATCATACCGGCATGCCTTATCAGGAGCTCAGCTGAAGGATGGGTGTTGTTATTGGCGGCTGCCCTATCTGGGCGATCGCTGAGCTCAGCTCCTGCAAGACGAGGCCCAGCGAGGAGGTGTAACCCCAGCGGCACCTCCCACTGGGAGACATGCATGGTGGCGGGGTAACACACAGGCTGCCAATATATGCACCCTCTAAGCAGTTCTCAACAGTGTGTTCCTTAGCACAGTTGCAATTGGCCGATCGTATCGTTCAAGCTCTGATATTGTTTTGAACACTAAGTTATCGATGTCGATTCGAAATCATTTAGGATTTGTCCTCCGTGGTCAACTCCATCTCGACAACCATCCGCGCCGAAGCTCTGACGGATCATATGTACAGGTGCCTGAAGCTGTTTCTTCACGATGATCATATAATTAGTATTATGAGGATCCGAATCCGAATCCAACATTGAGATAAAAGAAGTACGGAGTACACGAAGATGACTTTCTTTTAGTGAATTGTCACCTGCAGGACGTACGACTCGAGAAACGGCGGCAACCACGCGTCTGGATTCACGTGGGAGTGAGACAGGTTTGTGAGACAGGTTTGAGATGCGTTATGAGTAAGTTTAGGCCAGTGAGCCCCAGAGGCGGGCTTCGAGCATGCTGTAAAAGTTGTGGGAATCGTGAGAAGCCATGGGGAATGGGGCTGATGATGCGCGCAAGAACAAGCTCTCAGTCAAGAGCTCCTGATGGGGACAAGCGATGGAGCAGGACGGAACAATCCGGGGTAGGCCGGGACGACCCGTTTCCACTTCCAGCCACTGGAGTCTTGACAACAATATTAGTATGTAGTAGATGGGGTTCTCTACCGCTTTTTTGACGCACAAGACCACTACAAAGAGCAAGCAAGAATGGGAGGAAGTACACCTCCACGGAAAGGTTGGTGGAAATGCTTGTTATTATACAAGAAAATCAAAGATATGCTTCACATGCCCTCAGACAATCCAAAAATCGACATGATCCTGGAAAGGCCTCCATGAAACCTCGCCTCCATGAATACTCAGGCAACTAATCTCTGCGGGAGAGGGACATGGGAAAATAACACTCCGTGCAGAGTCATTCGACCAGTATATGGGAACCAAGAAAGAAATCTTCATTTGGCCCCTAGAAGGGGGAGGGGGAGGACAAAAACAGTAGACATAAAAAGAGAAATGCAAAGGTGAATGGGGCACATTCACAGGATTTGCTCAACCTCGGGATCGAACCGAGGATCTTCTGTGTGTAAGACAGACGCCTTAACCACTGGGCCAGTCGAGCGGAATTTCTACTATTTTTTGAAAATCATAGCCCGAGTATCAACCAAGAGGGTGCATAAATGGCAGCTCCCGCCCGCCGTAGCCCACCCGCCAGATCATACGTGGCCAGTGACCCCCGGAGACAGGATAATCCGCCCCTTTCCCGCGCCGAGCAGCGCCCGGGCGCCATTATTCGCCGGCCACCGACCCAAGAGCACAGCTGGCCCATTCCACCATCTCACCTTCTGTCTTCATCCCGACTCATCGACTCCTCATCCACCCGCCCTCCCGCCTCCACAAAATGTCCGACCAGGTGCAAGAACTTCTCAACGTCCCTCGGGAGTTCCTGAGGGAAGGCATGCAGTTTGTCCACCGCAGCCAGAAGCGTGAGTAGTCTGCCTGCCTGCCTGTTTGTCTTAGTGACAACACCTGGATGAATTGGATTGGATTGTAGGCTAACGCGCATCTTCTTGCGAATTGATAGCCGACAAGCGCGAGTTCATCAAGATCAGCCAGGCTGTTGGAACCGGGTTCCTGATCATGGGGTTCATTGGATACATCGTCAAGCTGAGTATGTTGCTCCTGTTGTTGCAATTGCCGATCTGTCTTGGATGGTTGTTTCGGAATACCAACTAATACCATTGCTCTATAGTCCACATCCCCGTTAACAACGTCCTCGTCGGTGGCGCGTAAACGATCGATTCTTGATATCCTTATCTGTCTGTCTGTCTGAATCTCGGGCGTCGTGTCGTGTCGTGTCGGGATGGAAGAGCCGTCCGGTCGCGACGGCAAGGGGCCCAAAGCAAGCGTGTACCATTATACCTTGGGTATTTGCGATGAATGGGAGCAGCTGCCATGCGGTGTCGCTCGGTGGAGAGCCAGTCGATCGGTTCACTGGCATATGTGCATAATTAGTCTGGGTAGGCGTTATGGTGTGCTATCAATAGGAAATATCCAATTTCTGAGCCATGAGGTTCTTGTGTTGATACAATTGGTCCTAGGGTGTAGGTGTGTGGACTACTAGGAGCCGAGGAGGAACGAGGATCGAAAACGGTGGTTGGTAGAGAGGTGATGCCAGCTAGGCTACGCACGCAAGAGGGGATAACGACTCGGAGGTGAAGCCTAGTCACATGAGTCACAGGAGGGCTGCAGGGCTGCAGATTGGCTCCAACAGTAGGATCTGGTGTGGAGAGGGAGTGCTCTCGTGGATGTCTTCGTGACAGGTCTGCTCGAGTTGTGCCTAGCAGGGGGGGGGGGATGAGAAGCGAGGCATTCGGAGGTTATACATTGCGGGGAATGCTCCGAGACTCGACAAACAAGACAGAGAGCCCGAATGCACCAAGTAAGAAGTAACAGCCCAGAATTATCATCCCGCAACGCCCTCCGCAACGCGACGAACAACATCGGCATCAGACATGATGTCACCACTTCAACGTAGAACATATCAACTCCACATTAACCCTTCAAAACCCCCAAATCCAGGAACACAACTTCCGTACTCAATTCATGAACATGACCATCAGTGTCCACGCCCGTCAGTGGACCCCAACTGCCGATATCCGATCCCATAATCCACCTCCTCCACTCACCCCTCCCCTCCCCCTCCCCACGAAACATCTGTCTTCGTAACAACAATATAAAACATCCCTCTTCAACCGTTCACCATTCCACCACTTCACAAAAACACCAACCCATCTGTACCTCCAAAACAAGGAAAGAGAAAGTGAAAATGGAACCCCTCTCCCCACCCCCAGCCCTAACCCACCTCTTCACCCTCCGCTGCACCGTCGACCCGCCCATCGAGATCGGCACGGGACCGTACGGCCGTCGACGCTGCGTGCCCATCAAGGCTGGGACGGTGAGGGGGAAGTATCTCAACGGGGAGGTTGTTCCGGGAGGAGCGGATTTTATGTATGTATCCTCATATCCCGCATCCATATAAATCCGTATGTATTCGCCAAGTCTAGGCGTCTATCTGGCAAGATTGATTCGAAACAGATTGTTTCGACGCGGATAGCTAACGAGAGATCTACCAAAATGAATAGGTTAGTAGAAGAAAACCAGACCACGCACGTGAACACCAACTACGTGCTAAAGAGCGATGACGGGGCGTATATCTACATCCGGTTCGGTTTGCCCCCTTCTTTATAATCGTATACGAGATCGAACGAATCAATCAAAGCTAATTATGGTGATAAACAGCACAGAGGGAACACGCTCCGGCCCCCCCGAAGTCCTCCAGGCGCTGATGGACGGCGACGGGGTCGATCCCTCAGCGTACTGGTTCCACCTCCACATCAAGCTAGAGACGGGACACGAGAAGTACAAGTGGATGAATAACCGGGTGATTGTGGGAAGAGCGACGCGGGCGAAAGGGGAGGTTGCGTATGATGCGTACTTTTTGGAGAATCTTTAGAGATACGCTAGGAAATTGATAATGAAATGGTTTGGTATCTGGTCTATACTATACTATAAAATGCTCTGATATACTAAAAACTGATGTATTCTACAAAATGGGGATATGTGAAGGGTATGTATGATATGAAAGGAAAAATGTAAGGAGGTGAGGTTGGGGTTAGGGTTGGCTATTGCAGCCGTATCTGATGGCTGCGCAGCAACTCCGCCAGATCCGCATACTTCCCCGCGCTGGCGTCTTGTTGTGCCAGGACCTCGTCGACGATCTCGTTGGCCCAGACGTATTCCGAGTGGTAGGCGCACATTTCCTGCAGGCGTTCGCGTAGCCAGTCGCGCTGGACAGGGTCGTCAGTTTCGACGATCGCCATGAGGAGGGGCCAGTGGAGGCGGCGCAGGAGGCGCGAGTCTGAGGTGTATTGTTTGTGGGCGTTGTCGATGATATTAGTGAGCGCTTGGCGGTGCAGGGCTGTTGGGGGGGAGACTGGGGCAAAGAGACGCCGGTGGAAGAGGATTTGCGCGTAAAAGTTGCTGACGGCCATGTAGATGGTGTTGAGGGTGCGGCGGGTGGAGCCAGGACTGGCGAATTTGGCTGTGAGGAGGAGGTCGGAGTATTTCTGTTGATGTTAGCCTGGGGTGTATATCGTGCTTAAAAGGTTATGGCGGCACGTACGTCTCGAACGCTCATCATCTCGGTGAAGAGCTCGTCGCCCGTGTATGTTGCGTTTGTCGAGTCGAGACACTTCCACAACTTATGCCAGAGGGTGTAGCCGACGTGCAGGAACTCTAGTCCTCGGTAGTTCTCCATGTCGTCCGATACTTCCTGGTCTGGATATCGCTTTCCCCAAAAGCATCGGCTCCACAAACGCGCGCAGCGGTATAGATGGTCTGGATGGAGAGCCGGGTTTTTGGAGCTGAGCACGTAGTCATAGAGCGAGTCTGTCGTTCCTATCGATCGGCGGTTGACGTCGATGTATCTGAACCGTTAGCTATATCTAGTAAAATGAAGCGAGGCCTTACAGCATCCACAGTAAGAACTGGTCCGAGATGAACGAGGCTCTTGATACCATATCAGGCTGCTCTGATTCCATCGCCAGCAGCACCTCGTTGACGTCCCTGATCTGAAACAATTCCGGATGGGTCTCCAGCAGTGACCGCACCCCCTGCAGGTGTAGCTGGAGATGGCGCACGCAATGACCGAACTGCCACTCGTACGTGATCATCAGGAACATCGTCGCGAATATCATTTCCAACTCAGCGAAAGAGATCTGTTGTTTAGGCGTTTCAAGCAGCTGTCGGAATTCCTTGACTGCCATCCCGTAGTGGTACCGGCCGTGGTCCTCCGCCGTCGGACGACCTGGCGACCGGTGAACCAGGCCATTCCGATGCATATCACTCGCCGAAAGTGCCAGGATCATGCGCATGATCACCTTGCTCGTTGTGGCGGGCCCCTGATACAGGTAGCAGAAGCTGCTCCATTGCCAGTTCTTCATGTAGTAGAAAACCACGGACGAGGACGGGAAGTACTGGAAGTATTTCTGATCATGTTCCGACAGGACGAGCGAGTTCGTGCAGGCAAAGTCCGTTCCCGACAGTGACGGGTAGAGCGGCGATGGGTGGGAGAACTTGTGCTTGTAGTCGTACTCGTAGGGCGGAAACGGCCAGCCCGGCCAGCCCGCGGGGAAGATGACGTCTGGGGAAACCGGGGTGAAATCCGGGGCCGATCCGGGGCCCTGGTGGTGCCAGAGGGCAGCCAGAGTGGTGGCATACTGGGGGTGAAGGATGCCATTGGGCACGTTCGCGCGAGGAGGCGAGGTCGGAGTGGTGGGAGTGGTGATGACATCGCTGCTCGTCGGCCATCGAGGCTGCGCGGGTTGCAGATGCCGAACCGGAGCACTCGGCTTGCCTCGCTTCACGGGGACCCCCCACTCGCACGTCAGTCGCAGGTTCAGGCAGCGCCTGCAGACAGGCTGTTCTTCACCACATTTTACTTTCCGACGGCGGCAGGTGCTGCAGCCTACAAACACGATGCATGTCAGTGGGCGATCCTCCCTACCGAGCATTCCGCGGAGAAAGGAAGAACGGAAGTCTCAGACAGTTTGCATACCATTTTTCGAGCGAGGCGCGTTCCGACCTGACATGGAATGAATGGCCCACGCTGTGAGGTAGACGGCTCAGCCGGTAGGCATCAGTACTCGAGGTAGTAGGATTGACGCGACTCCAAAAAACGGAGGGGAAAGTCTTGCGCGGGAAAGTGCTTCGGAGAGAAGAAAATTGAAGGCAGGAGATGGAAAGCCAATACCCCCCAGGCTTAGTCAGCGGAAAATATACGCTGCCTCGTGATGTTCCTGGACACTGGGGCACTGGAATGGCGGTTCTGATCATCGAAAGGTAGTCGAGGAGGTTGATTTTCGACTGTGATTGAGGTTGTTGGCCTATCTGGGGTTTAACACCGGCTCCAGAGCTGACACCAACTCGTGTTTCATGATCTTATATTATGGTCATTTAGGGCCAAGAATTGAATTTCAGGTCTACGCACGAGAAGATGAAAATCATCGTTAATCGTTCATATCAAGGTCTTAAAAGCTATCCGTTTGAGGTATGCTGTCGATGACGACGGCCTCGTATTTCCCACCGGACATATCCCCGAATAATTACCGAGAACCCCCCTAGACAGGTATACAGAAAAGTTGGATGCATTTACTCGTCTTCCAACTGGTTATTCCAAGGTGGAATGCTTCTGAATCAGCTACTAAGTCCAGAAAGTTGAGGCCTCAAAGCGCCTTATACACCTCGCCTATTACTCCTGGAGACACTCCTTCCACTGCTTCTCTGCTACCCCAAACATGTTATCGTCTGTGATCATATCCCATCCAATCAATGCCAGAGACTTGCCCACGATCACCGCTTCTTCATGGGCAGAATCGGTCCCAGCAGCCGCAGCGAATGTGGGGTGGTGGGGGAAAGAGCCTTCTTCAGCTGTGATCCCGAACATGGTGTGCAACGTCGGCATGATATAGCTGACATTGCCTGGATGAAGTTAGAACCCCACTTCAGAACTAGTTCTTGCAATTGTAGCATTGAATTAGAGCCATACCGATATCTGACGAGCCAGTCAAGACCTTTTCATGTCTTTTCAGGACCTTTCGGTCATACTTTGCCATGTGTGTCTGATACTGATCGCATAGGGTGTCGTTGATCTTGATGTCAGTATACAGCTCATTCCTGGCGATGATGTTAGTTCTTTGTCCCTATCTCTCGGTCGGAAGTACCTACTCAATGATCTTAACCTCACATCCGGTCGCCAACGCACCGGCCTCGATACAGTTATGCACCTTGACCATCAAGCGATTCAATCCCTTCAACGTAGGACTTCGCACCTGCCAGGGCCATCAGATTATGGAACCATTGACAGACCCAGATTAAATTGAGCGTACCTGCCAATATGCCTTGGTGTACGACGGAATGACATTAGCTACCTTGGGCGTATCCAAGAAGGCACAGTGAATCCGTTCATCAGGACGAAGTTGTTGGCGTAGATTAGAGATATTGTTGTAGGATGTTACCAAGGCGTCGAGAGCATTTACTCCCTCCCAGGGATTGCCTCCTGCATGGGCACTTCTGCCCGTGAACTCGCAGTGAATCTCCTTTCGAGCGTTCATCAACACCCCGCCCACGCCATCTGCAACAACACCGGGAAAAAGTTCTTTGGGACCAGGGTGACTAAGGCAGTCAGTATTGGAACAAAAGAAAGGGGATAGGAGCCCATACGCCATCAAAGAGATATCCACCCCCTTGTAGGCACCCGCATCGATCAACTTCGCTTTACCACCGCCGTTCTCTTCTGCCGGGGTGCCGAGTAATTGCGTGCGACCTGGAAGTCCGTATTGCTTGAGAATAGCTGAAAGAGCAAGGAAGGCGGTCATGCTGCTTGTGGTAATGAGGTTATGACCACAGGCATGCCCGATTCCGGGTAACGCGTCATATTCAGCATTGAAGTTGATCAAACGCCCTCCAGAGCCACTGGTGGCCTCGAAGGATGTATCCAAGCCGTATGCGTGGCGGGTAACGGTAAACCCCTGTTTCTCGAGAAAGTCGCAAATGGTGTCATGGGCTTGGTGTTCTTCGTAGGCAGTCTCTGGGTTGGACCAAATCTAGACGATGAGTGAAGGGTTTCACTTTCATGGAGTTAGAGCTTGAGCTTACCTGTCTGTTGAGCTCGCGGAGAGATGTCTGGAAAAAGTATAAAGCTGCATCAATGGATGTCTTCACCTCCTCCATAGTAGGTACAAGCTTCGTCATGGTCATTCTGTCGGTTTGTCTCTTGATGGCACAAGAACCCGAAATCATCTGCCGGGCTCATCATATATGCTGGTCCCAGCCGGCATCGCCGTCTCACAATGACGGATAAGCGAGCCATAACCTCGGCCGAGGTGACAAGAAACACCGAACGTATCTTGTCAGCAATTTGATAAGATCGACCGACATGTCAGATGCAACGTCGGCTGCATCCTCACCCCTCATCCTGGAAGTTTTCCGTTATCAAGACGTCAGAGGCCAAAATACCGCGGAAAAGACGCGATAGCCATCTCTATCAGCACTAACTACGCTTATCATGTCCAAGCGATTGGTAGTGGCTGGTATCTCTGGCGTCGGCAGATAACAGAAGCATGGAAGTGGATCAGAGTCTAAAGGAGCGTCAACCCTGACCAACGCAATGTTCGCGATGTAGTGTCTCCGCACGATCGATTCTGTGGGGGAGGCGCAGCAGATGCGCCTCGTGATATACAAAACCGGTGGAAAAACAATGATAAGTTGAGTGGGGACCGGTTCTTTGCCCGGCACTTCGAACGCTGGGTTGACGCCGATAACCCACTGGTTCTTTGCCGAGCAACGCACCGCATTGGTGAATTTGCCGACGGAAATCTAACCGGGCTTGCGATCAGCTCCCTGTGGGTCTGTGGTGAATGTCACCCAAAGTAAAAGTTATTTTAGTAAATTGACGAAGTGGACATCGGATTCATGTCCCTTGAGGCCGCCAGGGCGTAGGAATAATTGACATGCCCCGCTTCATGATCCGATGTAGCCGGATAGGGAAAGCATGGCCCACGGGCCTTGGTTTACGTACAAATCTATTACACGTTCATTATCTCGATGAGGAAGACAAGACGATCAATACGGCTGGATTATCACGGGCCTGCTGGTGGATGTGTCAGACTTCAGCCAGCTACGTATCAGCTCAGACCCGTGTCCATTGCGGAAGGATTGTGCTGTTTCCGCGAGGGCCATGGAATTGATATCTGGAATGTATAGCCTTTTCTTGGCTTCATTTATATATAAGGAGCGAGAGACCAGAGGATTGTGCTTTCGCTTTCATATCTCATACTACCGTAATACGACGCACCATGAAAGGGCATCAAGCAGCAGAGCTAGACGACTTCAAACTGAAAGATGAAGCAACGGTGATCCGTGATGTTGGCCTTGGACAGGTATTGGAGGTTGAGGCGATATCAGAGCAGGAAAGGAAGGTTCTGAGGAAGTTAGATATAATGTAAGTCCAAAATTAATCGCTGTGATACTATAGTAACAAGCAAGATTGATCCCATTAATGGGAGTATGCTACATGATGCAGTACATGGACAAACTGGCTCTAAGTCAGGCTACAATGTTTAACCTACGACAAGATTTAGTATGTTGTTAATTCTTCAAGTCGAGTACCTTCTAATTTCCACTAGCACCTTAAAGGCCAAGAATACACATGGACGTCTGCCGTCTTCTACTTTGGATACTTTGCCTGGAGTTGGCCCAGCTCGTACCTCATCGTCCGTCTGCCGCTTGGAAAGTATATCAGTGTCTCAGTGTTTGTCTCCCCTACTCCAATACCCATCATAAACACTACTTATTCAGGATTTAGACTTGTATGGGGAGGAATCTTGATGTGCCACGCGGCCGTGAAGAGCTTTGGAGGGTTGGTAGCGGCCAGATTCTTCCTAGGAGTAGGCGAAGCTGCCATTGCCCCCGGCTTCTCTCTCATCACCGGCATGTTCTACAAGCGTGAGGAGCAGCCAGCACGGTATGTCCCGCATCCGATGTATTGTATTTAATTATCAAGTTAACAGCCAAGCCAATCTGCCTGGTTTCTGGGTAACTGCATCTCAACCGTCATCGGCGGCGTTGTCGCCTACGGCATCGGCAGCATCAAAATACACGCCATTGCGAGCTGGCAACTTCTCTTCCTCTTCCTCGGAGCCATCACCGCATTCATCTCTTTCTTTCTCCTCATCTTGCTTCCCGATTCACCCAAGAAAGCCATCTTTCTCACCAAACCCGAACGCGCCATCGCCGTGCAACGGACACTCAGAAACAAAACCGGAGTTCTGGACGAGGGCTTATTCAAATGGGACCAAGCATGGCAAGCCGTCCGTGACCCCCAGACATGGTTCCTAGTTTTATATACCTTCTGTGTCAACCTCTGCAACGGAGGCATCACCAGCGTAACCACCCCTTTTCTTCACCCCCTCCCCAAAAACCTCTCCACCCTCCAAGTCTCAACGACTAACAACCCTACCCAGTTCTCCTCCATAATAATTAACGGCTTCGGTTTCACCGAAATCAAGTCTCTCCTCATGCAAATGCCTCTCGGTGCCGCGCAAATCATATTCCTCGTCCTAACCGCCACCCTGGCCACCCTAATCCCCAACACGCGAATCCTGATGATGATTTTCAACACCATCGTCTCCACAATCGGGATGATCCTGGTCTGGAAACTCGACGAAGATAACCGCAAGGGCCGTCTAACGGGTCTCTCCCTCGGGGCGGTCTTCGCCGTCAACATCCCTCTTTCACTGAGTATCATCAGCTCTAACGTTGCGGGGTTCACGAAACGGAGTACCACCAGCGCGTTACTTTTCATTGCGTATTGTGTGGGGAATATTGTTGGGCCGCAGTTTTTCTACGCGTCGGAGGAACCGTACTATCCTGTGAGTTTATTTTGGGTTTCTTGGGGATGTAGATAGAGAACGAGATGAATGCTAACGCGCTGGATGGATGGGATAGACGGGCATGAAAGCGGCAATTTCGGGGTTGGCGCTTGGGGCTTTCTTTTTGATTTGCTTACTGGGGTACTACGTGTGGGAGAATCGGCGTCGGAATCGTCTTTTTGGGGTGCCCGGGCAGATGACGGAGAGTCAGGAGTTGGCCTTGGGGTTGTCGAGTATGACGGATTTAGAGATTGAGGGGTTTCGGTATGTTTTGTAGGTGCTTTGGGTATGGAGTTTGAAATTGATGTATTGGTTTTACGGGGTGGTCTTTCCCGGGAAATCTGATTTTTGACAAAGGATAGGGACGTAAACAAGATATGGAAAGGATCCTTGAAAAGAGGAGACGTAAGATAGGAGACATACGGGATTAGTAGAACATAGGAACATTTATGAGTAAGGGAAACATGAGTTTATTGAAAATATCGCAAATCGCAAATCTGGTGCTCAAAGGAGAATAGGGGGGATAAGATAAAATACAAGAATTTAATGATCATATCCAGGATAAATATCATCCAACATGGGCGCTTTCCACTCGATAGCTCTTTCATCATCCCAAAACGCGTATCCCCATTCCCAGTGCTTGTTTTCTGGTGCATAGTTAAACATATCCAAGAAGACTTCTCGGTATTGATTGTCGTCTCTGAACCATCTCCGTTCCCAGGCCAGGTTAGGTCGCTCCCAAGGTGGCAATGTCTCCAAGAGCTTTTTGAACCCATCTCTGTCCGTCTTGAAATTGAACTTATCTGCCGGGTACAGGAGAGGTAACGCTCCAGGCTCAAAATTTGGCCGTGGCCAATAGTCATAGAAATGAGTTCTGTGCCCAGACGCATTAACCAGGATCAAATCTCGGCGGGCCAAAGGCTGCGCTTCGCGGAGAACTTTGCAGAGTAATGCTGGACCTTTAGAAACAAGAGTCTCGCGGCATTCACTTTCATTCATGGCAACATCATCAACGTCGTCGTAGTGAGAAATATCAGGCGGGCGCTGGTCCTCAGGGATATCACTGAAAAACATAACACCAAACTGTTGCAGGTTCTCACATACCTCGGAGTACGGCTGGTTATATCGGTTGAAGCAATGCTTCCAAAAACAGCCAAACTCCTCGACCTCCCATGGAGCCATAGTACTAAAAAGCAGGCGCCATGCCTCCTCGGGACTGAAGGCTTTATTCTTATTGTCCCCGTCGTGCCACGAATTATCCTCCAGGGACCATTCCGAGTCAACAGCACGTTCGATGGCTCCAAAAATGTTGCCATAGATTTGCAGTCGATAGAAGGCCCGGAAAAACCGTCTCTTCTCCGTAATTGATAGACTTAGTGGTAGGATCTCATTTTTCCATCTGTCGCCGTCCATCCACTCCGGGCAGTTCGCGGTTTTCGAGTAATCGTCGAGAATAAAGTTCGCCATCTTGTGCAATTGTAAAAGTTTTATAGTCTCATTGACATCTGAGGGCTGTTCGGGAAGTATTCCATGAGGCGATAAGCGCAGGCGGCGGATCTCGTCACTGCGGCGCCAAGCATCCAAGAGCGCAATGATCTTTGGCTTGTTCGATGCAGTGTTGGCATAGAGGCCTCTTGAACGAACGGCAGCTATTGCATCTTGGATTTCAATAAGCCCATCGTAATATCTTCGCAGGTGCTCTTTCAAAAGTTCATGTCGCACCAAGCGATATGCTTCGTGGTATATTGGTGAGGCGAGAATGAGCGATCGGACCGAGACGAGGTCAGGTATGCTGAACAGTACGCAAATATGCAGTTCTACCGGTAGACCTTCTAACGTTGCTTGAGACTGGTGTGATGTTAATAGCTGAGCTTTGAAGAGTATTCATAGAGAGTCCTTACCATCATCTTGTTTCCAAAATGGGATGCGATTCTGGTTTGGCTTGGTGACGCCAGGCAAAAGTGGAAGGAGGAGCAGGAAGAACAACAGAGGTGGGCGGTTCGGCTCACCCCGCCGTCACCCAGGCCGACTCTATTCTATTGTTGGTCGGCCTTGCGTAGGCGCCTTATGTAATACTCTAGGGCTTCACTGATGCCATTCAGACTTAGTGCCTCCGGCGTCCAATGCACTGCAGCAAATAAGCGCCGATTTATCACTTGACTCATAACTAGTACTACTACCCCGCCCCATGTATGCAGTGATCCGTATGAAGAGGGGTCAATACAACCCGGCGCTTGATGGCTGCTACCTTCTTATCAGCCTGGCCACTCCTCATGGGCTCTGTTGCCGCCGAGCAGATGGAATCAGCCCATTGTTTACTATTATTGGCAACAGCTCGCTTCGCTTGCACCAGAATACCTATCATATTGCACTGTCACCTGTTGTCTAGGCTTGCGGCTGAGTCCAGCCCTGCACCACCATGCATATCCTGGACAGCTACTTGCATCTCAGCCAGTTTCAGAAATTCCCTCTAGAAATCAATCTTCCATATCTGCCAACGGATGTAGGTATACTATGCATCTGCAAAACAATGCGTGCGTGGCCCATCAAGTGGGCTTGAAGCGCGCGCGTGGGATATACAAGGGTATACAGGCAGAAGCCGGGATTCTGCAGGGTAGGATTTCCCTCCTTCGAGAAATGGGACAATATACACAGTCGTGAGGTATGTACCTCCAGAAGCATAAAAGCTGCCCTTTTCCCATGACTTTTTATCCATCAAAAGCATCTCAGATACGATCCAGGCCTTCGCATCGAGCTCTCCAGTCCTCATTTACAGCTTTTTTCATTCTTTCTGCATATTTTGTCATTCTTTTGCCTTACCGTTTCTTCCATTGCGTCTATACATTTCTTTACTATCTAGTCGGTATTTCATCTATACCCTTTGCATTTCAATCCTCCAAGATGAGTCGAGGCCGCACCCTTCGCGATTGGGATGCAGACGAGAGCCATAAGCGGGTCGCTGTTAGCCGAAGGGGCTCCGACACTGACTATGACATTCGAGTTCCTCGAAGCTCTCATGTCGATGCTCAACCCGAGCCCAGCTACTATGGCCCCAATTTTGTCAACTCGGAGCAGGGTCGCTCTTCGTCGCTCGCTTATGGGGATATCAGGGAGCCCAAGATGCCCGATCCATGGAAGAAAGCCCCACAGCCTTACCCCGAAGGGATGAATGATCAGTACCTCACCTACAAGGACTATGGAGATCAGTACTCAAAAGCCAACCGAGCGTTCAAGCTTGCAAACCCACTAGCTACTCCAGACAACCACCCGAATATCGTCGAAAAGGTTGAGAGAGGCTTGGCCTTGGCTGCGGAAGCGAGAACTGCAGCCAACTTGTACGTATACCAAGTCTCGCTCTAAAAAGTGACAGATACTAATGAACCCCATAGGGAAGCGGCAGCCCGGTCTGGCTTTGATCATAAGTTTCCTTATGCTTACGACAGCCTGGCGAAAAAGGCTTCACACAAAAAGCCAGTAAAGGAAAAACTTGAAGCAGCAAAGAAGATCAGAAAAAATGAGGGGAAGCTTCATGGCAAGCTCCCTGCTGATTATTATGAGAAGCAGCCTTGAGTTTGTTTGTGTTTATGGGGGGGGGGGGGGTAAACTAAGTTGTTAAGTCAATGACTTTCACCTTCACACCTCATGATCTGCTGTCTTGTGGCTTTCCCTTTCATGCTGCTTTCAGCCCTGTCTTTCGTTCTATTTTGGTATTTGTCTCTTTTTTATTCATATTGTATAATCTCCATTTGTATTTTGTGTTTGGTACTTGACCTCATTTTGTTTCACTGCTTCATCATCTTTCCATAAATTAGTTTGCTTGATGTATATTTTGTGCCGCCAGTAGTATATTATACTGCTTGTTCAATATGACATGGATTGAGCCATTATCCGTATTATAAAATACCCTATCCTTGAAAGTTTTGATTCATGACACATGCCCACTATACCAAAGGTCAAGTCTTTTACTAACAAGATCCAAGAACCGGGGTACAGAAATAAAAGGGTTCCTCGAGTGCAACCTCAGATAGAACGAGAGTAGAAGAAAAACCTTTGAGATGAATGTAAAGCTGGGTGTCTCTGTCAAGACTTTCAGAAATAGAGAATGTAGGAGAAGTTTCGTATACTCAACATGTAGGTAGGTACATTGCCCAGTGGTTTCTAGATACACGTAGTGGGTGAAGGCGGTCTTCACCTGGTCAACGGCATCCGCCCAGTTAACCCGCGGGCCTACACTGCGAGTAGGCCCAAATGGGCTTCAGAGATTGGAAGAAAACTTCACCACAGACGTAACACCTCCCATGGGCGGCGGGCTCGGGTTTTCTATATCCTTCATGCGGAATCCCCAAGCAGCCGCGACCCGCTCATCCGGCTGATACCCCCCCTCGGAAACCCACTCAGCGACAAAAGGTCCCGTAGAGTCTCTCTGGTGATACAAAAAACTGTTTTCCCTGGGTTCTTCCCATTCTTCTCTCCCGTGGGCTTTGAAGTTGTGGCTTGCGCTAATAAGTCGCGGCATTCGTTGGACGGCATAGCCCAAGGAGATGAAGAGGCGCTGGAAGAGCTCGTCTTTGACTAACTCCCGATCGGGCCACGGCCAAATTTCACGGTCGCAGATGGCGTCTTCCCAGTCATCTATTCTCGCTACTTCGGCCTCTTTCTGGCGGGAGTAGCGGAAGAGGTACTCGCCTGTTGAGGCCATTAGTCTTCGGGGTCTGTGTGCCATTGGCAGTGGCGTGTAGATATCGGAGCCAGTAAGGGAGAAAACATGGTGCTTACCCGTTGGGAGAAACTCGGGGAGAGAGTCTAGATCGAGAATTTCGAGGTTAGGCCAATGGTAATGAGATGTGCCGGCAGCTGGTTGGGCGTCCTTGTCCAGAGGAAATAGCCAGTCAAGGGATAGTGACGTCTGCTCTATCATAAGTTTCTGAAGACCGAATGTCAGATCGCGCAGGTTGTTGGAGAACGTGTCTGTTTCCGAGGTCAACACATTGATGCCGGGCATAGGCACGATCCAATTGTTCTCCAATTGGTTCGCGTAGTCGAAGAATTTCAAGGTACGCGGTATATTAGGAATGGCTTCTGCCACAGCTAGCCAACCAAGCGGGTTAGCGGTATCCTGGGATGAGATTCGCGGACTCGAAGATTACCTTGACGCCGTTGCCGCATATACTCTTCATGATCTGGCCTAACGGGCTCATTTAGATCCAAATGCACCTCCGTGATGGTCGGGCAATGCTCAACCATCTGCAACACGGTCCCACCCCAGACTTGATGCTTCAAATCAAGCTTACCTTCCTCATCCAGATCATTACAACACCAGAGGCGGTCGATACACGGAGCATTCGCCAGAATAGATGCATCATCATTCGGGAACCGAGCTCGATACGGTCGCACAGACTCGTCGCGGCCATCGAGAAAGTCCCAGTGAAACTCATCAGCATCACAGACCCAGAATGTATCTGGCTCCTCACACGTCTCGTAGCTCAACAGTTTCAAGTCGAGCTTGAGACGAATGTTTGCACTCCAGGAACTGAGGTAATCAAACAGGTCAATAGCGCCTTTGCAGAATGCTTTATCGTTTTGACGTCGCGCTTCATTGTTGTAAGTGTAACCGTCTTCTTTGACGGCCTTCCAGTCTTCAATATAGTGTGGAATCATGATACAAAAGCGCAGGCTGCGTAACCAGGCCCGTCTCCTGACACCCGCGCCAGAAGTCAAGGCCTGAAACTGGGCGAGGGAGAGTGGGGTGTGGCCTGTCTTCTCGGCGTCGAAGACCCTGGGGAAAGTTAACTTATTGGCGAGAATGAGGTGCTCATGTTCTTCATTCAATCGCCACTGATTGTTTGGGAAGAATGTGTCGTGCAGGGCGAACTCGATCTGGTCGCTGCAGACAAACAGTTCTGAGTAGAGGAAGGGCTCGAAAGCGATCTGCCATTTTCGACAAACGGACGTCGAAGCGGATAGACGATCACCAGCGTGCCAAGCATGCCAGGCAATCAGTGAAATAAGCTCCAAGGGTAGCCGACTGGCCGTCATGATGGGCCACTGGGTGAGGGAGGGAGGATGAGGAGGAGGATGGATGGAGACGCGGGGGCGCGGGGCTAGACTTGACGTGAGGCCCGCGCGCCAGACCCACCACTGACAGGCAACTGACCCACGCGTCCACAACAACCAACTCCGTGGTGCTCTGCTCTGCTCTGCCTCACGCTCCAGTCCCTCCAGCTCGCTTATACCTCGTCCCGTGGCTCACCAGCAGGTATTTGGCAAAGCAATCCTCGGCAAAATCATCGAACGGCTGGTACTCCGCTCCCAGGCGATAGGCCGCGGCAATGCCCGAAATGCAGGCTATCTCATGCATATTCTGCTATCAGTCAGTAAACGGAAGATCCCGAGCTTGATTACACACTGACCACCATCGTCCAACTCCCTGCGTACAGGGTTCGATTCTTCCCGTTGATGAACATCATCCCGGGCACCACCCGTGTGTAGTGCTGCCAGTTATGTCCGAACTGATGCCACCATTTTTCCGCAATGATCTTACTTTTATCGATATTCTCCCATGTCCAGAGATCTGACTCTTGTTTGTTCAAAAAGATGGTCTGGTAAACATGCCGGTCATACTCAAGCGGCAAGGCATCCTCCCCCAGTGCTTCCCTAAACTGATGCTGGTAGTTCGAACAATCAAATCCCATCTCTATCTTCCGTCGCTCCTGATCAACCGAATGCGTATAGTACATGGGAGCAAATCCAACCCATCCGTCCTTTCGGCAGTGTGGTGTCTGCTTCGCGAACGAGATTTGCTCCCTGCGCGTGTCGCTCGACTCCTTTCCACAAAGCTCCGGCTTATACCTCGTCTCGAATATGCTGTTGAAGTATTCTGCGTCACTGTGCGTGATAGTGACGTCGTCGAAGAACTTCACACCGCCAAGCACATACTTCTCTCTCCACGTGGCCTGTTTTCCGAGTATATTTTTGGCTCCATCGGCAGGGATGCAGAGAACAAGCTCGTCGAAGTGTTCTTCCCGAGACGTCTCTTCTAAATTGGAATCAGGGTTATCTCTGATCAGAAGATCGACACCATTTTTACTATCTCTCTTCAATATCTCCACTTTCTTCTTCATCTGAACTTTCACTCCCTTGGACTGGAGATCGTTTGACCAGTCGTGGTAAAAGTCCCCTAAATTGGGGAATGTGTACATCATCGGTTGATTGGGTAGCAGGGTGTCCGGATCATAGTCCCAGAGCTTCATCTGCGGGTCATCGAACAATCGTTCCAGTAACACACTTGACACGTTAGGCGTCTGATTGCCCGTACCTAGAAAAAGTGCGATCAATGGCAAGACCATCTTATCTCCAAAATCTTGACTGAACCGGAAAACCTGCAGAATGACTTTTACGGGCAGTATCCCCAGAAAAGGCATCAAGCGCTTCATCCATTTTAGCACGCGACCGAGTTTCCGGATCTCCCCAGCGAATTTGTCGACTAGCGGGCTTGGAAAGATGTTGGTAAAGAAGCTATCTGGTCCTTTTCCGAATGATACCTGCAGTTTTACGGGCTGAGGCTCGTATCCGTATCGTCGGAAGAAGTTGAACGTGTGTCGGAAGATGGGAGAGCCTCCTTGGACGCCATCGTTCAACCAGGTGGCGCCGTAGCGGGCATCCAGAGAAATGGACGTAGCCTGACCACCGGTGTAGGGAGCGGAATCGAAGAGATGGACCTCAAATTTATCGGGGTGCTTGGCGAGTGTAGCGGCGCAGGACTGGGTTTCTCCTCAGTTAGATGATTTTTAGAGTTGGCAGTTGGGGTGTTTACCATGCCTGCTGCCCCTGCACCCACGACCGCGATCTTCTTTGGAGTCGCTGTGGACATTACGAGTGTTGTACTCAAATAATTATATTTGAGCAACTACTTTTGAGACGCGGGTGAAATGGTTTTGAAGTTTTCCGGAAACAAGATTACCAGTCATGACGTCAGGCCGGTTTCCGCTTTTGGCAATCTATACACTCTCTACCTGGAGCTACATGCCCTCAAGGGGGTAATAGTGAAGCGCTCTAGCCCAGCAGAAAGAGGCCGAGTAAGATGTATTAACTAAATATTCCTATTTTTATGTACAAGGGGGTGTAAGCGTCGCAGAAGCCATCGCAAGCACAACCTGTAAGAATTTTCTCCGCCCACAGAAAATAAGGTAATTGCAAGACATTTGTACGGCGGAGTGATGATGGTTCAGGAGACTCTTCAAGTCTCGTTTCTGCTCTATATCCGGAATACTATGGATACGACGACAACCTAAAGGTTTGGACATATTAGGGCCAAGCACGTATTCGACTTCGCCTGCAAAAACAACCGATCCAATAGATAATACGACAGAAGATCGCGAAGCATTGAAATAACTGCCAGCGACAAAGGGGCGGGGTACCCGTGTAGACACAGCAAGTCTGATAGTGTGATCTCTTTGCATGTTTGGGGGGTATGATCTGATGCTTTGGCCTATAGCTTAGGTGACTTTCGGCTCCCTGCTATCCCCAAAAGCGAGCGATGAAAAGAGGCCTTTCGCTGAGTTGATGAAATTACGGTCATAATAGCTGTGGGCGCACCTTTGATCGATATACAAATTTCGGGGAGCTCGAATATTATAGTCCGCCTCAGAGCCCCTTCGGCATGAATTTACCTGCTTAGGGCTCGAATATGGCAAGCTGTAGGCCCTGCGCAATATCTGACATTTTTCTTGGTCCCTGGGTGTCATCTGCGGATCACCTAACAGTCGACTTGACACACAAGATGTCTGATTGCATTTGATCATGTGAGATGTTTTAGCTGTCACGTGACATCTGGCCCTTTCAACTGACCAATTTACTGCCCATTGATATGATGCAACTAGGTTTACAGATGGAAGATGATTCTGCTCCGGCTTACTAAGAATAGAATATAATTATTCTATTCCGGCTGAGTAAGTATATAAACAGATAAATTTTTATAAAAAATCTATTAATAAATATTAGATAAAAATTTTTAAATATTTAGAATATGTGATAGAATAACCCAGCTATCAGGATATAGGTTATCGGGATGATATATTATAGTGATTATAAGAGTTGTGAGATTATTAATAGTGATTCTATATCTCTTTGATATTTATAAGATACTGATCTCTCTGTAAGAAGCTACTAATTCTTTAAAAATCAGTCTATTTTATAAATATAGACTATTTTTATTATTATTAAATAAATATACAGTATTTTATAGTTAATTTCTTATCTAATTAACAGACTTTCTATTCTGATAAATAGATTCTATTATATTCTAATTCTTCTCTTTTTAATTATTTAAGAAAGATATTATTTACTGAAAATAATAAAGAAATAGAAATATTTAATAATTAAATTAATTCAGAATCCTTGCTGAATATTATTCTTATTATTAAAGAGATTTAATAGCTAGAAAATTATATTTATTAATTAAAATAAGCTATTAACTTATAGTAAAGAATAGCTTATCTTTAAAAAAATAACTCCCCGAGCAAAATTTTCTTGAGATATTATTAATTTTCTCCCGAATTAGAAAAAAATAAAAAAAAAATTAAGTTTAAAGATATCTCTTGCTTTGTTCTGAACTTTAATCTTTAAAAATATTAAGAATAAATTATTAATTTAAAATATATATTTAGAGATATACTTAAGAAATATTTATTAAAGAAATATAAGATCCTCGCTGCTATCAGCTATATAGATCTAATATATAAATAAAGATAATATTATTTTATAAATAATAAGAATCCGAAAGAGAGATAATTTCTTAAGAAATTATAGTCTTAATTTAAAAATTAAACTTTTATATTAATTTAAAATACTGCTATTCTTTAATTAGATATTATAGCTTAACTTAAACAGACTTATTAGTAATATAGTCAGAATTCACAAGAATTTTATATTTATCTTAATATCTTAGAGTAATATTTTTCTTATTAAATAAAAAAAAAAAGAGTTTTATTTTATTTTACTAAACTATTATTAGATCTAAATTATTATATTTAAGAGTATATTTTCTATTTATTAGAGAAACAGAATAAAATAGTAACTATTACTACTTATTATTATAAACTATAAGAAAATAGAGAAAAACATAAATAAAATAATAATTAATTTAGTAATTATAAGCCACGCAAGCGCTTTCAAGAAATTACTAGTAAAATTATTAAGAAAGATATCTTAAATCACAGAAAAAATTCTATTAAAAAAAATAATAATTAATTATAATATTTTATATATAAAAATACTTAATATCTTGCGAATTAATATTCTATCAAAGATAAAAAAATTTAATTTATTAAAATTTATTAATTTTTATTAGATTCAGAGAGAAAAATAGAAAAATTAAGATAGATTCTATAATTTTAACTTTTTTATCTATAATAGAAACTATATATTATTTTTATATTTTTATCTATATTTAAAATAGTCTTAAAATCTTTGCGGATCTAGATAGCTGTGTCGAAGTAAATATTATTAATTATTAGTTTATTAAAATCTATAATCTCTAATATATTCTGATTACTGCGCCAAAGATTAAAGCTATTAATTAAATTATTATTTTTATCTATAATATATAGAAAGTCTCTATTATTATTATTAATTCGCGAGAAGATATCTATATTTTTAAATAATATTATATAAAAATTAATTAAAATTTCTGACTGAAAGATAGTTCTGTACTACTTTTAATAATTATATTTTATAATTTATATATTATCTTATCAGCATAGAATTATCAGTAATAATTTAATATATTATCTATTTTACTACTTTTTATTATTTAATTTATTAAAATAACTCAAAACTTAGCAAGAATATATATTATTATTAAGCTTTCTGAAGATATCTGGCTATCAGAAGAAGAATCTTATAATTTATTATTAAATTTTAAAATAATTTCTGTTGAATTTAAGTAGTTTTAAGATATATTTTTTATAAATTTCTTTTAACAGCTACTTTCTTATAATCCTGCGAATTATATTATTAATATTAAATTTAATAAAATATTCTCTTATAATTTAATATATCTCTTATTTAAAGCTAAACTTAAGATTCTATAAAAATATATTAAAAAAAATCTAAAACTAAATTAAATTTAATTTTTAAAGAGTTCTGCTGAAGTCTCTATTCTTTTTATATTTAAAAAAAATAATAACTTATATTTTTATATAGATTATAGAGATTTTAATAAGATTTTTATTAAAAATTATTATTTCTTATCTCTTATTTCAGAGATTCTTAACAGAATTTCGGGAAGTATCTACTTTTCAAAGATTAATATTAAGAATATATATTATTAAATCTATATTAAGAAAGATAATAAATAAAAGACAGTATTTTATATCTAATACAGCTACTTTAAATATATAATTATATTATTTAGATTGACTAATACTTCAGCAACTTTTTAAAACTATATATATATTATATTTTAAGAACTTCTTAATAACTTTTATATAGTATATCTAAATAATATTCTTATTTTTTTATTAGATAAGAAATCTTATACAAAGTATATTTATTAAATTTTAGAGAGATTTCAAGAAGCTTAGCTCTATATAAAATTATTAAAATATTTATTCTATTAATCTTAAATTAAATTTTTAAAATATATTATTAACTCTGATAAAGTATTTATAGATTCTTAATAAATAAATAATATTATTTTATAGCTAATTTTTAAAAATTATTATAATATTTAAATCTTTCTTAGATTCTGTAATTTTTATTAATAATTTATTTAAAACTATTTTTATATTATCTTGTCTCTTACTTCTTTGCTTTGTGAAATAATTAATAGACAGAAGTTAGAAAAGATTTATTTAATCTTAATTAAATAAACTACTTTCTGCCGCCTGATTACTGTTTTTTAATAAATATCTTTATTAATATATTTTAATTCTATAAAACCCCGCTGTTTAGAAACTAATATATTAAAAAAAAAAATAAGTAATATTCTATTTTAATCTAATATTAAGAATATATTTTATTTAATTATATTCTAATTCTATAAGTTCTTCGGCGCTGAATTAAACTATAATATTTTAGATTAAAAGCTATTTATTATTATTTACTTTTTTAAATAATAATAATAATATTTAGAAGATACTCTCTAAATAATTAAGATTCTATCAGATTATTTAAACTTATAATTTTTTATATATTAAATCTAGATTAATAGAAGACAAGCTTAATAGCTTATAAGTCTAATTCTCTATAATTTTATTATTAAATATAGAACAGAGAAATTAAATCTAGCAGATAGATTTTTTAGAATATTTTCTGAATTTTAAATAGAATCTATTTCTTAAGAGAAACTGTTAATTTTAATTTAAGTATAATTTATAAATATATTATCTCTGATAATAAGAGATCTTATTAAAAAAAAAACTTAGTTTAAATCTTAAGATATATAGAATTATTCTGGATTTGATATCTATATTATATTAAATTTAAAGAATTCTAATAATCAAGCTGATATAAAAACAGCTGACTGGACTGTTTAAAAAAATTTATCTTAAAAAAGATTTATTTTTTAATCTACAGCTTTACAAGTATATACCGCGGAAGTTTTATATTTAAATATATATAATTCTGAATTTTAAGAGATAATCTTATATTTATAGAATAATAATCCAAAGATATAACAGCAAAAGACTACTGTTTAATAAAAGTAATTAAATTAAAAGTATTAGATTATTAAAATAACTGGCTATATTTATTTTAAAGATTAATATTATATCTTTTTTTCTGAGATACTATATTAAATACTTATTAAGTTATATTATAATAATTTATTAGCAGAATATTTTAGAAAGATCTAAACAGAAGCACTGCTATATAGAAAATTTTATTAAAATAAATTATAATATAATATAGCCGAATATATCTGAACTTATTTAATATATCAAGAAATTACTGCTTTAAAATATTAATTATATAGCAGTCTTAAATTATTATTAATTTTATTATATTTTTTTACTAAATTAGTAATAGATTTTATTACAGGGCTGCTTTTTATTATTTAATATAAAAAAATTATTGATATTATTCTAATTATTATTAATTAATTCTTAAAATACTGTCTTTTCTTTACTATTTTATTTATAATAACTGCTCTAGATCTTGCTGAATTATTTTATAAATAGATTAAATTAATTTTTAGATCTCTAAATAAGATTATATCTGATCAAGAATTAATCTTTATTAGTAAATTCTAATTAAATTTAGTTTATAATAGCTATATAATTTTAAGGCTTTTAATTATATTCTATCCTCAAATTAATAATTAAATAGAATAGATAAATCAAATATTTAAATATTATCTTTAATATTATTTTAGTCAGTATAATATTAACTGACTATTAATTTTTTTAAGTACTTAATTTATCTATAATAATATAAATAATATAATTACAGATTAATTATCTTATAATATTCTTTATAACTTTTCGCCGGATTTTTATATTAGAATTAAGACTAATTCTCAGCAGCGAGAAGTCCCAGTGATATAGAATAGAATTAAGAAACTTAGAAAAATAAAAAAACAGCTATAAAAAATATAATAAATAATTATAAAAAAATAAAAGAAATATTATAATAAATATAGAAAGCTATTCTATTTTAAAAAAAGAGATCTAATTAA